CTCGTATAATGCGTGGGGCGCATGCTCTGTGAAATCAGGAGAACGCAGTTACGATAATGACTGTCTTTTCTATAGACACAGATATCTTTTAGGGACGAGTATCCTGGAAAGATCCCTCTATCGATGAACACCCTAAGCAATTTGCTATATGGCTTGTATGCCATAACTCCCGTGGTTACTCTATCATCTTTTTATCTACCACTAGAGTATGTTAACTTACCGACACTCATCGTCGATATCACCATTATCTAACAAAAACTACCCTTTGATGTTGATAAAATTCGAACGTTGAACTTGTGAACATTATGACTTATTTTTGTTAGGACGTAAGAATGATGCAATTGATAAATGTTATTGAAAAGCGTAACCGGCTTATTAAAATAAAATTAATTATTTTTAAATTACTATGAATTAAAATGTTTCTTTGCATTACATTATTACTATTCAACGATAATACATTTAAATGCATTTTGCACATTTCATTCCGTATTTACGATATTCATCGCATGAAGTACCGACAAGTAACTCATCGATGTTTTTAGAATCTGCGATATTTATATATGTATTTTTGTAAACGAATTAATTTTTTTTTAACCCATACTTAAATGTTAACGATATTGTTACTTACACTGCTAAAAAGTTTATGACTTAATGGACAAAATTTGCCAGCTGTTATGTGTAAAGGTATTCGTGCTCGTAGCATTATTATCATGAGCGATTTAGCTTCGTTTGGTGATAATTCGTACCACGGATATTCGTAAGCGGCATCAATAATTCCTATAGTCTATAACATCGAATGTCATATTATCATAATCTTATTCATCTTGCGGTTTTGTTAGGATAATGCAAAAAAAGAAAAAGAAGAAAAGGAAAAAAAATTGAATCAGTTACCTCGGAAAGAAGTTTCTCGCCTGTATAACAATACAAATATATCTGTACCAAGATGAATGTTATAAAGATTGCAAGGAAAATTAATTGTACGAAAACCATTTCATTATTTCTTCCGATGGACTATGGAATGATCATGGATATATACTTTTACTTATATAAATTATTCTGTGAAAATAATCTATTAATGTGAATCTATAATCTCACCAATAACACCAGAAAGCATGTAACGCAAAGTTGTATCGTACAGCCTAGGATTTGGAATAGTAACATGTCATTAAATTGTTCCTCGATCGTATCGGTGAATCTGCAAAAAAAAAAAAAAAATAAAAAAAAAAAGAAATCATTCATAGCCAATTGATTAGAAATGATTAGGACATGATGATATTAACATGACGTTATTACGAAATTTTATACATATACCTGTTTAGAGAATCGTGCTTTTTAACGATTTGAGAGAGCTCTGCTTTAAACTGATTGCCTCCGTGAGAGGGCAAATCACGTAAGCGTTGTTTTAAATTTTCGTACTGTCCACACGCGTGAAATATTAAAGTAATCACAAAAGTGTCTACGGCCGTGTAAGTCTCACTAGTGCAATACGCAGCCAGAATTTGAGCAAATACGGTCAGCTCATAATTTGGCGTGGGTTGTATGTCATATGGAAAATAAGAGCGTAATATGAGGGTACGGCCGACGAAACGAATGAATACAAAATATAGAATGATGAAAAAAACAATAAGTACTTTAGACGTTAAGAGAAATACGAGAGATAGGCGTCTGCAAATTTTGGCAGTGTACATCATCCTTCTTGTTTCTTCCTTCGTTTTCGTATTTTTTTGATCTTCTTCCATATTTGACAGTAGAACACTAATGGCTTGAGTAATATAATTCATTGAAAGAAAATAAATTTTTAGGTGTACAATAAAAAAATAAAAAAATAAAAAAAAATAAAAAAAAAAAGAAAATAAAAACAAAAAACTTGAATAAAATGAGGTTTTGTTATGTGAGAAAGTTAAAAGAAAATAAAGAAAGGAAAAAAAATGCCTCATAGAAATGTACGTGAGAGTTCAGTAAAATATAATAATAATTAAAATTTAACATTAATTACATCTTCCACTGAACCAAAAGATAGTTGTCTTGAAAACGGCAATTAAAACGGTCATGTTTCCAACTGATAAGTTTTCAGCGATCAAGTTAATATCACCCCATATGAAGTAGAGATTAATCGTTTGTGGTATCACAATGAACAGTAACATCATGCTAAGTGGTAGAATGATCAAGTAACTCGATGCTCGATTGTATTTTCTTTCCTCTGGCCAGATTCCCAATATCTTCATAATGAGACGATTCCATCCGTAAATATAATCCACGTAGGAAACTTTAACACATTGACCGATCAATAAAGTATCAGTAATAAGCTTATAAAATTAAGATAACAATTTTCAAATGATATGATGGAACTAATGATCAGTATGAATTACTTCTTGATGATAAATTTTTATCCAATGCTTTTTCCTGTTGTTTTCTCTCTTTTTTTCTTTTTTTTTTTTTCCTTTATATATATATATATATTTGTTCTGAGTAATCCGTTATACCTCGAGTAAAATCCATGTGTGGGTTTCCTTTACAGCGACGTATCGGGAACTGATCCTTTCTTAGTTTGTTTCTCTTTAAAGTATTTTTTTTTTCTAGCGCATGCTCTATAAGAACACCTGCAACTATATTATCTATATCCTTGAGATAATTAATCGTATTAATTTCTTATATTAATTTTTCATTCTTAAGATTAGTAATTATATGTGCTTTTTTTCTGTTTATTTTTTTTTCCTCTAAACTTATTTATAGAAAGTGTTTGTATTTTCTTGTTCAATGGTATAGCTATTTGTATGGTCGTGTTGAACAGATCCCTCTGTGGTAAGACTTTCAAAGCTATTTGCTGCTTGTACATTTTAACTCCAGTGGTTATGTTGATCTAAGATTTGCGGTAACATTTCATGTTACCGACAATCCCTTGAGTTACCAGCTCTAAGTACTTCGATGCTTAATTTCAAAACGTAAGTGGATAATGTTTGACAAGAAGTTATGATCAGATATAATCTCGTAGATTTTTAATAAGATTTTAATAATAACATTATTTTTAAAGATCATTTGAATATATAATATTCTCTTAGATAGTTATATCAGTTGCTTTGAATTTGCGTGAATATATTTTTTTTTCCTGAATGTTTCTTCCTTTCCTTTTTCTTTTCTCTTTTTTTTTTTCTTTTCATGTAGGAAAAACAAAAATATTGATGTAAAAATAATCGACATTCTATTTTTTCATTATAATTAGAAAGTTAATATTGCTTCTTACATTCTTAAAAGCACATTTTTTTTTTATCGTGCACAAAATACGCAATGATACTCCCATGTCATGATAAACATAAATTAGTATATTAGAGATTTAGATTTTTTTTTTAGAGAGGAACTACTGAAACGCTATACTTTAGATATTGATAAAATTGTTTGCTTAATAAATAATCTTTTTTTTTTTGGAAGGAAGATTTGCATAGGAATTACATGGTTAATAACTTTTTATAAATATAATTCTTAAAAATATAATCAATTGTTCGTTGACTTGGTTAATTGGTAAAACTTTCAATAAATTTACATATTTTATTCCGCATTTACAGTATTCATCGCGTGAAGTAACGACAAGTAACTCATCGATGTCTTCAGAATCTGCACACACGGTACATTTTTTACAAGGATCAATTTATCTTCTCAAATTATCTTCTCATATATAAGAGTTTAATATCGTTATATTTACCTTGCCAAAAAGTTTGTGACTGAACGAACAAAATTTGGCTGCAGTTATGTGCATAGGTACACGTGCTCGAAACATGATAATCATTAAAGATTTGATTTGATTGGGTGATAAATTATACCACTGACACTCGTACACTGCATCGGCAAGTCCCATGCTCTATAAAATCAAATAAAATGGTCTTAGTCATTTTCTTTTTTTTTTTTTTCCGAGAAAAAAAAAATATAAAAGAGGGAAATTAATTAACCTCTGTAATGAGTTGCTCGCCAATATAACAATACAAATAGATTTGAAACAAAACGTATAATAAATAGAATCCGAAGAATAACATTTGAATCAAAATCATTCCGTCATTTCCTTGAAGTGCCTAGTACAATTATAGATATAATTTAATTACTTTTCGATAATTCAATTAAAATCTCACCAAGAGCGCCTGAAAACACGTTACGCAAAGTTGCATCGAACAGCCGAGCATTTGCAATAGTAACATGTCACTGAATTGTCTCTCGATCGCATTGACGAATCTAAAAAAGAAGAGAAAAAAAGTTGATTAAGAAACGATTAGTAAGAATTAGAAATCATGGTTATTATCATTAAATTCTATCGAAGTAAATGATAAGATAATTTTTTTTTTTTTTTTTATTAGAAAATGTCTACCTGTTTAGAGAATCGTGTTTTTGAACAATCTGAGCTACTTTAGCTTTAAATTCATAGTCATTTTCAGGAGACAAATTTGATAACTGTTGTCTCAAATTTCTAAATTGTCCGCACGCATGAAAGACCAAAGTAACCACAAAAGTGTCTACCGATGTGTACGTTCCTCCTGTGCAATAGCCAGCTATAGTTTGTCCAAAAATAGTTAGCTCGTAATACGGGGTAGAAAGTTTGTCATACGGAAAATAACAGCGCAATATGAGAACATGGCCGATATAGATAATTAATAATATATGAATAACAACGAAGAGAATAACAATAACGTAATAAGTTAAAGTACTTCCAATGGATATTTTTCTGCAAATTTTCGCGATCCTCATCATTCTTCTTGTTTCCTCTTCTGTATTCGTTTCTTTTCGATCCATTTCCATACGAGATAGTAGAATACTTAGAGCTTGAGTAATATAATTATAATTGAAGGAAAATAAATCTTTTGATGTAAGGATATAATATTCTTTTAATGTATATTCTTTTAACGAAGAAGAGGAAGGGTATTAAATTTAATTTTGGGAAAAAAAGGTTTATCTTGTTGGAGAGTTTGAAAAAAAAAAAAAGAAAAAAAAAAAGGATTTATAAATCAATGAAAAATTATAATTAGACGTATAATTACATCCTCCACTGAACCAAAAGATAGTTGTCTTGAAAACGGCAATTAAAACGGTCATATTTCCAAGTGATAAATTTTCGACGGTCAAATCGATGTCGCCCCATATGTAGTAGAGATCTATCGTTTGTGGTATGTTGACGAATAGTAACATCGTGCTAATTGGTAGAAGGACGATGTAACTCGATGCTTGATTATATTTTCTTTTTTCTGGCCAGATACCCAATATCTTCATAGTGTAACGATTCCAACCGCAAATGTAATCCACGTAGGAAACTTTAGAGCAATAAATGGATCGGCAAAGTATTGTGGTAATCGTTTAAATGAATTAAAATATAGAAATTTTTAATGATATGACGAAATATTAATGTTCGCGATTTTAAATAATTGGGTTAATAATGACTCTTATAATTCAATAGTTAAAATACCTCGGGTCACATCCATGTAAGCTTTCCGTCACAGTTGCGTGTCGAGAACTGATTCTTCGTTGTTGATTTCTTCATTTGAAGCTTTCCCTTTTTTTTTAGCGCATGCTCTATAACAACTTCTTCCGTTACGTTCATACAATTGGTTGAAATTTTTTCTTCCTATCCATTTATGGAAAATAATTTTTAATTTTTTTGAAAAACAAACCAAGTGAAATTTTCTTGTCAATTATCAGTTAAATCAAATCACAAAAAAAAAAAAAAACAGAAAAAAAGAATTGTAAACATCTTTTACAGTTTAGCATGCTATAATAATGCTTGCATTGAAGAGATCCATCTATAGTAGAAACGTTTAAGCCTATTGCTACGCGACTTATTTCCTAACTCTCGTGGTTACTTCTTTTTTTTCTTTTTCTCTTAAGATTTACAGAGAGCATTACGCGTTACCGACAATGCATCGAGTTACCGACATTAAATATATTGAGTCATAGTATTAGAATAGAAATCGATGAAAAAAGAAAATTTTACACGAAAATATAATAAATGCATCCTGTTTTGTATTACTTTAACAAAAATCATTAGAATAAAGATTAAGTAGTAAAATTGTTTACTCTATATTTCTACTTTATAATAAAATCTAATATTATTTCTATGTACAGAAACGTTTTATTCTGTATTTACGACATTTACTGCGAGGAGTACAGACAAGTAACCCATCGATGTCTTCAAAATCTGCGATACATATATACGTCTATCACGAACTGGTTTTTTTTTCTCCTTTTTTTTTTTCTTCATTAGGTATTATACAAACGTTTACTTACATCGCTGAAAAGTTGATGGCTGAATATACTAAATTTTCCTGCTGTTATGCAAAGGGGTACTCTTGCTCGATGCATGATTATCATAAGTGATTTAGCCTCATTAGGAGATAAATCGTACCATTTGCACTCGTATGCAGCATCGGCAACTTTGATGCTCTATGAGAGAACAAAAATTATACAATTTTATTTATCTTATCTTTATTTAGAGAGAAAAAAAAAACGTATATATATTTACCTTTGAAATGAGTTTCTCACCGATGTAACAATACAGGTAAATTTCCAGCAAAATATATGTAATACATAACACGAAGAAAGTCATGTGAATAAATTTAATGACCATCGTTTCTTTCTTTCCAAGTATCTAAAATAATCCCAGAGATAGTTTAAATTCGTACTAATCTCTAATTAATAATTTATTTAGAATCTTACCATAATCGGTAAGAAAAACAAAGCACAAAGTTGAATCGTACAGGCGAGCATTTGCAATAGTAACATGTCGTTGAATTTTTTTTCGATCGTATTGACGAATCTGGGTAAAGAAAAAAAAAAAAAAATAAAAAAAGAAAAGAAAATCAAAGAATTATTAAATTATACTATATATTACTAAATCTTTTGTGCAAATGAGTTGTAAAAAAAAATAATTCCTTTTTCCTCCTTAAGGAAGTGGGTATACCTGTTTAGAGAATCGTGTTTCTTAACGATTTTGGCAAGTTTAATGTAAAATTCATTGTCCTTTCCGCGACGTAGATCGCGTAATCGGTTTCCCAAATTTTCAAATTGTCCGCAAACATGAAGTACTAACATAGCCAGAAATGTGTCTACAGATGTATAAGCATTGCCCATGCAACATGCAGCCAATGTTTGAGCAAAAACGGTTAGCTCGTAATTCGGTGTCGATTGTATGTTGTAAGGAAAATATGAGCGCATTATAAGAATACGGCCGATGTAATGAACTAATAAAAAATGTAGAATGACGAAAAGAATAACGAGTACGTCATAGGTTAAAGTACATGCAATGGATATTTTTCTGCAAATTTTCGCGATACTCATCATTCTTCTTGTTTCCTCCTCGGTATTTGCTTCTTTCCGATCCTCTTCCATGTTAGATAATAGAACACTGATGGCTTGAGTAATACAATTAATTGAAAAAAAAAAAAAAAAAAAAAAGATAAGTGTTTGGATAAAGAATAATTTTTCTTTTATATATATATATATATATTTTTCTTTTTAAATAAATTCATTAGAGAAATTAATTTAAAAGTACGTTATAAGAGAGTGACGAACAAGAAAAAGAAAAAAAAAAAAAAGAAAAAAAAAAAAAAAGAAAAAAAAAAAAGAAAAAAAAAAGGAATAAAAAACTTCAAAAATCAATGAAAAATTATAATTGTTTGTGTAATTACATTCTCCACTGAACCAAAAGATAGTTGCCTTTATGATCGCAAGTAACACAGTCATGTTTCCTACTGACAAATTTTCTGTGGTCAAATCGATATCACCCCATATGAAGTAGAGATTAATCGTTTGTGGTATTCCAATGAACAGTAACATCATGCTAAGTGGTAGAAGGACCAAGTAATTCGATGTTTCATTGATTTTTCTTTTCTTCGGCCATATCCCCAATATCTTCATAGTATAACGATTCCAGCCACAAATGTAATTCACGTAGGAAACTTTAGTATGTTGTCCGATCGAGACAGTATTTATAAAATAAAATGAAATTACTAACGTTATAATGAAACTAATTGTGATATTGATTAATTGTAATTTCATTTAATGTTTCTTTTTGTTTTATTTTTCTTTTTTTTTTTTTTTCATGTATTATTTGTTCTCCATTATACCTCGGTTATGATCCATCTTCCAAGCTTCTGTCACAGTAACGTATCGAGAACTGATCCTATCGAGTTCATTTCTCTTTGAAACATTTCTTTTCTAGCGCATGCTCTATAAGAATTGCTACCATTTTATCTATTTATCAAGAATTTTTCGAATGAATTATCTCGAATAATTTTAATCGTCAATGTAGAAAAATTGAATGTTACGTTTAATGATAATTATTGAGTCAAATATATATATATATATCGTCAAATATATATAAAATATTGAAATAAGAAAATATTTATTTCTAAGATAATTTTAAGCAGATCCCTCTATGTTAAGAACTTTTAAGACCTTTGATAGATATTTATTCTACATCGTTACTCACATGGTTACTTTGTTCCAAGATTTATGGAAACATTTGATATTACCGACAATACAGTGTTACCAGCTCTAAGTACTTAGATACATAGTTTTCGTATATAAATCGATCTAACTTGAATGAAAAATTTGATAAAGTACATAATTTTGTATCTTGTTAGAAGAATAAAATCATTGAAATAAATATTAGGTAATAAAATTATTTGCGATATATTTCTACTATAGATTCAGTTCAATAACAGATAATACATTTGGAGATGCATTTGTACGTTTTATTCCGTACTTACGATGTTCATAGCATGGAGTACTGACAAATAACTCATCGACGTTCTCAAAATCTGCGATAATTGTATCATAAGGAATTACTTTTCTTGATAAATTATATAAATAACTACTTGATATCTTTACTTACGTTGCAAAAAAGTTTATGACTGAAAGAACAAAATTTTCCTGCAGTTATGAAAAATGGTACTTTTGCTCGGATCATGATCATAATAAGTGATCTAGCTTTATTAGATGATAAATCATACCAATTACATTCGTAGACAGCGTCCATAATTCCTATGCTCTGTGACATTCGAAGTTTTCATTAACCGATTCATCCTATTTTCTTCGCAAAAAAAGAAAAAAAAAAAAGTTATCAAGAAATTATTTACCTCTGAAATAAGTTCCTCACCAATGTAACAATACAAATAGATTTGAAGCAAAATGTATGTTACGCATAACATGAGGAATACTATTTGAATTAAGATTATACTATCCTTTCTTCCAAGAGTCTAAAATAATCATCGAGATAGTTGGAATCCATAATAATGACCTTTTTAGTAATTTATTTAGAATCTAACCAAAAGGACCAGGAAACACATAACGCATAGTTGCACCGTACAGCCGACCATTTGCAATAGAAACATGTCATTGAAATTATTTTCGATCGTATTGACGAATCTGAAAAAAATAAAAAAATCGGGAAGAAGCGATCAGAAAGTCACTATACTGTATATTATTAAATTTTAAGCATATGAATTATAAATTCTTTTTTTTTTCCTTTCCTAGAAAATACCTGCTTAATGAATCGTGCTTCTCAACGATTTGACCAATTTTAATGAAAAAATCTTCATTGTCTTTTTCACAACACAAATCACGCAAACGTTGTTTCAAATTTTTAAGTTGTCCACATACATGGAACACCAAAGTAGCGACGAAAGTATCAACCGATGTGTAAACTCCGGCTGCGCAGTATGCAGCCAATGTTTGACCAAGAACTGTTAGCTCGTAGTTCGGTGTGGATTGGATGTTGTATGGGAAATAAGAGCGTATTATGAGAATATGACCGATATAACGAACTAATAGAATATGCAGAATGATAAAAAGAATAATTATTATGTAATACGTTAAATTACATCCAATGGATATCCTCCTGCAAATTTTCGCGATCCTCATCATTCTTCTTGCTTCTTCCTCGGTATTAGTCTCTTTTCGATCCTCTTCCATACGAGATAGTAGAACACTAATGGCTTGAGTAATATAATTCATTGAAAGACAATAAATCTACCGATTTTTTTTTTTTTTTTTTTTTTTTAGTAATACAAAAATTCATCAAAGGAATTAATTTAAAAAGAATTTTTACATACGATAGAATTAGAAAAACAAATATTTTTTTAAAATACCGATCGATAAGTTGAATAGAAATGCACGTGGAAATTCAATGTAATAATCTATTATAATTGGACGTTTAATTACATTCTCCATTGAACCAAAAGATAGTTGTCTTCAATACCGCAATTAAGATAGTTAAATTTCCTACAGACAAGTTTTCGATGATCAAGTCGATATCACCCCATATGAAGTAGAGATTAATCGTTTGTGGTATTCCAATGAACAGTAACATCATGCTAAGTGGTAGAAGGACCAAGTAATTCGATGTTTCATTGATTTTTCTTTTCTTCGGCCATATCCCCAATATCTTCATAGTATAACGATTCCAGCCACAAATGTAATTCACGTAGGAAACTTTAGTATGTTGTCCGATCGAGACAGTATTTATAAAATAAAATGAAATTACTAACGTTATAATGAAACTAATTGTGATATTGATTAATTGTAATTTCATTTAATGTTTCTTTTTGTTTTATTTTTCTTTTTTTTTTTTTTTTCATGTATTATTTGTTCTCCATTATACCTCGGTTATGATCCATCTTCCAAGCTTCTGTCACAGTAACGTATCGAGAACTGATCCTATCGAGTTCATTTCTCTTTGAAACATTTCTTTTCTAGCGCATGCTCTATAAGAATTGCTACCATTTTATCTATTTATCAAGAATTTTTCGAATGAATTATCTCGAATAATTTTAATCGTCAATGTAGAAAAATTGAATGTTACGTTTAATGATAATTATTGAGTCAAATATATATATATATATCGTCAAATATATATAAAATATTGAAATAAGAAAATATTTATTTCTAAGATAATTTTAAGCAGATCCCTCTATGTTAAGAACTTTTAAGACCTTTGATAGATATTTATTCTACATCGTTACTCACATGGTTACTTTGTTCCAAGATTTATGGAAACATTTGATATTACCGACAATACAGTGTTACCAGCTCTAAGTACTTAGATACATAGTTTTCGTATATAAATCGATCTAACTTGAATGAAAAATTTGATAAAGTACATAATTTTGTATCTTGTTAGAAGAATAAAATCATTGAAATAAATATTAGGTAATAAAATTATTTGCGATATATTTCTACTATAGATTCAGTTCAATAACAGATAATACATTTGGAGATGCATTTGTACGTTTTATTCCGTACTTACGATGTTCATAGCATGGAGTACTGACAAATAACTCATCGACGTTCTCAAAATCTGCGATAATTGTATCATAAGGAATTACTTTTCTTGATAAATTATATAAATAACTACTTGATATCTTTACTTACGTTGCAAAAAAGTTTATGACTGAAAGAATAAAATTTTCCTGCAGTTATGAAAAATGGTACTTTTGCTCGGATCATGATCATAATAAGTGATCTAGCTTTATTAGATGATAAATCATACCAATTACATTCGTAGACAGCGTCCATAATTCCTATGCTCTGTGACATTCGAAGTTTTCATTAACCGATTCATCCTATTTTCTTCGCAAAAAAAGAAAAAAAAAAAAGTTATCAAGAAATTATTTACCTCTGAAATAAGTTCCTCACCAATGTAACAATACAAATAGATTTGAAGCAAAATGTATGTTACGCATAACATGAGGAATACTATTTGAATTAAGATTATACTATCCTTTCTTCCAAGAGTCTAAAATAATCATCGAGATAGTTGGAATCCATAATAATGACCTTTTTAGTAATTTATTTAGAATCTAACCAAAAGGACCAGGAAACACATAACGCATAGTTGCACCGTACAGCCGACCATTTGCAATAGAAACATGTCATTGAAATTATTTTCGATCGTATTGACGAATCTGAAAAAAATAAGAAAATTGGAAAGAAGCGGTCAGAAAGTCACTATACTGTGTATTATTAAATTTTAAGCATATGAATTATAAATTCTTTTTTTTTCTCTTCTAGAAAATACCTGCTCAATGAATCGTGCTTCTCAACGATTTGACCAATTTTAATGAAAAAATCTTCATTGTCTTTTTCACAACACAAATCGCGCAAACGTTGTTTCAAATTTTTAAGTTGTCCACATACATGGAACACCAAAGTAACGACGAAAGTATCAACCGATGTGTAAACTCCGGCTGCGCAGTATGTAGCCAATGTTTGAGCAAGAACTGTTAGCTCGTAATTCGGTGTGGATTGAATGTTGTATGGGAAATAAGAGCGTATTATGAGAATATGGCCGATATAACGAACTAATAGAATATGCAGAATGATAAAAAGAATAATTATTATGTAATACGTTAAATTACATCCAATGGATATCCTCCTGCAAATTTTCGCGACTTTCATCATTCTTCTTACTTCTTCCTCGGTATTAGTCTCTTTTCGATCCTCTTCCATACGAGATAGTAGAACACTAATGGCTTGACAAATATAATTCATTGAAAGATAATAAATCTACCGATATTTTTTTCTTTTTTTTTTTCCTTTTTTTCTTTTTTTTTTTTTTTTAGTAATACAAAAATTCATCAAAGAAATTAATTTAAAAAGAATTTTTACATACGATAGAATTAGAAAAAAAAATATTTTTTTAAAATACCGATCGATTAGTTGAATAGAAATGCACGTGGAAATTCAATGTAATAATCTATTATAATTGGACGTTTAATTACATTCTCCATTGAACCAAAAGATAGTTGTCTTCAATGCCGCAATTAAGATAGATAAATTTCCTATAGACAAGTTTTCGATGATCAAGTCGATATCACCCCATATGAAGTAGAGATTAACCGTTTGTGGTATTGTAATGAACAGTAACATCATGCTAAGTGGTAGAAGGACCAAGTAACTCGATGTTTCATTGATTTTTCTTTTCTTCGGCCATATCCCCAATATCTTCATAGTATAACGATTCCAGCCACAAATGTAATCCACGTACGAAACTTTAGAACGTTGACCGATCGACAAAATATTAGTAGTAGTAGGTTTAATCGAAATTAAATTGATAAATTTTAATGATTTGATGAAATCTAATTAATGTGCTCGAATAACCGATTTAATTATGACTTTTGATTCAATGCTTATCCTTATGTATTATTTGTTCAGTATTCGTTTATACCTCGATTCATATCCATATGTTAGCTTTCCTCACAGCGACGTATCGAAAACTGATTCCATCTTAGTTCGCTTCTATTTGAAGCTATTCCCTCCTAGCGCATGCTCCGTTAGTAACTTCTATTACGTTGTCCATGGTATTAAGAAAATTTCTTCGTATTAATATATTAAATAATTATAATCGTAATGTGCTAGAACATACCTCATGGTTTATGATTAACGATTATTTTAGATTATATTGATTTAATCTAAAAATTATAAATCTTTTTGAATGATACGTAGTTATATGCGTAAGATAGTTTTAAACAGATCCCTCTACAGTAAGAATTTCTAAACCCCTTGTCACTACTTACGTGGTCACTCTTCTCTAAGAAAATCATGAATACGTTTTTTCTTACCGACGATGCATCGTTTTACCAGCATTAAGTGATATCGGGCTTCGGGATATAAATCGATAAAAAGTTGACAAAAGGATATGTATAATCATGTTACATTTAAATTACATTTAGATAACATAAAATAAGCTTACATAAGATTATTTTAAAAATTATTTTAACAATAATTTAACTTCAGTTTAAATAATTCGATTTTCCAAAAGTTTTAATCGACGAATTTGATTTTCATCGCATATAGGACGGACAAATAACCCATCGATGTTTTTAAAATCTGTTGGATAAGAAATTTCAAGATAATATTTATTATAATTAGAAAAATAAAATTTGCCACTTACATAGCTGAAAAGTTCATGATTGAAGGAACAAAATTTTCCTGCAGTAATATGCGATGATATTTGTGCTCGACACATTATTATTATAAGACATCTAGCTTCGTTTGGTGATAAATGATACCAGTCGCAATTGTACACGGCAAAAGCAATTTTCGTTCCCTGTGGTATTACAGTTTTTTTCTTTTTTTTTTTTTTTTCTTTTTTTTATCGGGGAACAAGTGCAGTGCATAACTATTTATTTACCTCAGAAAAAAGTTTCTGGCCGATATAACAATATAGATAAATGTGAAGCATGACGTACGTTGTGTATATAGTAAAAAAGAATAGTCGGATTATCAAGAGACTATGATCGTCATCCACAATGGTCTGGAATAATCACACAAACAAAATTAAAAGAACTTGAATCTTGATGTAGCTATTTTCTTTTTTTTTTTCTTTTTTTTTTTTTTTTTTATTTTTTTACCGAAATTGCTTGATAGAATTGAACACAGAGTTGCATTGTACAGCCAAGCATTTGTACGAGTAACATGCCGTTGAATTTGTCATCAATTGTTTCAGCATATCTAAGAAAAGTAGAAATATCGTATAAGTTTGGTAAATATTTTTCAAACATTCTTTTTTTCTCGTACCTATTAAGCATATCATATTTTTTCACAATTCTTGCCAGATCAATTCGAAAGTTTTTGTTACTTTCCGAACACAATTGAGTCAAGTTTTTTCTAAGACTCGAAAATTGTCCGCACACATGTAACACCAACATTGTCATGAAAGTATCAACAGCTGTATAACTGTTGGCTGCGTAAAGTGCGGCTGTAATTTGTCCAATCTGGGTTAGTTCGAAATTCGGAAAGATGTGGGTGTTATATGGGAAAGAGGCACGATAATACAAAACCCGTCCGGTAATCGGTAGCAATAGGGTTCTTATTATCACATGAGTAAAAACAATACAATTACACATTATGATACTTCCAGTTGTTATCTTCCTACTGATATCAGCGATTCTCATCATCTTCCTAACGTTTTCCTCGGTTGTAGCTTCTCTTCGATCGTTTTCCATGTGCCATAGAAGTATTTTCATGGCTTGACGATGGAAATAATTGGTTTATAAAAACATTAATTTTCGAATATAACTCTCTACTTTGAAAAAAAGAAAAAAGAAAAATAATAATCTTATGTATAATTACATCTCCCGTTGGACCAAAATGCTGCTGTCTTCAATAGAGAAATTGTTATAATTATGTTTGATACCGATAGATTTTCGACGATAGATTCGAAATCATCCCAAATGAAATAGAGATTTGTTGTTTGTGGTACGGTAATAAAGAGAAACATAAAACTGATCGGGAATAAAACTTTATAGCTGGATCCATAAGTGAATCCTCTTTCTTCCGGCCAAATCCCCATGAAGATCATAATTTTCCGATTCCAACCGCAAGCGTAATCCACGTAGGAAACTATGTATGCGTCACATTAATTATATATATATATATATATAATTATGATCATACAATTTTATATATATATACGTATATTAATCAATCGATTGCGATAAATCGTTTTGTTATTAATCGTAATTTCTATCGCTTTCTCTTTTTATTTGTTTTAATTGTAATATATTTTCTGATTATTAATAATGTAATACCTTGATTAACATCCATGTAAGCTCTCCTCGCAACGACGCATCAAGAACTGATCTGTCTCGATATTCTTTTACGTTCAAAGCACTTACTTTCTCGCGCATGCTCTATAAAATCAATCAAGTCCGCATTATCCTAATGGTAAAAATATAATTAAAGTTTTCAAATTTGTATCGATTCCAATCAAGTTTTAATGACAAATATACAATTTAGATGAATTAACGAATTTTATTAATGAACATTATAATAATCATTAAGGATCACATTAAACGCGGCCCTCTATAGTAAGAAATACTAAACGATTTCATAACTCGCTCGGTTACTATGTTACTTTTATCTTTCTGCACTTTATCTTACCGACATTCCATCGAGTATTTAATTTTTCTCATCCTTTTTTTTATTTATCGATAGTATGAAAAAATCGTTAGACGAAATGATATAATTATCTCCTTAAGAATCTAATTTGTCGTCTGTATATGCTAATGTTAGATGTATAATTTAACTAATTGATAATTGCATCTTTTTCAAATCTATATAAAATTATTGAATACTATTTTATCTTTTAAATTAATTCAACGCGTTAATTAATAAATTAGGATGACGTGTTTGGATTTATTCTACATTTGTGTATTTTATTATGTATAAGACGGACACTTAATCCATGGACGTTTCCAATATCTGCGTAATATGGAATATGTAAAATTAAGTTTATAATAGCGATTTGTTAATTGTTATTATTTACTTACTTTGAGAAAATGTTAATTAAAGAATTTTTATTTAAAATTCTTCATTGTTTCTTTCATAACACGCAAATCACGCAGACGTTGTTCCAAACTTTTAAGTTATTTACATACATGAAATATTAATATAGACATAAAAGTATCTATTGATACGTAAACTCCGTCTATGCGTAGCATGCAGCCAATGTGTGGATTGTATGTTATACGAGAAAGAAAATCGTATTATGAGAATATGGTCGATATAATGAACTAATAGAATATGCACAGTGATAAAAAGAATAATTATTATGTAATACGTTAAATTACATTCAATGGATATCCTCCTGGAAATTTTCGCGATCCTCATCATTCTTTTTGCTTCTTCCTCGGTATTAGTCTCTGTTCGATCCTCTTCCATACGAGATAGTAGAACACTAATGGCTTGAGCAATATAATTCATTGAAAGATAATAAATTTACCGATTTTTTTTTTTTTTTTTTTTTTTTTTTTTTTTTTTTTTTTTTTTTTTTTTTTTTTTTTTTTTTGAGTAATACAAAAATTCGTCAAAGTAATTATTTGAAAAAGAATTTTTATCTATGAAAGAATTAGAAGAAATAAGTACAAGATGTTTTTTGAAATACCGATCGATTGGTTTCATAGAAATGATCGTGAAAATTCAATGACATAATCAATTATAATTCGACATATAATTACATTCTTCACTGAACCCAAGAGATAGTCGTCTTCAAGACCATATATTTAACACAGTTACATTTCCAAAAGACAAGAGATTATATCTCGATTAACTAACATCCATGTGTTGGGTTTCCTGACAGTGAAAACTATATGGAAAATTGATCCTACCTGAGTTCGCTTTTATTTGATGCTATTCATTCCCAGCGCATACTCTGTTACTAACTTCTACTGCGTTGTCCATGGTACTAAGAAAATTTCTTCGTATTAATATCTTAAATAATAACAATCGTCGTGCTAGGACAAACATAATGGGTTATGATTAACGATGATTATTTTAGATTATATTGATTTACTTTAAAAAAATTATAAATCATTTCTCCGAATGATAAATATTATTTATACGTAAAATAATTTTGAAGAGATATCTTTATGATAAGAATTTCTAAATCCTTTGTCATTTCTTACATAACTTAACTCTTTTGATCACTTTTTTGAGTGATTTATGAAAAATTTTTTTTAATGTCGACGATCCATCGTTTTATCAGAGTTAAATATTTCGTGATATTGGGCTTCAGGTAATAAATCGATTAAAAGTTGTCATAAAAACGTATAATAATGTTATATCGTTGCATTAAAGTAAACGTAATATTGTTTTAAAAATTATTAAAGAATAATTTAACTTCAGTTTAAATAATTTACTTTTTCGAACGTTTTAATCGACATCTTTGGTTTTCATCGCATATAGGACGGACAAGTAACCCATCGATGTTTTTAAAATCTGTTGGATTGGAAATTTCTTACATACTACTATTTATATTCGTACTATTTATTACAATTAAATGATTGAAGTTTGTTACTTACCTTGCCGAATAGCTCATGATTGAAGGAACAAAATTTTCCTGCAGTAATACGCGATGATAATTGTGCTCGACACATTATTATTATAAGACATTTAGCTTCCTTTGGTGATAGATCGTACCAGTTGCAATCGTACGCTGCATAAGCCATTTTCGTTCCCTGTGGTATTACAGTTTTTCCTTTTTTTTTTCTTGTTTCCTTTTTTTTTGTTTTTCTTTTCATCAGGGAAAAAAATTAAATACATGATTACATATTTACCTCAGAGAAAAGTTTTTCGCCGACGTAACAATATAGATAGATATGAAGCATGACGTACGTTGTGTATATAGCAAAAAAGAATAGCCGGATTATCAAGAGATCTTGATCGTCATCCACAAGGGCCTGGAATAGTCGCACATAGAACATTACGATTTTAGATAAAAATTTGATATTTTCTTTTTTTTTTTTTTTTTTTTTTTTTTTCTTTTACCGAAATTGCTTGATAGGATTGAACGCACAGTTGCACTGTACAGCTAAGCATTTGGATCAGCAACATGCCGTTGAATCTGTCCTCGATCGTTTCAGCATACCTACGAAAAATATAAATATCGTATAAATTTGGTAAATATTTTTGAAGATGCTTTCTTTTCTCGTACCTGTTAAGCATATCATACTTTCGTACAATTCTTCTTAGATCGATTTGAAAATTTCTGTTATTTTCCGAACACAACTTTGTCAATTTTTTACGGAGATTCGAAAATTGTCCGCACACGTGTAACATCAGCATTGCCATGAAAGTGTCAACAGCTGTGTAACTGTTCGCTACATAAATTGCAGCTGTAATTTGGCCAATCAGTGTTATTTCGAAATTCGGAAAGATTCGAGTGTCGTATGGGAAATAAGCACGATAATACAAAACCCGTCCGGTATATGGTAACAAAAGGGTTTTAAATGTCACAAAAGTTAAGGCAACAAAGTTACACATTATGATACTTCCAGCTATTATCTTCCTGCTGATAACACCGATATTCATCATTTTCTTGATGTTTTCCTCGGCTATAGCTTCTTTTCGATCGCTTTCCATGTGCGATAGAAGTACTTTCATAGCTTAACAATAGAAATCATTGCTTTATAAAATTATTAACTTTTCAATGAACTTCCTTTCTCCAAAAGAAAATAATTTTATTATAGTTACTTCTTCTGTTGGACCAAAAGGTAGCTGTCTTCAATATAGCAATAGTGGTAGTCATGTTTCCCACCGATAAATTCTCCACGATCAATTCGAAATCACCCCAAATGAAATAGAGATTCGTTGTTTGTGGTAGGGTAATGAATAGAAACATAATACCAATCGTGAATAACACTTTGTAATTGCACGCATTGGGTAATCCTCGTTCATCCGGCCAAATCCCCATGAACTTCATAATTTTTTGATTCCAGCCGCTAGCGTAATCCACGTAGGAAACTTTCCGTGCACGACATCGATCGAGATATATTTATGATTAATGATTTTATTATATATTATATATATATATAATATATAATAAAATATATATTAAACAAATAATTCCAGTAAACTGTTGTATTATTAATCGTAATTTTTATCGCTTTTTTTTTTTATTTATTTTAACTATAATATATTGTCTGATCATTAATAATATAATACCTCGATCAGAATCCATGTAAGCTCTCCTCGCAACGATGCATTAAGAACTGATCTCTCTCGATATTTTTTTACGTTCAAAGCACTTACTTTCTCGCGCATGCTCCGTAAAATCAATCAAGACCGTATTATCATATTTCGCATTTGTTAAAATTCATGATAAAAATATTATTAAAGTTTTCAAATTTGTATCGATTCCAATCAAGTTTTAATGTCTAATATATAATTTAGATGAATTAAAAAAATTCATTGATCTATATAAAAATTATAATAATCATTAAGGATCACGTTAAACGCGGCCCTCTATAGTAAGGAATATTAAACAATGTCATAACTCGCTCGGTTACTATGTTACTAGTCGTTTGTGTGCTTCTGTTTGCGCTGATTACCTTATCGACATATTAACATATATTATTTTTTTTATAATTATTTTTGAAACACATCACTGTGGATTTTGTCATGTAAACTTCATGCATTAATTCTCACCATTCTTTATTTTTCTTTTAGGATATTCAATCATATACTCGATTGTAGGCACATTATCTTACCGACATACTATCGAATATTTCATCATTTTCATTTTCTTTTTATTAATTGATATTGTTAAAAAAATTATTATACGAAACGATATAATAGTCTTTTAAGAATCTAATTCATCGTCTACAGATTCAAATGTTAAGTAAATAATTTAACTAATTGAAAATTTGCAATTGTTTTTAATTTATATACAATTTGAATATTATTGGATCTTTTAATTTAATTCAAAACGTTAATTAATAAATTAGGATGACGTCTTTGAATTTATTCGAGATTTTTGGATTTCATGGTGCACAAGACGGACAAATAATCCATAGAAAGTTTCTAAATCTATGGAATATGAATTATATAAAATTATGTTTATTATTAGAATTATTAATTGTTATTTATTATTCACTTTTGTAAAAAGTCGAACATGTTCTATTTACTTTCGGTCGTATTGATGAATTTGAAAGAAAAAGAAATGCAAAAAGCAGCAATCAGAAAGTCATTATATTCCGTATTATTAAATTTTATATAAACGATTTTTTTTTTTTTTTTTTTTTTTTTTTTTTTTTTTTTTTTTTTTTGAATAATACAAAAATTCATTAATGAAATTAATTTGAAAAGAATTTTTATATATGAAAGAATTAGAAAAAAAATATTTTTATTTTTTAAATACCGATCGATTAGTTGAATCCATTAGTTGATTGTTTTATGATAAGAATTTTTAAACCCCTCGTTTTTTACGTAGTTTATAAGAGATTTATAGAAAATTTTTACTTTTCTCTTTTATAGAAACATTTTTTTTTACCGACGAGGGATCATTTTATCAGCGTTAAATATTTCATTATATTGGGCTCCGGGATATAAATCGATAAGAAGTTGACAAAAAGACGTGTAATCGTGTTACATAGTTACATTTTAATGAACGTAATATTATTTTAAAAATTATTAAAAAATAATTTAACTTAAGTAAATTAAATAATTACCAAATGTTTTAATTAACATCTTTGGTTTTCATCGCATATAGAACGGACAAGTAACCCATCGATGTTTTTAGAATCTGTTAAATAGGAAATTGTAAAATATTATTTATTATCAGAAAATTTAAATTTGCGACTTACATTGCCGAAAAGCTTATGATTGAAGGAACAGAATTTTCCTGCAGTAATACGCGATGATAATTGTGCTCGACACATTATTATTATAAGACATTTAGTTTCCTTTGGTGATAGATCGTACCAGTTGCAATTGTACGTTGCATAAGCCATTTTCGTTCCCTGTGATATTATATATTTTTTTTTTCATTTTCATCGGGAAAAAAACGAAATAAATGAAAAAATATTTACCTCAGAAAAAAGTTTCTCACCGACGTAACAATATAGATAGATATGAAGCATGACGTATGATGTGTATATAACGAAAAAGAATAGTCGGACTATCAGGAGTCCTTGATCGTCATCCACAAGGGCCTGGAATAGTTGCGCATACGATATTACGGTTTAAGATATCAAATTAATTCAACTATATGATACTAAACGATCTTTTTCTCTTTTTTCTTTTTTTTTTCTTTTTCTTCTTTTTTTTTTTACCGAAATTGCTTGATAGGATTGAACGCATAGTTGCACTGTACACCCAAGCATTTGCATAAGCAACATACCGTTAAATCGGTCTTCAATTGTTTCAGCATATCTAGAAAAAAATAGAATTATCGTAAAAATTTGGTAATCATTTTTCAAGACCTCTTTTTTTCTTTCTCGTACCTGTTAAGCGTATTATACTTCTCCACAATTCTTGCTAGATCAATTCGAAAGTTATTGTTACTTTCCGGACACAACTGGTTCAATTTTTTTCTGAGAATCGAAAATTGTCCGCACACGTGTAACATCAACATTGCCATGAAAGTATCGACAGCTGTGTAACTATTGGCTGCGTAAAGTTCGGCTGTAATTTGGCCAATCAGAGTTAGTTCGAAATTTGGAAAGATTTCGGTGTCATATGGGTAATAGGCACGATAATACAAAGTCCGTCCGGTATATGGTAGCAAAAAGGTTCTTAATGTCACATAAGTGAAGACGATGAAGTTACACATTATGATACTTCCAGCTATTATCTTCCTGGTGATAACAGCGATTCTCATCATCTTTTTGACGTTTTCCTCATCTTGAGCTTCTCTTCGATCATTTTCCATGTGAGATAGAAGTACTTTCATAGCTTCACAATAAAAATAATTAGTTTATGAAATTATTCTCTTTTGAATAAGCCTTGCTTCTTCAAAAAAAATTAAACTTATTATAGTTACTTCTTCTGTTGGACCAAAAGGTAGCTGTCTTCAATATAGCAATTGTCGTAGTCATGTTTCCCACCGATAAATTCTCAACGACCAATTCGAAATCACCCCAAATAAAGTAGAGATTCGTTGTTTGTGGTACGGTAATAAAGAGAAACATAAAACCGATTGGGAATAATACTTTGTAGCTGGACACATGAGTGAATCCCCTTTCCTCCGGCCAAATCCCCATGAACTTCATAATTTTTTGATTCCATCCACTAGCGTAATCCACGTAGGAAACTTTGCTTGCATCACATCGATCGAGAGACATTTATTATTTATGATTTAATAATAATTATATATATATATATATATATATATATATATATATATATATATATATATATATATATATTAAACAAATGATTGCGTTAAAATGTTTTGTCAGTAATCGTAATTTTTATGGCTTTCTTTTTTATTTATTTTAATTGTAATATATTTTCTGATTATAAATAATGTAATATCTCGAGAAAAATCATGTAAGCTCTCCTCGCAACGACGCATCAAGAACTGATCTCTCTCGATATTTTTTTACGTTCAAAGCACTTTCTTTCTCGCGCATGCTCCGTAAAATCAATCAAGACCGTATTATCATATTTCGCATTTGTTAAAATTCATGATAAAAATATTATTAAAGTTTACAAATTTGTATCGATTCCAATTAAGTTTTAATGTCTAATATACAATTTAGATGAATTAAAAAATTTCATTGATCTATATAAAAATTATAATACTCATTAAGGATCACGTTAAACGCTTCCCTCTATAGTAAGGAATACTAAACGATTTCATAACTCGCTCGGTTACTATATTACTAGTCGTCTGTGTGTTCTGTTTGTGCTGGTTACCTTATCGACATATTAACATACATTATTTTTTTATAATTATTTTTGAAACACATCACTGTGGATTTTGTCATGTAAACTTCATGCATTCATTTTCATCATTCTCTGTTTTTCATCCATGATATTCGATTATATACTCGATTGTAGGAATATTATCTTACCGACATACTATCGAATATTTCATCATTTTTAATTTCTTTTTATTAATTGATATTGTTAAAAAAATCATTAAACGAAACGATATAATAATCTCTTAAGGATCTAATTCATCGTCTATAGTTTCAAATGTTAAGAAAATAATTTAACTAATTGAAAATTTGCAATTGTTTCTAATTTATATATATTTTGAATACTCGTGTACATTTTGTATTGGATCTTTCAATTCAATTCAACACGTTAATCAAAAAATTAGGATGACATTTTTAAATTTATTCCACCATTTTGGATTTCACGGTATATAGGAAGAACAAATAATCCATAGACGTTTTCAAAATCTATGGAATATGAAATATATAAAATTAAGTATATTATTAAAAATTGTTAATTGTTATTTATTACTCACTTTTCCAAAAAGTTGAACATGTCCTATTTACTTTCGATCGTATCGACGAATCTGAAAGAAAAAGAAAATCAAAATGTAGCGATCAGAAAGTCATTATATTCGTAATTAATGTTCTCGATTAACCGGTTCAATTATGACTTTTGATTCAATGCTTTTCTTATGTATTATTTGTTCACTATTCGGTTATATCTCGATTCACATCCATATGTTGAATTTCCTCACAGCGACGTATCGAAAACTGATTTCACATAATTTCGCTTATATTTGGTGCTATTCGTTTTCAGCAAATGTTCTATAAGAACTTCTACCGTTTATCCATGGAATTAAGATAATTTCTTCGTATTAATGTATTAAATAATTACAATCGTCGTGCTAGAACATGCGAAATGTTTTATAATTAACAATTATTTTAGATTATATTGATCTACTCTAAAAATTATAAATCTTTTCTATGTTTGAATGATACATAGTTATAGATAAGATAGTCTTAAACAGATTTATTTATGATAAGGATTTTTAAACCCTTCGCTTTTTACGTGGTCTCTAAGAGATTTGTAAAAACATTTTTTTTTTACCGACGAGGGATCATTTTATCAGCGTTAAATATTTCATTATATTGGGCTCCGGGATATAAATCGATAAGAAGTTGACAAAAAGACGTGTAATCGTGTTACATCGTTACATTTAAGTAAACGTAATATTATTTTTAAAATTATTAAAAAATAATTAAACTTTAGTATAAATAATTTGATCTTCCAGATGTTTTAATTTATATTTTTCGTTTTCATCGCATACAAAACGGACAAATAACCTATTGATGTTTTTAGAATCTGTTAAACAGGAAATTGTAAAATATTATTTATTATAATTAGAAAATTTAAATTTGCGACTTACATTGCCGAAAAGCTTATGATTAAAGGAACAAAATTTTCCTGCAGTAATACGCGATGATATTTGTGCTCGACACATTATTATTGTAAGACATCTAGCATCCTTCGGTGGTAGATTGTACCAGTTGCAATCGTACGCTGCATAAGCCATTTTCGTTCCCTGTGATATTATATTTTTTTTTTTCATTTTCATCGGGGAAAAAAACGAAATAAATGAAATAAATGATAAAATATTTACCTCAGAAAACAGTTTCTCGCCGACGTAACAATATAGATAGATATGAAGCATGACGTACGTTGTGTATATAACAAAAAAGAATAATTGGACTAACAGGAGACCTTGATCGTCATCCACAAGGGCCTGGAATAGTCACACTAAAATGATTATATTTTAAAATAACACATTAATAATTTTCCTTTTTTTTTTTTTTTTTTTACCGAAGTTGCTTGATAGGATTGAACGCATAGTTGCACTGTACACCCAAGCATTTGCATAAGCAACATACCGTTAAATCGGTCTTCGATTGTTTCAGCATATCTAGAAAAAAATAGAATTATCGTATAAGTTTGGTAATCATTTTTCAAGACTTCTTTTTTTCTTTCTCGTACCTGTTAAGCGTATCATACTTCTCCACAATTCTTGCTAGATCAATTGGAAAATTTTTGTTACTTTCCGAACACAATTGGGTCAAGTTTTTTCTGAGACTCGAAAATTGTCCGCACACGTGTAACATCAACATAGTCATAAAAGTATCGACAGCTGTGTAACTATTGGCTGCATAAAGTTCGGCTGTAATTTGGCCAATCAGGGTTAGTTCGAAATTTGGAAAGATTTCGGTGTCATATGGGAAATAAGCACGATAATACAGAGTCCGTCCTGTATACGGTAGCAAAAGGGTTCTTAATGTCACGTAAGTAAAGACAAGAAAGTTGCACATTATGATACTTCCAGCTGTTATCATCCTGCTGATATCAGCGATTCTCATCATTTTCCTGACATTCACCTCGGCTTTAGCTTCTCTTCGATCATTTTCCATGTGCGATAGAAGTTCTTTCATAGCTTGACGATAGAAATAATTGGTTTGTAAAAATATTAATTTTTGAATATATCTCTTTACTTTCAAAGAAAATAATCATATTTATAGTTACTTCTCCCGTTGGACCAAAAAGCTGTTGTTTTTATTATAGCGATTGTTGTAGTCATGTTTGCTACCGATAAATTCTCTACGATCAATTCAAAATCACCCCAAATGAAGTAGAGATTCGTTGTTTGTGGTAGGGTAATGAATAGAAACATAAAACCAATCGTGAATAACACTTTGTAACTGTACGCATTGGCGAATCCTCGTTCTTCCGGCCAAATCCCCATGAACTTCATAATTTTTTGATTCCAGCCGCTAGCGTAATCCACGTAGTAAACTTTCCGTGCACGACATTGATCGAGACATATTTATGATTAATGATTTTATTATATATTATATATATATATATATAATATATAATAAAATATATATTAAACAAATAATTCCAGTAAACTGTTGTATTATTAATCGTAATTTTTATCGCTTTCTTTTTTTATTTATTTTAACTATAATATATTGTCTGATCATTAATAATATAATACCTCGATCAGAATCCATGTAAGCTCTCCTCGCAACGATGCATTAAGAACTGATCTCTCTCGATATTTTTTTACGTTCAAAGCACTTACTTTCTCGCGCATGCTCCGTAAAATCAATCAAGACCGTATTATCATATTACGTATTTATTAAAATTCATGATAAAAATATTATTAAAGTTTTCAAATTTGTATCGATTCCAATCAAGTTTTAATGTCTAATATATAATTTAGATGAATTAAAAAATTTCATTGATCTATATAAAAATTATAATAATCATTAAGGATCACGTTAAACGCGGCCCTCTATAGTAAGGAATACTAAACGATTTCATAACTCGCTCGGTTACTATGTTACTAGTCGTTTGTGTGTTCTGTTTTTGCGGGTTACCTTATCGACATATTAACATACAATATTTTTATATAATTATTTTTGAAACATATCACTACATTGTTTTGCAAACGTTTGCTAAACTAATTTTCCTCATTTTCTGTTTTTCTTGTTAGATATATCTTACTCTTTGTAGGTCATAAAGTGGCAAAAAAAATGTTCCGACACAATCATAGGACGATTCACATTTCATATTGAAACACCATAATGATTTTTATAAGTTTTTTTAAACTATTTCGGTGAGTTCTTTATGCTCGATACGTTGTATGTATTTTGTCTTTTATGGTTACTCGATTTTAGGCGCTTTATCTTATCGATATATAATCGAGTATTTCATCTTTTTCAAATTTCTTTTTATTTATTATGGAAAAGAAAAAGAAAGTTACACGAAACGATATTCTTATAAATCTAATTCGTCGACTCTAGATTGATATGTTAGGTGTATAATTTTACTACAATTCCAATTGTTTCTAAGTGTTTATGTTATTTAATAAATTAGGCTAACATGTTGGATTTATTCTAAATTTTTGGATTTCATTGTGTACAAAACGGACAAATAACCCATTGACGTTTTCAAGATCTGTAGAATGTGAAATATATAAAATTAAATATACAATCATGATTTGTTAATTGTTATTTTTTACTTACTTTGGTAAATAATTGAAGATTGAATGAACAAAATCTACCAGCAGTGATGCACAATGGCGATCGTGCTCGATGTATTATTAAAATAAGACACTTAGCTTCCTTGGCAGGTATATTGTACCATTCACATTCGTATGCTGCATTGGCCATTCTTGAGCTCTACGGAGACAAATTTTTTAGAATAATTTCATAAAAATATATGTATATATATACACGAAAAATGGTAAATTTACCTCTGAAACTAATTTTTCTCCTATGTAACAGTATAGGTAAATTTGTAACAGAATATAAGATATGTAAAGAGTCAGGAAGCACATTTGAAACACGAACAATTCCTGATTTTCCTCGGTAATCAACTGTATTGTAATTGCACGATGATATATTACTCCTTTAGAGTTTCAATTCAATCTTAAGACTCATTGAATTTCCTTACCAAAAGTGCTTGGAAGAATAGAACGCAAAGTTCTATGGTACAACCCAACATCTGCATCAACAACATTCCATTGAATTTGTTTTCTATCGTGTCAGCAAATCTAAAATAAATATTAATCGATGTTCACAGGAATAAATTAAAAAACCAAAAAAAAAAAAAAATGCGAATTCCATTTAACAGCTGACAAAATCAATTCATCAACTCACTTATTAAGAGTGTCATGTTTCTTCACAATATTTGCAATCTTCTTTTGAAAATCAACGTCGTCATTGATACTGAGGTTCTTCATTTTTTGTCTAAGATACGAAAATTGGCCGCACACGTGTAGAATCAACATGGCGACGAATGTGTCCACGGCCGTGTACGTCGTAGCCGTATAAAATGCTGACACAATTTGTCCGATGGACGTCATCTCGAAATTTGGTGTGATCAATGATTCGTAAGGGAAATAAGATTGTAAGAAGAGAGCACGATGGCCGGATTGGTGCATCAAGAGAAATCGTGATGTTGCCCAGAGTACAACTACGGAATTAGTTATCACGGTACTTCCAATTGATATCCTCCTGGATATCCTTGCAATCGTCATCATCTTCTTGATTTCTTCTTCCGTGTCAGCCTCCTTTCGATGATTCGTCATTAAAGTGAGAAGATTCTGAATGGCTTAAGTAACAGCAACGATCGAAAGAAGATCAACCAATAAACTTAATTTATTTCACCAATTTATCAAGTGAATCGTCGTAAATTATATGGTGTTATATTTGAAATAAAATGAAATCTGACAAATATAATTACGTCTTCCGTTGAACCAAAAGATGATTATCTTCATCAGCGCTAACATCACCGTTATATTTGCCACAGAAAGATTATCGACGATCATGTTGAAGTCATCCCATATGAAGTAAAGATTGATAGTTTGTGGTAAAGCCATAAAGAGAAACATAAGGCTAACTGGTATTAGCACTCTGTAACTCGATGCTCGATCGAACTTTCTCTCTTCCGGCCATATCCCCATGAACTTCATGGTATAGCGGTTCCAACCAGATGCGTAATCCACGTACGAAACTTTGGCATGCCAATCGATCGATTGAGATTATTAATGATAGTGTCATTTCATAAATAACACTATTCAAAGAATAATAAAGGTAACATATACGAGTAAAAATATTTTGTTTTCCCTAAACGTATACCTCGATTAATAAAATCCATGTTAGGTTCTTCTATGACAACGATCTATCGAGAACTGATCTATCTCCTCAGTTCCTCCCTATTTCAATCGTCTTTATTTCCTAGCGCATGCTCATAATCACTAAGAACGCTACGATCTCATAGGAAGGTCTTTATAGAGGTTCATTTGTTACAATTTATCGAATCGATCGGTTTGAATTTTTTCGAATATTTTTCTATTAACTAACACGACAAAATATCTGTTTCTTTTAACGTAACTTGTCTATATCGTAAAATGAACAATGAAAAATATTATATATATATATATATATATATATATATTTAAAAAAAAAATAGAAAAAGAAAAAAGGAAAGAAAGAAAATATTGAAATCATCTTCGCCGTTCCTTTAAATAGAGAGATCCCTCTATAGCAAGAAAATCGAAACACGTCATTGTGTTCTTCGTGTCTCGACTCTTGCGGTTAGTTTAGGCTCCTTATCAGATAGAAATGAAGTACGAACATATTACCTTACCGACGTACGATCTATCATTGGAAAAACTTTGAGATTATCGCGATATAAATACTATTGGTTATGAGATAATAAACGCATAAAAAAATATTATACAGTTTGACAGCGATATTTTATCTGTGACAATTTTACATTTGAACTGTTCACATTAGATTCTTCATTTTCATTGCATAAAGAACCGACAAGTAACCCATCGATGTCTTTAAAATCTAAAAACAGATCGATAATACTATTTACAAGATATTTTTTTTTCTTTTTTGTTTTGTTTTGTTTTGTTTTGCTTTTTTTTCCTTTTCTTTTTTGGTTTTTTTATCATACACACTTACGCTACTGTATAATTCTTGGGTGAAGGTACAGAATTTACCAGCCGTAAGACACAACGGCGTTCGTGCACGATACATAATCATAATAAGTGATTTAGCCTCTTTCGTTGTTAAATTGTACCACTCACAATCGTACGCGGCCTGTACAATATTCTTGCTCTGAAATAGATATGTGAAAGTTCACAATTTCCTAAATTTTTATTCCTTTATTTTCCATATAAACTCGCCTCCGAAAGAATTCTCTCACCGACGTAGCAATAAAGATAAAGCTGAATTAGTACGTAAAACACGTAAAGTATTAGAAAGGATAATTCCAAGAGAAAAAGTTCATTTGGTTCACCGATTATCGACTGAAAACATTACTAATGGATAAAGTTTATATATATCATTTATCATAGAAATTTTATCATTTTAATATCATGCCTTACCAAGAGCGCTTGGAAAGATTGAAAGCACAATTGTACGGTACAACCGAGCATCTGAATCAGTAGCATTACGTTGAATTGACCCTCGATCGTATCGGCAAATCTAAACGAATTGACAAACACATTTATTTAATTTAAAATTTAATTTTTTTTTCCTTTTTTTTTTTTTTTTTTGCATGATTCATGCATGAATAGGATGATTCATCACCTGTTAAGATAGTCATGTTTCTCGACTATATAGATTAATTTGGTTTTAAACTCGTCACTGGTTCTAGGTCGCAAATTCATCAGATCTCGTTTTAAGTTCGAAAGTTGTCCACAAGCGTGAAGAACGAGCATGGCGATGAAGGTGTCCACGGCTGTGTAGGATGTGGCGGCGTACAATGCTGCTATCAATTGAGCTACAATTGTTAGCTCGTAATTAGGACTGATATGTGGGTCGTAAGGAAAATACGCTCGAAATAAAAGATTACGACCAATATAATGAATCGTGACGTAACGAAATATAAGGTAGACAACGACGACACTGAGACACATGATGGTACTTATGATCGATATCTTCCTCGAAATCGTCGCAATGTTCCTCATTGTTTTTTTATCCTCTTCGTTCGCTCCAGCTTTCAGATCCTCCTCCATTAACGACAGAAGATGTTTGAGAGCTTGCGTGAACAATGAATTTTTTTATAATGAATCGAAACTTCTATCTTATCTCTTAACTTTTTTCAATTTATTTATTTATAATTTTTTTTTTCCTATTTGTCTAGTCTTTTTTATTTTGTTTTTTATAACATATTTACATCGTCCGTTCAGCCAGAAAATGATAATTTTCAACAGGGAAATCGTGAAGGTAATGTTACCCATCGATAGATTTTCCACGACCAAATTGAAATTAGTCCAAACGAAGAAGAGATTTATCGTTTGAGGCAAACAGATGAAGCAAAGAATAAAACATACTGGTATGAAAACTTTAAAATTCGAGATTCGATCGAATCCTCTTTCGTTCGGCCAAATCCCTATAAAATCCATGGTGTATCGGTTCCATCCGTAAATGTAATCAATTTTTAAAACTTCTTGCATATCCATTGCAATTTCTGTATAACTGATACGTTTAATCATATGATATTTTAGACAGAAGCAATATTTTAGTCAGCTCGTCTGCCCGAGACGCGTTAAGGACTGATCTTGATTCATCCATTCCGTATTTTCGCGAGCAATGTCTTCCGTCTTGGTTTCGCGCATGCTCTATAAAAAGGATAGGAATGCTGTAGGCAAGTCTTACGTTTCAAAAACAAATCGATCACGATTATTACGATTTTTATTGAAAATATAATATTCGATTAATATGTTATTCGCATATTTATTCAGAACTCAGAATAAATTTAGTTCAGCTGTATCGAAATTTTGTAAAAGTTTTTTTTTTTTTTTTTTTTAACATTTACTTACGAATGTTTTAAAAATGAAAAGTAGGTGTTTATCGAACAGTATCCCTCTAACGTTGGAAAACTTAAACCTTCGTTACAGTTGACTCCGGTGGTTACAAGGAATTGTCTTTAGGCTACGTTACGTTATCGACGTCTTTTTAATTTATGAAAATTGCAAAATTTTTTTTTTTTTTTTTTTTCTTTCGTTATACATGTTAATACTCTCACGCAATGTAATTGGTCAATAAATGACAATTAACGGAACAGAAATTCTTACGAGTATATTATCTCACAACGTATAAAATGTTTATAACTTAAGTAAATTTAAAGTTTTACAAATAATATTTATTACTATATTGTATACTAGTGTTTATTATTATAATGTATGTAGTAGTCTGCAACCCCTCAATTTACTCTGTCACTATTCTATTTATTATTATTTTTGTAAATTAATCCTTTTTTTCCGTTACCGTTAATAACACCGAAAGATATCCAATTGTAGTTTTTAAAATCTGCAAGAGAAAACTAAATAGTATTTAAATAATCGTATAATCCTTTTTACATTCATTGTTTTCTCTTACGTTGCTAAACATTTCCATCGAAAAAGTGCCAAATTTTCCGGCTGTTAAACGAAATGGTATAGAAGATCGATGCATCACGAAAATGATATTTCGTGCATCTTTTGGAGACAACGTACACCACTGCGACTCGTATACTGACGTGCCCATTGCAGAACTCTGTTTAACACACATTCCCATAATACAGAATTTTAACATTTTAAAAACATTTTATCTTATTTTATTTTTTTTTTTTTTTCACCTCAACGATAAGCATTTCCCCAACGTAACAATATAGATAGAGTTGTACCAAGATAACAACTATAAACAAGACAATAAAAACCAATCGTTCTATGGGAAAATCACTCCCATCGTATTCCATTATCTGCAAAAAAATTTCCACAAACGAGATGTTTGACAAGAATAAAATATAGATTTACTTTTTCGTTTTTTTTTTTTTTTTTTTTTTTTTTATTGACTTACGCGAACTAATTGAAAGGCCTGAAAGCAAACTTGAACGATGCAAGCCAGTATTTGAATGAGCATCAACATGTTAAATGAATTCTCAATCGATTTAGTATACCTTAAATAATAATAATGATCATGATTGCAAAGTGTTGCATCATCGATAAAATAAAAATGATCATTCGATTGACCAACCAGTTGAGATGTTCGTGTCTCTTTACGATCCACGTCAATTTTGTTGTAAACTCATTGGCTATCTCGCTCGTGCCATTCGATAGATTTTCAAGTGCATGCCTGAGATTGGTAATTTGTGCACAGGCATGAAGGACGAGCATTGTGATAAACGTGTCTACTCCTACGTATGATACGGTAGCGCTATACGCCGCTACGATTTGTCCGAGACAAGAAATTAAAAAAGCTGAAGTTCCACTAATGTCGTATGGAAAATAAGCGGGATAAATGACCGTACTTGGGGGATCGAATTGATCTCTTTGCATTTGCGCGATCATCAAGCTTCGAGGTAGAATGAGAATCGATGTCATAAAATGTCCTAATGTCGTACACCATATCGATATGATTCTTGCCTTTTTAGCGTTAACCAACATGACCGATCTCTCATCCTCGCTTTTCGATCTTTTCCAATCTTCGACGAAGGAACTGAGAAGTGGTCTAAGAGCTGGAAGAGATTTTCTTTTTTTCTTTCTTTTTTTTTTTTTTTCTTTTCTGCAAATATTTCTCTTCCTCGTATGGATCGTCGTGCTATTAGGTAATCATCACAAAATTTACACTTACATTCCAAATAATATCGTGCGAACAACAATTTTATGCAAGACATGGATACCGGGACGATTCCCGTCGCCAAAATCTCTGTCGTCAGATCTACGTCACCCCATATCATCAAAAGATATGCCGACTGCGGTAGAGTGACAAATCCCAGCATAAAAAATGAATGTAGAATGAACCAATATTTCGATAAGGTAGGATCATTTGCATTGTCCTTCCAATCCGGCCATACACCAAGTATTTGTAGGCTTAGCCGGTTCCAACCAATGGCATAATTTAAATCTGCAAAGTGAACACTCCCGTTGAAGATACGCAAAAGACAGAATATTTAATTAGAAAAAGAGAATACTTCAAGTATTCTTTTGTAGTCTTTCATCCATTCTTTTTTCTTTTTTGATAAATTTATAAGTTACACGAAACTTTACCTTCTTCGAATACCGTTGTCATCGTAGAAAGACGATTATAACACGCGCCGCGTGTTGAACGACTGTGCTCTGGCTCGTCGTTCGATATAGACGTCCTTCTCTTTTTCTTCGTCCAGCACGCATGCCCGTCTGACTTAAAATGATGTACCATCCCCACCAACTATTGAAAAATTTATCTACTTGGAATGATATTTTTTCTTTTCTACCAAACTCATTTAAATAAGCAATCTCCAAGTTCTTAGTTTCTATTCAACCTTCCCCATTTTATAATGCTTTACGATCCCTCGTCGATTACTTCAAGTGTAATAACATACATTCGGTTCTTTCCGATACTATGGGGAACGATGAAAACGAGTGAATAGTGTGAATCAAAGATCAGATGTCCTTCGAAACAAGAAAGAAAATTTCTACAAACATTATTTAAGATCACGAACATATTTTATAAAATTAGATGGTGATTTTCACAATCTCGTAGTATACCTATTGTATAACTACTTAAATGGTATTATTACATTCTCTTGCATTATTACTTTTATTATATTAATCGTAAACAGTTACTTCGCAATATATTTACTTGTTCCATTTTGTAAATAATTATTGAGAAATTATAAAGTAACGACATGCAAGTGCGTATGACATGATAATTATTTGTCATGCATGTTCGTATTTTGTTTTATAATTTTAAGAATCGAAGAGAGAGGGTGATTTTTACGCGGGGGAAGATGTGTGCAGGGTATTTGTGAATTTGTAAGCGAGACGAAATGATCGATAGTGGATCTTGTGGTTACTAAATCAAGCAGTTGTGCGTGACGAACGTGGAGCAAGAGGAGGAAGTTCGAATGTATTTTTTATTACGCGAATATTTTAACGCGACCATTTCCAGTAATATATCTTGATTTGCAATTTTCTGAAATATTAGAAAAAAAAGTCATTCTTTTTATAGATTCTTAATATTTCTATTGTTTCCTTTCTGATTGTTATATTATTATCTTTGTAAAATTAATTATTGCGTTCAGGTACCAGCCGAACAGAAATATATCCCATTGATGTTCTGAAGATCTATAAAAGAAACATTTGAAATAATTTATAAATTAGGCTAAAACGTTGCGATCGAACGATATGGCATTATTGATACATCGATTGCATCACGAAGAAGAGGATTTTTACAATGTTTGGATATTAAGTAGCACGATTCATGTCCAGGTATCCTTCATATATAAATAAGACAGAAATTTAAAAGAAGTATTTAATTTCGTTACACTTATCACGTAGTACGACTCTTACAAGAACGTTAAAATTTCGTAATACAAACTTCGTTACGCTTTCTATGTTCTATAGCAATATTATTTTCATTATATCAATACAATTAATTCTGTTTTGCAATATTTTCACTAATCGCATTACATTAATAATTATTATTAAATTATGAATAAAATATTACATACTGATAGATGTAAAAAACGACCGATTTTTAATGTCTTTCAAATTCGTCGATCGATTGTTCATTATAAATAACGTATATTTTATTACTCTTCTATTGGACTATTTTTCATAGCCAGTAATACCGATAAATATCCGGCGGATGTTTTAATGATCTGAAATAGAGATGAATCAGGATCATTTGCAAATATAAGATATATTTTCGTTGGAATACATTTTAAAAATACTCACAGCGCCAAACAGTTCTAACGAAAATGGACAAAATTTTCCAGCAGTGATTTGAAATGCTATTCTTGCTCTACAAATTACTATCAGTAAGCAGATTGCCTTTTTTGGTGGCAAGTCATACCATTCGCAATCGTAAGCGGAGAAAGCTATTCCAGTGCTCTGAAATGCACGAAGTTGAAAAATTCTTAGGCCTTCGAGTAAGCGGCCAACTTTATATCGACTCACCTCGACCAGTAGAGTTTCACCAACGTAACAATATATATATAAATGCAACATCGTGTATATCACGTGAATCATATAAAATATCAATCCTACTATCGGCAAATCTTCTTCTTGTGCGCTCATCGACTACGCAAAAAAAACGAAAAAAGAAATATATTAAAATGTTAAAATCATTATTATCTAATGATGAAATAAAAATTACCGTGATCATACGATAACCTGTCATGCAGAACATAGCCGAAGAAATTAAAGTTTGCCCTAGTAGAGTAAGATTGAAACAATCCTCGACTATTATGGCGAATCTTAAAACGAAAAAATGATTAATTCGTTGATGTTAGATAAAACAATAGAAAAAGTCAAAAGATTTAAAAAACACACACTTGTAGAGTTTTTCGTGCCTGTTCACAATGTAGCCGAGTCTATTTTGAAACAGAGCGACGTCACGCTTCGCTATTTCCGCCAATTCTCTTATATTCGATCGCAAGACCGACAATTGTCCACACAAATGCAAAACAAAGACTGCGTGAAAAGTATCGAAGCAAGAATAACTGATGCCTGCTAGAATCGTTGCTATGAATTGTCCCAACCAAGTGATCTCAAAATAAGGACTTTTCTTGGTGTCGTATGGAAAGATCGCTGGATGCAAAAGTCCTCCTAAATCGACTTCAGAGGCTCTAGCCATATTCGCATAAGTTTGAAGCGATATGAAGGCGATCAACATTAAGTACGACAAAGTAGAACAAAAGAGAGATATCGTTCGGCTCAATTTAGCATTTTTCAACATCAACGAACGTTCCGATTCTTGTTGCGTTTGATTCCAGTCGTTAACTATCTTGACGAGTAATGATTTCAATGCTTCGATCGAGAAAAAAGTGAACTAGTATATATCATTCAATCTAATTCAAATTAAATGAAATTATAAAGTAAATGCACAGACAACATCGTAATTACTTTTTCCATGATACCACAAAACGATTTGCTTAGTCACAGCGAAAGCGATTGGTATGTTGATGGATAGATTTTCTATGGCTTCGTCCAGACTGCTTGAATTCAGAATCAGATCTGCAGTTTGTGGTGCATTTATGAATAAAAGAGTCACGATAGTACTCGTCCAAAATATACTAGCTGACGTTAATCGCCAAAGAAACGTCGTCTTCGATGGTTCAGGCCAAACTCCTAACACCGACAAGTTAAAACGATTCCAACCAATGGCGTAATTTAAATCTACAAAGTGAACACTCGCGTTGAAGTTACACAAAAGAGAGAATATCTGATTAGAAAAAGAGGATATTTAATGTATTCATTTTCCTTCTTTTTTACTTCCTTTCTTTCTAAATATTTTGGTGGGATAAATTTACAAGTGACACGAAATTCTACCTTTCTTCGAATTCGTTGTCATCGTAGAAAGACGATTATAACACGCGGCGATACGACGACTGTACTCTGGCTCGTCATTCGATATGTAGACGTCCTTCTCTTTTTCTTCGTCCAGCACGCATGCCCGTCTGACTTAAAATGATGTACCATCCCCACCAGCTATTGGAAAATTTATCTACTTGGATCATATTTTCTCATTTCTACCGTAATCTCAAAGTTCTCTGTTTCCATCCAACCTTCCCCATTTTATAATGCTTTACGATCCCTCGTCGATTATTACAAGTGTAATAATATACATTAGGTTCTTTCCGATACTATGGGGAACGATGAGAACGTATGAATTATGTGAATCAAAGATTGGGTGTTCTTCGAAACAAGAAAGAAAATTTCTACAAACATTATTCAGCATTTTATAAAGGTATTTGAATTTGTTAGGCAGAGATCACATCCATGGATATAATAGTAAATCAATTAATTACTATTGTGAAACTATTTAAGTGGTATGATTACTTATCTTTTTTCTCTCGCATTGTTACTTTTATTATATTTACCGTAAACAATTACTTCTCATTATTTTTACTTGTTCCATTTCGAAAATAATTATTAATAAATTATAAAATAACGACATGCAAGTGCGTATGACATGATAATTATTTTTAATGCATGCTCGTATTTTGTTATATAATTATAGGGAGCGAAGAAAGAGGGTAATTTTTACTTGGGAAAAGGTGCAGGGTATTTATGAATTTGTAAGTGAGACAAAATGATCGATAGTGGTTCTTGTGGTTATTAAATCAAACAGTGGTGCGTGACGAACGTGGAGCAAGAGGAGGAAGTTCGAATGTATTTTTTATTACGCGAATATTTTAACGCGATCATTTCCAGTAATATATCTTGATTTGCAATTTTCTGAAATATTAGAAAAAAAAATCGTTTTTTTTATAGATCCTTAATATTTATATTGTTTCCTTTCTGGTTGTTATATTATTATCTTTGTAAAATTAATTATTGCGTTAAGGTACCAGCCGAACAGAAATATATCCCATTGAAGTTCTGAAGATCTATAAAAGAAACATTTGAAATAATTTATAAATTAGGTTAAAACGTTGCGATCGAACGATATGGTATTATTGATCGGTACATCACGAAGAAGAGATCCTTTACATGTTTGGATGTTAAGTAGCACCATTGACATTCGTACGGCGATTCACTAATCAAAATATCTTCTTGACAATTTACCTTTACTTAATCAATTAGTATTTCATTCACGTAACAGTAAATTTACAGATGTATACCGCATAGTACCAATCACTAATGGTAGGAAGGAAAACAATTTAGTGCTCGGTAGGTCATCTTCGCTTTGACCTTATGTCTCTGAAAAAAATACAAAATGTTAATCGATGGTATCAAAGAGCCAAAGGGTTAAAATTTCTTTCAGATAACTTATTGAAATTATTTAATAGTCCTAAAAAGGAAGTTGCATAATGAAACGATTGCATTTTGTTTCGTCTTTCGACGTTAATGTTCTTTTTTTGTCTTCGTCCAGCAATCATACTCCTCGGACTGAAATTGAGTTATCATCCCATCACCTATTGAAAAATGTGTCTATTTGGAATTTTTATTTCGATTTTTTTTTCGTTTCTCTTTCAACAGGTTTAAATAAGCAACCTCGGTAAAATTTTAATTCAGTTTTTCCGATTTTCTCTAGCTCTACGATCTTTTTAGCCTACTGCCCCACATACATTTAAGTTTGTCCGATTCTTTTGGGAACATACGAACAAGCGAATTGTATTAATTCATGTCCAGGTATCCTTCATATATAAATAAGACAGAAATTTAAAAGAAGTATTTAATTTCGTTACACTTATCTCGTAGTACGACTCTTATAAGAACGTTAAAATTTCGTAATACAAACTTTGTTACGCTTTCTATGTTCTATAGCAGTATTATTTTCATTATATTAATCCAATTAATTCTGTTTTGCAATATTTTCACTAATCGCATTTCATTGATAATTATTATTAAATTATGAATAAAATATTACATACTGGTAGATATAACAAACGACCGATTTTTAATGTCTTTCAAATTCGTCGATCGATTGTTCATTATAAATAACGTATATTTTATTACTCTTCTACTGGACTATTTTTCATAGCCAGTAATACCGATAAATATCCGGCGGATGTTTTAATGATCTGAAATAGAGATGAATCAGGATCATTTGCAAATATAAGACATATTTTCGTTGGAATACATTTTAAAAATACTCACAGCGCCAAACAATTCTAACGAAAATGGACAAAATTTTCCAGCAGTGATTTGAAATGCTATTCTTGCTCTACAGATTACTATCAGTAAGCAGATTGCCTTTTTTGGTGGCAAGTCATACCATTCGCAATCGTAAGCGGAGAAAGCTATTCCAGTGCTCTGAAATGCACGAAGTTGAAAAATTCTTAGGCCTTCGAGTAAGAGGCCAACTTTATATCGACTCACCTCGACCAGTAGAGTTTCACCAACGTAACAATATATATATAAATGCAACATCGTGTATATGTAAAACGTAATGTAAAATATCAATCCTGCTATCGGCAATTCTTCTTCTTGAGCGCTCATCGACTACGCAAAAGATGCGAAAAAAGAAATATATTAAAATGTTAAAATCATTATTCTCTAATGATGAAATAAAAATTACCGTGATCATACGATAACCTGTCATGCAGAACATAGCCGACGAAATCAAAGTTTGCCCTAGTAGAGTAAGATTGAAACAATCCTCGACTATTATGGCGAATCTTAAAACGAAAAAATGATTAAATCGTCGATGTTAGATAAAACAATAGAAAAAGTCAAAAGATTTAAGAAACACCCACTTGTAGAGTTGTTCGTGCCTGTTCACAATGTAGCCGAGTCTATTTTGAAACAGAGCAATGTCACGCTTCGCTATCTCCGTCAATTCTCTTATATTCGATCGCAAGACCGACAGTTGTCCACACAAATGCAAAACAAAGACTGCGTGAAAAGTATCGAAGCAAGAATAACTGATGCCTGCTAGAATCGTTGCTATGAATTGTCCCAACCAAGTGATCTCAAAATAAGGACTTTTCTTGGTGTCGTATGGAAAGATCGCTGGATGCAAAAGTCCTCCTAGATCGACTTCAGAGGCACTAGCGATATTCGCATAAATTTGGAGCGATATGAAGGTGACAACCATTATGTACGACAAAGTAGAACAAAAGAGAGATATCGTTCGACTCAATTTAGCAGTTTTCAACATCAACGAACGTTCTGAGTCTTGTTGCGTTTGATTCCAGTCGTTAACTATCTCGACGAGTAATGATTTTAATGCTTCGATCGAGAAAAAAATGAACTAGTATATATCATTCAATCCTATTCAAATTAAATGAAATTATAAAGTAAATGCACAGACAACATCGTAATCACCTTTTCCATGATACCACAAAACGATTTGCTTAGTCACAGCGAAAGCGATTGGTATGTTGATAGATAAATTTTCTATAGCTTCGTCCAGCCGGCTTGAATTCAAAATCAGATCTGCCATTTGTGGTGCATTTATGAATAAAAGGGTCACGATAGTACTAGTCCAAAATATACTAGCTGACGTTAATCGCCAAAGAAACGTCGTCTTCGATGGTTCAGGCCAAACTCCTAACACCGACAAGTTAAAACGATTCCAACCAATGGCGTAATTTAAATCTACAAAGTGAACACTTGCGTTGAATTTATACGAAGGAGAGAATATCTGATTAGAAAAAGAGGATATTTAATACTCCTCTTTATTTATTATTATTTATTATTATTTATTATTATTTATTATTATTTATTATTATTTATTATTATTTATTATTATTTATTCATTTAGTATTCCTTTTTCTCCTTTTTTGCTTCCTTTCTTTCTTACTATTTTGCTGGGGTAAATTTACAAATGACGCGAAATTCTACCTTCCTCGGATTCTGTTGTCATCGTAGAAAGACGATTATAACACGCGGCGATACAACGACTGCACTCTGGCTCGTCATTCGATATGTAGACGTCCTTCTCTTTTTCTTCGTCCAACACGCATGCCCGTCTGACTTAAAATGATGAACCATCCCCACCAACTATTGGAAAATTTATCTACTTGTGATGATATTTTCTCATTTCTACCGTAACCTCAAAGTTCTCTGTTTCCATCCAACCTTCCCCATTTTATAATGCTTTACGATCCCTCGTCGATTATTACAAGTGTAATAATATACATTAGGTTCTTTCCAATACAATGGGGAACGATGAGAAGGTGTGAATTATGTGAATCAAAGATTGGGTGTTCTTCGAAACAAGAAAGAAAATTTCTACAAACATTATTTAGCATTTTATAAAGATATTTGAATTTGTTATTGCAGTGATCACATCCATGGATTTTATAGTAAATCAGTTAATTACTATTGTAAAACTATTTAAGTTCTATAATTACTTTGCTTTGTTCTCTTGCATGGTTATTATTTTTAATTTGCTTTTATTATGCTAACCGTAAACAATTACTTCTCATTGCTTTTACTTGTTCCATTTCGTAGATAATTATTGATAAATTATAAAATGACGACACGCAAGTGCGTACGATATGATAATTATTTTTAATGCCTTCACATATTGCGTTTTATAATTTTAGGGAGCAAAAAAAAGGGTGATTTGTATGTGGGAAAAGGTGCAGAGTATTTGTGAATTTGTAAGTGAGACGAAATGATCGATAGTGTTTCTTGTGGTTACTAAATCAAACAATGGTGCCTAACGAACGTGGAGCAAGAAGAGGAAGTTCGGATGTATTTTTTATTACGCGAATATTTTAACGCGATTATTTCCAGTAATATATCTTGATTTACAATTTTCCGAAAATTAGAACAAAAAGTCGTTCTTTTTTTAGATCCTTTATATTTCTATTGTTTCCTTTCTGGTTATTATGTTATTATCTCTGTAAAATTAATTATTGCGTTCAGGTACCAGCCGAACAGAAAGATATTCCATTGAAATTCTGAAGATCTATAAAAGAAACATTTGAAATAATTTATAAATTAGGTTAGGACGTTGCTGTCGAACGATATGGTATTATTGATCGGTACATCACGAAGAAGAGATCCTTTACATGTTTGGATGTTAAGTAGCACCATTGACATTCGTACGGCGATTCACTAATCAAAATATCTTCTTGACAATTTACCTTTACTTAATCAATTAGTATTTCATTCACGTAACAGTAAATTTACAGATGTATACCGCATAGTACCAATCACTAATGGTAGTAAGGAAAACAATTTAGTGCTCGGTAGGTCATCTTCGCTTTGACCTAATGTCTCTGAAAAAAATTCAAAATGTTAATCGATGATATCAAAGAGCCAAAGGGTTAAAATTTCTTTCAGATAACTTATTGGAAATATTTGATAATCCTAAAAGCAAAGTTACATAATGCAACGATTGCATTTTGCTTCGTCTTTCGACGTGAATGTACTTTTTTTGTCTTCGTTCAGCAATCATGCTCCTGGGACTGAAATTGAGTTATCATCCCATCACCTATTGAAAAATGTGTCTATTTGGAATTTTTATTCCGATTTTTTTTTCGTTTCTCTTTCAGCAGGTTTAAATAAGCAACCTTGGTAAAATTTTAATTCAATTTTTCCGATTTTCTCTAGCTCTACGATCTTTTTAGCCTACTGCCCCACATACATTTAAGTTTGTCCGATTCTTTTGGGAACATACGAACAAGCGAATTGTATTAATTCATGTCCAGGTATCCTTCATATATAAATAAGACAGAAATTTAAAAGAAGTATTTAATTTCGTTACACTTATCTCGTAGTACGACTCTTACAAGAACGTTAAAATTTCGTAATACAAACTTCGTTACGCTTTCTATGTTCTATAGCAGTATTATTTTCATTATATTAATCCAATTAATTCTGTTTTGCAATATTTTCACTAATCGCATTTCATTGATAATTATTATTAAATTATGAATAAAATATTACATACTGGTAGATGTAACAAACGACCGATTTTTAATGTCTTTCAAATTCGTCGATCGATTGTTCATTATAAATAACGTATATTTTATTACTCTTCTATTGGACTATTTTTCATAGCCAGTAATACCGATAAGTATCCGGCGGATGTTTTAATGATCTGAAATGGAGATGAATCAGGATCTTTTGCAAATATAAGATATATTTTCGTTGGAATAAATTTTAAAAATACTCACAGCGCCAAACAGTTCTAACGAAAATGGACAAAATTTTCCAGCAGTGATTTGAAATGCTATTCTTGCGCGACAAATTACTGTCAGCAAGCAGATAGCCTTTTTTGGAGGCAAGTCATACCATTCGCAGTCGTAAGCGGAGAAAGCTATTCCAGTGCTCTGAAATGCACGAAGTTGAAAAATTCTTAGGCCTTCGAGTAAGAGGCCAACTTTATATCGACTCACCTCGACCAGTAGAGTTTCACCAACGTAACAATATATATATAAATGCAACATCGTGTATATGTAAAACGTAATGTAAAATATCAATCCTGCTATCGGCAATTCTTCTTCTTGAGCGCTCATCGACTACGCAAAAGATGCGAAAAAAGAAATATATTAAAATGTTAAAATCATTATTATCTAATGATGAAATAAAAATTACCGTGATCATACGATAACCTGTCATGCAGAACATAGCCGAAGAAATCAAAGTTTGCCCTAGTAGAGTAAGATTGAAACAATCCTCGACTATTATGGCGAATCTTAAATCGAAAATATGATTAAATCGTTGATGTTAGATAAAACAATAGAAAAAGTCAAAAGATTTAAGAAACACCCACTTGTAGAGTTGTTCGTGCTTGTTTACAATGTAGCCGAGTCTATTTTGAAACATACCGACGTCACGCTTCGCTATTTCCGCCAATTGTCGTATATTCGATCGCAAAACCGACAGTTGTCCACACAAATGCAAAACAAAGACTGCGTGAAAAGTATCGAAGCAGGAATAACAGATGGCCGTTAGAATCGTTCCCATGAATTGTCCCAACCAAGTGATCTCAAAATAAGGACTTTTCTTGGTGTCATATGGAAAGATCGCTGGATGCAAAAGTCCTCCTAGATCGACTTCAGAGGCACTAGCCATATTCGCATAAATTTGAAGCGATATGAAGGTGATCACCATTAAGTACGATAAAGTAGAACAAAAGAGAGATATGGTTCGACTCAATTTAGCAGTTTTCAACATCAACGAACGTTCTGAGTCTTGTTGCATTTGATTCCAGTCATTAACTACCTCGACGAGTAATGATTTCAATGCTTCGTTCGAGAAAAAAGTGAACTAGTATATATCATTCAATCCTATTCAAATTAAATGAAATTATAAAGTAAATGCACAGACAACATCGTAATTACCTTTTCCATGATACCACAAAACGATTTGCTTAATCACAGCGAAAGCGATTGGTATGTTGATAGATAAATTTTCTATGGCTTCGTCTAGACTGTTTGAATTCAAAATCAGATCTGCCATTTGTGGTGCATTTATGAATAGAAGGGTCACGGTAGTGCTCGTCCAAAATATACTAGCTGACGTTAATCGCCAAAGAAACGTCGTCTTCGATGGTTCAGGCCAAACTCCTAACACCGACAAGTTAAAACGATTCCAACCAATGGCGTAATTTAAATCTACAAAGTGAACACTTGCGTTGAAGTTATGCGAAGGAGAGAATATCTGATTAGAAAAAGAGGATATTTAATATTCCTCTTTATTTATTATTATTTATTATTATTTATTAATTTAGTATTCCTTTTTCTCCTTTTTTCTTCCTTTTTTTTTTACTATTTTGCTGGGATAAATTCACAAGTGACGCGAAATTCTACCTTCCTCGGATTCCGTTGTCATCGTAGAAAGACTATTATAACACGCGGCGATACAACGACTGCGCTCTGGCTCGTCACTCAATATGTAGACGTCCTTCTTTTTTTCTTAGTCCAGCACGCATGCTCACCTGACTTAAAATGATGAACCATCCCCACCAACTGTTGAAAAATTTATCTACTTGGAATGAAATTTTTTCTTTTCAGCCGAACTCATTTAAATAAGCAACCTCAAAGTTCTTAGTTTTGATCCAACCTTCCTCATTTTATAATGCTTTACGATCTCTCGTCGATTATTTGCAAGTGTAATAATATACATTCGGTTCTTTCCGATACAATGGGGAACGATGAGAACGTGCGATATTATGTGAATCGAAGATTGAGTGTTCTTTGAAACAAGAAAGAAAATTTCTACAAACATTATTTAGCATTTTATAAAGATATTTGAATTTGTTATTGCTGTGATCACATCCATGGATTTCATAATAAATCAATTAATTACTATTGTAAAACTATTTAAGTGGTATAATTACTTTTCTTTGTTCTCTTGCATTGTTACTTTTATTATGTTAACCGTAAACAATTACTTCTCAATATTTTTACTTATTCCATTTCGTAGATTATTATTGATAAATTATAAAATAACGGCATGCAAGTGCGTATGATATAATAATTATATATCTAATTGTAATTGTAGGAAGCGAAAAAAGAGGGTGATTTTTACGTGGTAAAAATGTGCTGGGTATTTGTGAATTTGTAAGCAAGACGAAATAATCGATTGTGGTTCTTGTAATTATTAAATCAAATAATGGTACGTGGAGAAAGGAAGTTTAGATATATTTTATCTTTGACAATTTTACGTTTGGACAATTCACGTCAGTTTCCTATGTTTCATTGGATGTGGAAACGACAAGTAGTAATCCATTGGTGTCTTCAAAATCTGAAAACAGACCGATAATATGTTGTTTTTATTTCCAATTTTTTTCTCTTCTTTCTTTTTTTTTTTTTTCTATTATTATACTTACGCTAGCATATAATTCTTGCGGAAGGTTACAGAATTTTCCAACCATAAGAGATTCGATCGAATCTCCTTGTTCTGCCAAATCCCTATGAGATCCATGGTGTATCAGTTCCACCAGTAAACGTAATCGACTTTTTACATATTTATTGCTATTTCGATTAGCTGATTTTATCGATGATGTTTAATCGTATATTATTTTAGTCAGCTCGTTCGTCTAAACGAGTCTGACGTTCAAGGATTGATGTTGATTCATCCGTTTCATATTTTCGTGAACTATGTCTTGCTTCTCGCATGCTGTATAAAAAGGACAGGGATGATTCTCTAGGAAAATCTTACGTTAGAAAAATAAATCGATCACGATTATTACGATTTCTATTAAAAATATAATATTCGATTAATGTGTTGTTCGCATATTTACTCAGAACTCAAAATAAATTTAATTCAGCTTGTCGAAATTTTGTACAAGTTATTTTTTTTTTTTTTTTTTTTTTTTTTTAACATTTACGTACGAATGTTTTAAAAATGAAAAGTAGGTGTTTATCGAACAGTATCCCTCTAACGTTGGAAAACTTAAACCTTCGATATAGTTGACTCCGGTGGTTACGAGGAATTGTCTTTAGTCTACGTTTCTTTATCGACGTCTTTCTAGTTTATGAAAAATTTTGCAGATTTTTTTTCTCTTTCGTTACATTCTTAGTACTCTTACGCAATATAATTGGACAATAAACGACAATTTGATAAATGACAATAAACGAGAATGAGATTTATGCGATTGTAAAACTATTTATATCTTAGTTAAATTTAAAGTTTTACGAATAGTATTTATCACTATGCTGTACTGTCATGTATGATAGTTTATCGATAACAAAAAATTTGCCACCAGTTAAAATACTCTATCACTATTCTATTTATTATTATTTTTCAAAATTAGTCCTTTTTGTCCGTTACCGTTAGTAACATTGAAAGATATCCTATTGTGCTTTTTAAAATCTGCAAAAGAAAATTAAATAGTATTTAAATAATCTTATCCCTTTCACATTCATGGTTTTCTCTTACGCTGCTAAACATTTCCATTGAAAAAGTGCCAAATTTTCCGGCTGTTAAATGAAGTGGCACACAAGATCGATGCATCACGAAAATGATATTTCGTGCATCCTTTGCAGACAAAGTATACCACTGTGACTCGTATGCTGACGTCCCCATTGCAGAACTCTGTTTAACATTCCCATGACATATAATTTCAACATATTTAAAATATTCTATTTTATTTTCTTTTTACCTCGACGATAAGCATTTCTCCAACGTAACAATACAGATATAGTTGTACCAAGGTAACAATTACAAAGAATATAATAAAAAACAGCTGTTCTATTGGAAATGCATCATCATCGTGTGCCATTATCTGTAAAAAAGATTCCACAAACGAGACGTTTGACAAGAATAAAATACTGATCGCCCTTTTCCATTTTTTCTTTTTTTTTTTTTTTTTTTTTTATATATAGATTGACTTACGCGAAATAATTGAAAAGTCTGAAAGCAAACTTGAACGATGCAAGCCAGTATTTGAATGAGCATCAACATGTTAAAGGAGTTCTCGATCGATTTGGCGTACCTTAGACAATAATAATGATCATTATTGCATAATGTTGCAACATTGATAAAATAAAAATGATTCGATTGACAAACCAATTGAGATGTTCGTGTCTCTTAACGATCCACGTCAATTTTGTTGTAAACTCATTGGCTATTTCGCTCGTGCCATTCGATAGATTTTCAAGTGCATGCCTGAGATTAGTAATTTGTGCGCAGACATGAAGGACGAGCATTGTGATAAACGTGTCTACGCCTATATATGATACGGTAGCGCTGTACGCCGCTACGATTTGTCCGAGACAGGAAATTAAAAAAGCTGAAGTTCCACTAATGTCGTATGGAAAATAAGCGGGATAAATGACCGTACTTGGGGGATCGAATTGATCTCTTTGCATTTGTGCGATCATCAAGCTTCGAGGTAGAATGTAAATCGATGTCATAAAATGTGCTAATGTCGTACACCATATCGATATGACTCTTGCTTTTTTAGCGTTAACCAACATGACCGATCTCTCATCCTCGCTTTTCGATCTTTTCCAGTCTTCAACGAAGGAATTGAGAATTGGTCTAAGAGCTGGAACAGATTTTTTTTTCTTTGCAAAATATTTATCTACCTAGTATAGATCTGTGCGTTATTACGTTTTCACCACAAAAGTTACCCTTACATTCCAAATGATATCGTGCGAACAACAACTTTATGCAGGACATGGTAACCGGTACGTTTGCCGTCGCCACAATTTCTGTCATCAGTTCTATGTCACCCCATACCATCAAGAGATATGCCGACTGTGGCAAAGTGATAAATCCCAGCATAAAGAATGAATGTAGAATGAACCAATATTTCGATAAGGCAAAATCACTCTCATTCGAATCCGGCCATACACCAAGTATTTGTAGGCTTAGTCTGTTCCAACCAATGGCATAATTTAAATCTGCTAAGTGAACACTCCCGTTCAAGATACGCAAAAGATAAAATATTTAATTAGAAAAAAAGAATACTTAAAGTATTCTTTTGTCGTCTTTCATCCATTTTTTTTACTCTTTTTGAAAAATTTACAAGCTACACGAAAATGTACCTTCTTCGAATACTGTTGTCATCGTAGAAAGACGATTATAGCACGCGGCGCGTGTTGAACGACTGCGCTCTGGCTCGTCATTCGATATAGACGTCCTTCTCTTTTTCTTCGTCCAGCACGCATGCCCGTCTGACTTAAAATGATGTACCATCCCCACCAACTATTGAAAAATTTATCTACATGGAATGATATTTTCTCTTTTCTAACGAACGCATTTAAATAAGCAATCTCAAAGTTCTTAGTTTTCATCCAACCTTCCCCATTTTATAATGCTTTACGATCCCCCGTCTATTATTTCAAGTGTAATAACATACATTCGGTTCTTTCCGATACTATGGGGAACGATGAGAACATGTGAATTATGTGAATCAAAGATTGGGTGTTCTTTGAAACAAGAAAGAAAATTTCTACAAACATTATTTAGCATTTTATAAAGCTATTTGAATTTGTTATTGCAGTGATCACATCCATGGATTTCCTAGCAAATCAATTAATTACTATTGTAAAACTATATAAAGAAATTATAAAATAACGACATGCGTATGACAAGAAAATAACAAGTGCGTATGACATGATAATTATTTTTAATGCATGCTCGTATTTCGTTTTATAATTTTAGGAAGCGAAGAAAGAGAGTGATTTTTACGTGGGAAAAGGTGCAGGGTATTTGTGAATTTGTAAGAGAGACGAAATGATCGATAGTGGTTCTTATGGTTATTAAATCAAACAGTGGTGCGTGACGAACGTGGAGCAAGAGGAGGACGTTCGGATGTATTTTTTATTACGCGAATATTTTAACGCGATCATTTCCAGTAATATATCTTGATTTGCAATTTTCTGAAATATTAGAAAAAAAAATCGTTTTTTTTATAGATCCTTAATATTTCTATTGTTTCCTTTCTGGTTGTTATATCTTTGTAAAATTAATTATTGCGTTAAGGTACCAGCCGAACAGAAAGATATCCCATTGAAATTCTGAAGATCTATAAAAGAAACATTTGAAATAATTTATAAATTAGTCTAAAACGTTGCGGTCGAACGATATGGTATTATTGATCGGTACATCACGAAGAAGAGATCCTTTACATGTTTGGATGATAAGTAGCAGCATTTACATTCGTACGGCGATTCACTAGTTTAAATGTCTTCTTGACGTTTTACCTTTACTTAATCATTTAATATTTCATTCACGTAATAGTAAATCTACAGATGTATACCGTATAGTACTGATCACGAATGGTAATAAGAAAAATAATTTAGCGTTAGGAAAGTCATCTTCGTCTTGACCTAATGTGTCCGAAAAAAATACAAAAATGTTAATCGGTAGTATTAAAGAGACGAAATGTCAAAATTTCTTTCAAATAACTTATTGAAAATATTTGATAAGTCCAGCAATCATACTGCTCGGACTGAAATTGAACTATCATACCACCACCTATTGAAAAATGTATCTATTTGGAATTTTTATTTCGATTTTTTTTTTCTTTTCTCTTTCAACAGGTTTAAATAAGCAACCTCGTTAAAATTTCAATCCAATTTTTCCGATTTTCTCTAGCTCTACGATCTTTTCGCCTACTGTCCCACATACATTTAAATTTGTTCGATTCTTTTGGGAATATACGCACAAGTGAATTGTATTAATTCAAGTCCAGGTATCCTTCATATATAAATAAGACAAAAATTTAAAAGAAGAATTTAATTTCGTTATACTTATCACGTAATACCACTCTTACAAGAACGTTAAAATTTTGTTACTCTTTCAATTTTTCTATTGCAGTATTTTTTTCATTATATTGCAATGTTTTTACTAATAGCATTTCATTAATAAATATTAATAAATTATGAGAAAAATATTACATGTTAGTAGATATAACATGCGAATGATTTTTAATGTCTTTCAGATTCGTCGATTGATTGATTGTTCGTTATAAATAAAGTAATAATATTTTATTACACTTCTACGGGATTATCTGTCATAGCTAGTAATACCGATAAATATCCGGCGGATGTTTTAATGATCTGAAATAGAGATGAATCAGGATCTTTTGCAAATATAAGATATATTTTCATTGGAATCATTTTAAATATACTCACAGCGCCAAACAATTCTAACGAAAATGGACAAAATTTTCCAGCAGTGATTTGAAATGCTATTCTTGCTCTACAAATTACTATCAGTAAGCAGATTGCCTTTTTTGGTGGCAAGTCATACCATTCGCAATCGTAAGCGGAGAAAGCTATTCCAGTGCTCTGAAATGCACGAAGTTGAAAAATTCTTAAGCCTTCGAGTAAGAGGCCAACTTTATATCGACTCACCTCGACCAGTAGAGTTTCTCCAACGTAACAATATATATATAAATGCAACATCGTGTATGTCACATGAATGATGTAAAATATCAGTCCTACTATCGGCAAATCTTGTTCCTGTCCTTCCATCGACTACGAAAACGAAACGAAAGAGGAAATATTAAAATGTTAAAATCATTATTATCTAATAATAAAATATAATTTACGATACCGTGATCATACGATATCCCGTCAGGCAGAACATAGCTGTCGAAATCAAAGTTTGTCCTAGTAGAGTAAGATTGAAACAATCCTCGACTATTATGGCGAATCTTAAAACGAAAAAGCGTTTAGATTGTCATCGTTAGGAAGAACAATAGAAAAAATTATAAAATAAAGTGTAATGTAAGAAACACCCACTTGTAGAGTTGTTCGTGCCTGTTCACAATGTAGCCGAGTCTATTTTGAAACAGAGCGACGTCACGCTTCGCTATCTCCGCCAATTCTTTTAAATGCGATCGCAAAACCGACAGTTGTCCACACAAATGCAAAACAAAGACTGCGAGAAAAGTATCGAAGCAAGAATAACAGATGGCCGTTAGAATCGTTCCCATGAATTGTCCCAACCAAGTGATCTCAAAATAAGGACTTTTCTTGGTGTCGTATGGAAAGATCGCTGGATGCAAAAGTCCTCCTAGATCGACTTCGGAGGCACTAGCCATATTCGCATAAGTTTGAAGCGATATGAAGGCGGTCAACATTAGATACGTCAAAGTAGAACAAAAGAGAGATATCGTTCGACTCAATTTAGCATTTTTCAACATCATCGAACGTTCTGATTCTGCTTGCTTCTGACTCCAGTCGTTAACTATCTCGACGAGTAATGATTTCAATGCTTCGGTTGAGAAAAAAATAAATTAGTATATATCATTCAATCCAATACAAATTAAATGGAATTATAAATTAAATGCGCAGACAACATTGTAATTACCTTTTCCGTGATACCGCAAAACGATTTGCTTGATTACAGCGAAAGCGATTGGTATGTTGATGGATAAATTTTCTATGGCTTCGTCCAGACTGGTTGAATTCAGAATCAGATCTGCCGTTTGTGGTGCACATATGAATAAAAGGGTCACGGTAGTGCTCGTCCAAAATATACCGGCTGACGTTAATCGCCATAGAAACGTCGTCTTCGATGGTTCAGGCCAAACTCCTAACACCGACAAGTTAAAACGATTCCAACCTATGGCGTAATCCATTTGTCTTTTCAGTCGTATAAACTCGAAGAAAAATAAACTATCAAATTTGTCGTAAGATTGGCACGGGGAGTTCGGTCGAACTGCGGGAAATTTGTTTTCTCGAAAGAGTTGAATATCACGCATGCTCCATCACGATAAAAGAAAAAAAACACATACACACATTACACATACACACTCGGTAGCGATAGTTTTAATGAAGAACTCAAAACTTTACGACGGGACCCGTTATTTGATAGAAGAATTACTAATACCCGTCATTATCGATTCTTTGTCCTACCAGACTTGCGTTGAATTTTGAGTAAATCTCGGGAAAACTTTGACGGTAGACAAGAAACGTACCCGATAATATCAAATAAACAAAAAGTCTCGTAGATAATAGTTCTTCTTATCTTTTTTCTTTTTCTTTCTTAAAATTGTTCTCTTTCCTACAATTTCGACCAAGCTTTTATATTGTATTTCTTCCTTTAATATTAGGTAGCGAAGAGGATCCTTTTTTTCGCGTGGGAACAGCAGGTGCGCCGGGCTCTCTCGTGAATTCGTGAGCGAAACAAAACGGTCGATCGTTCATTCATCTAACCCACTCGTGGTTATTGAATCTTACAGTGATGCATGACGAACATGGACAAATTGTACGAAAGAGAATGTACAGGTATCTTTTTTATTACGCGAATATTTTAATAATTTCATTTTCATTAACGCATTAACTTTCGATATATATGAAAAAATTATTACTTTCGTCGACCCGTAATTTTTTTCTATATATTCCTATTCTCTTTATACTTTACACTTGTAAAATTAATCTTTTTGTTCCGATACCGTCAGCAATACCGAAAGATATCCCATTGAGGTTCTGACAATCTACAAGAAAAACATTCGAAAGTAATTTATAAATTAGGTTAAAACTTTTGTTCGCACGTATAGCCATATTCGCTCACGTCGCTAAACGTTTTCATGGAGAACGTGCTAAATTTTCCTGCGGTCAAACGAAGTGGTATCGTTGATCGGCGCATTACGAATAGAAGATTCCTCGCTTCCTTCGGAGACAAGTCGCACCATTTAGATTCGTACGCCGATTCGCTCATACCGGAGCTCTGTTTAACGTCACAAATAATTAAAAAATATTATCCTTATATTTTACCGGTGGTATTATCTTTACCTGAACAATTAACATTTCACCCACGTAACAGTAAATGTATAAGTGTAACAGAGTAACGGCTACAAATAGTATCAGGAAACACAATTGAACAGTAGGAAACTCGTCTTCGTTTTCTCCTAATATCTGTGAAAGAACATATATATATATATATATAATAATAGATATGTTAATGTATAATAATAGCTAAGAAAAACAAAATTTCTTTCAGACAACTCACTGTCAAAACTTGATAACTTTGAAAGCACACTTGCATGGTGCAAGTCATGATTTGAACGAGCATCAACACATTGAAAGAGTTTTCGATCGACTGGGCGAACCTTTGGAATACGACGGATGATAAAATTTTGGAGCATCACAATTCATGATATAAATGAAAATTATTCGATCGACCAACCAATTGAGATGTTCGTGTCTCTTCACGATTAACGCCAATTTTTGTACAAAGTTATCGGCCCTCCTTTCTTTTGTGCTTCTTTCGTCCGCCAACGTTTTGAGAGTTAACCTGAGATTCGAAATTTGTGCGCATACATGAAGAACCAACATCGATATGAAACTATCGACGCCTGTATAAGAGACGGTCGCGCTGTATGCCGCTAAAATTTGTCCGGTATACGTTAAATAGAACAACGGAGTTCTCCTTACGTCGTACGGAAAATAAGCAGGACAGATTAGAGTTCGAGCTGGTTCCATCTGATCCCTCTGCATTTGCGCGATCATGATGATTCGAAGAAGTATGTATATCGTCGTCATAATTTGTATCATAATCGTACAAAACATCGATATAATTCTCGCCTTTTTAGCGTTGCTCAGCATAATTGATCTCTCCTCTTCGCTCTTCGATCTATTCCAATCATCGACAAAAGCACCGAGAAGAGGATTCAGAGCTACGAGATAATACATCGGCAAATCGTTATCTTAAGAAATATTTTCAAAACTTTCAATCTACGGGGCTCACTTTTAAGGTGATACCAAATAACGAAAAGTTTTATGCAAGCCATCGTAACTGGAACGTTCGCCGTTGCTAAATCTTCCGTCATTAGATCGAGATCGCCCCAAATTATTGCCAGGTACGCCGTTTGTGGTATGATTATGAATCCTAGCATGAAAAATGCGTGTACGATCCAACGATATTTCGTAAAGCCGATATTTTTATCGAGCTGATCGAAATCCGGCCAAACACCAAGAAATTTTAGATTAAATCGATTCCAACCGATCGCGTAATCCAAATCTGTGAAAAAATACAATCGCGTTTAATTAAGAATATTTCGATATGATTTTTGTTCCCTTTTCGATTTACGTATCACGTTAAATCGTACCTTTGTTAAATGCCATAACTCTGTCACGAGACAGATCATGTAACGCGACGACCTAACGACTACGTTTTAGTTTGTCCTTAGATACGAATATCTTTTACTTCTTCTTCGATACGACAGTACGACGCATGCTCTCTCTCTCTCTCTCTCTCTCTCGTCGAAGTAAAACGAACTACCACTCCCCCACCACCTACTTAAAAATGCATCGATCCAGTACCGTACCATTTAATTTCGTCTTCCCCTTCTAGAACACAGTTTAACTTGATTTATGCCTTGAAAAAAAAAGAAAAAAAAAAATTTAGCGATCCTAATCTTTCAGGTTTTACCGTGTTCCCTGAGGTGTTTAAAAGTATCTCGGTGCACGGCTTTATATAAGGAATTTCTTAGTTGTTCGGTGTTAATTACATTAATTTATACATTTTCGCTACCCGCTCGACAACGTTCCAGTAATGGGGTTCGCGAGCGGATATCGCAATGGTTTGGGAAAGTTTCATAAGAAAGATTCTAGTCTAATTTGGCAACGAAATCTGAAACGAATTACTATTGGCTGAAATCGTCGAATACCAAGGCATATAAGGTTCGTAATTCTCGTATAAGGTTCGTTCGATCTTTCAGAGAGTTAATACTTGAATTTCATTTCGTATCCGGTACCATGGGATTATGATAATAATAACGGGTGATTTTTTTTTTTGACGATATTTCTATATATTCAATGGAAAGCTAATACAATAATAATGATAATTTCTTTTTTTTTCTCTTTTTACATAAAAAATATCATTTATTCATTGGCCTTTGCATATAATACGAACCGTGTGATCCTTGGGGAGATCACACGGTATAGAAATAAATATGATATATGTAGGTACATACATGTAAAGCAAACAATAAACTCTCTTTGCAGGACACGTTCTATTAAATTTGACACTCTTACGCTATTATCTCTTTTGATCTCGAATAATCTAACAAGGAGATCAAAAGGGATCGCGTTCATGCAATCGTGCGTTCGCAGAAAGCCATTTGGGAAACGAGTTACTCGTTCTTTCGTCGAACTCACGAGATAGATTGATGTCTTGTGAGAGTTTCTAGAATTAAATTAAAATAGAATGTGCATATCATTAAATAAAATCTCGCCTCGATGGCAATTATGTACAATTGATCAGTAAAGATCTCCTTCGACGTGACTAAAAAGGAAAGGAAAGAGAAAAGGTGAAGAAAAGGAAAGGAAAAAGAAGGAGAGAAAAAGAAATGAGGAAAGTTGTCCTCCTCTTATCGATGATGATTAGAAGAAAATATTTCCAGGTCTAGCTTGGGGGCAAAGAAAACTCGAACAATCGTGCCTCCTGATGGCGTCCATTACTTCCTCGAAATGACTCGATACTTGCATGGCTGCTCCTGGCTGAATTCTATAAAATTTTTTCATCTTATTAAGAAATAATGATGAAAGATCTTTGAATAGAGTAAGGCAACTTATTCGACCGACGAGAAAGCTATTAAATACCTTTTACGAAATTGACGCGTGCACGCGTGTGTGCTGTATATATATATAAATATATATATATATGTGTGTGTGTGTATATATTAACTGTTACCAAAAAAGTAATCAAACGGTGATATAATGTTGGTTTCATTAGCACGTTTATGGTAAGACCGGTGATTGAATTATGTATTGTCTCTTATGAATATCCAGGAAGTAGAATCTGTAACTGTCTTAACTGTCTCGCTTTAATAATCGCTGTATTAATTTTAATTGAAACTAACAAATTATTTGTATTGTTAATATTATTGTAGAGAAGACGTAAATAATATTAATTAGTAGATCTTAAAGAAATCGAAATAATACATCTGAAAGTATTTTTCTCTATATGTAGATTTTCTTCTATCACGCCACACGTGGTCAGTGCCGTACCGGCTCAGGTCCGAAGTATAGTGAAACTGTGCTAAGAGGTAAAAGTCGTATCAGTCAGTAGGACGTTGTCGGCGAAAGCTGGAAGAAAGTTATCCGTTTCTCGATACTGGTTACTATCGGTACTTGCCTCTTCGATATTCCTATTCATTTACTTTAACGCATTCGTGTAACTTAATTGCATATTGAAATCCACGAGAGAAACGTTTGATTTCGTGTATCGTGAATTAAAGTTAGATCTAACATCTACTACAATTGTCAACGTCGTCATCGTCGTCGTCGTCGTCGTCGTCGTCGTCGTAGTCGTCGTCGTAGTCGTCGTTGGTACGTCGAACGTATCACGGGCCCAAGCTATTTATTTAAAATAAAAATTTTGTCGTTGTAATTATTGACGGTTAGAAAGTGGATAAACTGCAGCTTTCTCGTTACCGGTTAGAGTAACAGTATCTATTAATGAGGGAACAAGTTGCTAAAAAGAACAAATTTTTGTCCCACATAAGCTATATACGTGAATTGGAACTATGACAAATGTAAATATGGATTGTTCGATACTTACAGACCCAACAATTTAGCCATCTTCTTTTCCATAAAGATCGAAGCGTCAGGATCCTTTTGAATCATAGTGTCACAGAATATCCTTTTTGCGCAGGGTGTGTTGGTCCAGTCGCCATTGATATGTGCAATCTCGGCAACCTCAGCGTTTTCCAGATTTTGCAATATATCGTCTAATTCCTGATCATCAATTTCCGTACTTCTTTTCCTTCTCGTTTTATTCCGTTCCTCCGTAGATATTTTTTTAGATCTTTCGACCGCGTCCTCGATTATCCTCGCAACCTTAATGAAGGAATCCTTGTCGGTTACAACGGTACCAAGATCCTTTTTTATCATTTCCTCAGATATAGAACCATCTCCGATAACAAAAATCGTTCTGTCCTTTCCCATTTCCTTCTCCTTCTTAGTATTTTTTCTAGGAATCAAAAATTCGGTGACATCGATGTTACCCTTGGCGGCTGCAGGTAGATCAATCTCAACTATCTCGGTGATCGAATCTGCTCCTTTCCTCTGTAATCTCTTGCTCTTTTCAAGACTCTCGACATCAGCTTCGGCATTAAAAATATCCAAATAATCCAGGCTCCTTCTATTGCGTTGATTTTTTTCCAAAGTCTCTGGAGTTTCCTTCTCTTGTTCCAGCACCAAAAATAGATCATTGTCCGTTGATCCATGCGGAGACAATTGGAAGTCGTTGTTATCTTTTCTCTGCTTTTCGGTTATTTCGGAAAACGAGGGATCCATTTCCATCGCTCTTTTATGTTCCAGATCGATAGTATCTTCGTTGGATCTCTTTAGAACGTCGACGTCAAGATATCTTCCCACTGCCACAGCACCGATTCCAAGTGCAGCACCAGATGCAACGAGACCAAGAGCAGGTATTAGAATGCTTGTGCCAGAAGCCACAGTACCGATCTTATCCTGTGCCTCTTTGCCATTCGACAAGCCTAAATTTTGAGATATTTTATGCGTGGCCTCGACCAATGGATCGAACACTGGCTTGGTGAATTGGGATACCTTTTCTACCCCGTTGGAAAATTGATTCTTCAAATTCTCCGATATTTTCACCCAAAACGGTGTGTCGCTCGGCCTTTTCAGGCCATAAAAGTGTTGATTAGGATAGTAATTTTTTGTTGTGTAAGTATCAACTATATTCTTATCGTTCAGTACGTATTTCTTTTTTTGACGTTGCTCCATAAACGTATATTGTCCGTTCGAGTGCTGATAATTATCCATATGACTCTCCGGTCGTCTTTTCTCGTTCTTTACGATCTTAGCCGGTTGGACGCCCAATTCGGGATGAGCATACTGTAAAACGGGAGCTCTCACTCCAGGTTTTACCGATACTGACGAAATCTTTTGACTTTCCGGAGTGTAAAGTTGCGAGACCGGGTAATTGACGACGCTGTCGGGATGTAACATTCGTTTTTGTACATTGGCTCGATAGTTGTCGTTCCTTGTTTCGTAAACTTCGGCGTTCAGAGCTTCGTTCTTGTAATTTTTTGGATCCCATTCGAAGTAAACGTTTCTCCCATTGTCCTCGTAATTTCTTCCATATCTGTAAACGATAAAATTCGCATAAAGTTGAAAATCACGCGATTGCAATTATCGATTTAATAATAAAAGAAAATACGACGAGATATCTCACCTACGATTGATATCCTTGAAGAATCTTTCGAATCTTTGCCTCTCAGCTAGATGATCGGACGAATAATAAACACCGGAGGAATCCATAGGATTGGAACTCGTACTCTCGGTTATCAGCTTGTTGTTGATGATTCTGGCATTGCGCCAAGTTTGAATTTTATCCATAGGTTCGTCAGGGACACGTTTGCCATGTATCACAGGCGTACCGTCGCTGTCCAAAGACATGGGTGATCTCTTCGGATGAGACTTGACATTGATTTCCGATCTGATGATTACTTCGGGTGGAACGTTTTTGGCATCTCTGTTCTTCGATAGATTGGCACCAATGTTAGTTCTGGTCGATTGTCTAGGCTGATGCGGCAGGAACGTATACTGCGTGGCTTGATTATTCTTCTCGTCGACAAAATCAAGATTTCTCTGTGTTCGGTCTTGTAGATTTCTTACGAATATTAATCCGTTGTTCGCATAAGTGGAATCACCGAAACTAACGTAACTCGATCTGCCTTGTTCTACCGGCAACTTTCTATCAGGCGATAAGGGCTTCCAATTGTGATATTCCTCGGTAGTGGTCTCTCCGAGTTTCAATGCTCTACCATCCTCACCTAATGGCGTCCAATTTCCATAATCGATATTCCTTTCGCCGATTGGTCGGATAGTACGAGTCATCGTACTTTTCGTTTCGTTTTGATCAGACTCATTCGATTTCTCGGTTACTGAGATTTCCTCGGGTTTGACAAATTTCGCACGGATCTCCTCGACTTGTGCCTCTTCCATTTTCCTTACATCTTCCTTCCTCTTTTTCTCATCGTTTTCACTAACGGATTCGTTTTTTCTACTTGATGAAATATCGTATTCGCTGACGTTCCCTTTCTTTTCGGTAACATCGATACTCGACGATACGATACGATCTTCATCGAATATCGACGTTGACTTTTCGCGTCGTTTTACTATCAAAGTTGCCAAATTACCTTCGCTCGTTCTAATCTTTAATTCCTCGGTCTCACCCGGAAGACTTCTAGATACTTTTAAAATTGTCCTAGCATAACCAGGCTTTGGCAGATCTATCGCTAAACTCTCGATAATCAAAACTGCCAAGACTAGAATAAATATTGCCTGAAAACAAATAGAAAAAAAAAGAAAAAAAGTCGAAGAGTAGATAATCATTTATAGATAGAAATCGTACGTAATTGCTTTGGTTCTCTATATTATTAAGCTACTTTCTATGCTTATCGTTTGTCTAACGCGAGTTGCAAGTCAATGCATCGATGATAATCGACTCGTCTATCGTTCGGTAATACTAACTATGTTTCTATTTTTACGTGCGCGCTCGCTCACACACACACACACACAAAGAGAAAGACAAAGACGAAAATACGTTGATATCTCTACCGTTTGATTCTCTCGTTAATGTCTAATCACGTTCTCCGTTACGTTTTGTCGGCACCGTGGGACGCCTCGTGAATCAGCTAGCATGTGAAATGATTCTTTTAAAGATTTCGAAAGTCGACCTTAGTGTTCGATCGTGCAGATCGATTGTGCACATCTATCCTCATGCATTTTTCTATCGTCTTCGATCACGCTTTTCCTAGATAAATGGATACCTACATAACATACGTTTATCTTCTATATGCTCGTCATCGCACCCCTACTCTCAAAAAGAAAATTACGTACCCGATATTATATAAAACCTTTTAGATAACCATTGTATTTATATTCATTGAATTTAACGAGCGCAAAACTGAAAAAATAAGATCGATATAATAACGACGTTAAAAGGATGTTGTGCAACGCTCGATATCAGAGAAAACAAACTATTCCGTTGTTGAATAAAGGTGAAATTTTCATCTCCTGTAATTTAGGTGTTATCTGGGATTAACGCTACTCTCGTTTTTTCAACAAATTTTTCGTCAATCGAAATAGGATATATTAAAAGTGCCCTTCGATTATTCATCATAATTATTCAGTGATTACATGAAATTAAAAGGAGGTCGTTCATTATTTCATAACCATGAATCTTAAATAGGAAAGTATACAAAGTTTTACATTATACTGGCAAATCACGCTTAAAACGATTTAAATGCGTGGAATAGTTTTAGAAAGAAACTCGATAGAAAAAAAAAAATAATAATAATGAAAAAGAAATCTAATATTCAGAAAATGGAATAAAATTTTCTACGACAGTTCTTCTAACTCATAATTCCAACTGTAATCAAGTTTAGCGAAGAATTAGAGAGAGAAAGAGAGAGAAGTTTCAAACACGAATGCACTACGTGAGAAATTTAATCGTTTTCGCGAATACTGTCAGCGTTCTGTTTTAGGAATAACAAAATTGCGAAATAGTAATCGTGCAACGGTAAGAGTCATTTTTATCCAACGATAGCATATTCGCTTGTAGGTTTCTAGGTATAACAAATTAGACATTACGATTAGATCATGTGGGTTTGCTAAAAAAAAAATTTCATTTATCCGAGTATAGATTATGCAGATTCAACAAAGATTTCTAAATTCTTACCAATAAGGAAAATATTCATTCAACTAATTTCCAATTGGTCACGTTTTCACGTTTTAACTTGGATCTTATTCCACATGCTGTTCACGAGACTTTCACCTCCTTTAAATTATTTGCCGTGATTTAAACTACACACACACACACACACATACATACATACACACACACACGCGTACGTACATACGTACGTACTACGTACAGATAGACGAGTCATGTATCCGAATTATTCGATATCTTTAAAACGTTCCACCTAATCTAAGTCTCGTACAATTTTCGATGGAATCTTTATTTACAGGGGAGGAAAAAGAAAGAAAATGAAAAATGATCGAGTTGAATGAAGATAAAAAAAAGAAAAAAATGGGCAGAAAGAGAAATAACGTGATGGACCGACGTGAACTCTCGAGTGAAATGGAACGACTATGTGCTTTCGCTGGACGCGTTTTGCACGTGCGTTGCGTTCTTTAGTACCAGTATGTTAGTCTTCGGCGAAAAGAAGATCATTTTTCTTTTTCTTTTTCTTTTCTTCCTTTTGCGAGACTCCTTCCTCTACTTTCGATCGACCAATTTCACTTATCTCTTCTTTAGAGATCAATCCTATTACGAGAGTTGACTCTTTCTTGAACCGTTAAATAAGAATTATCACAAATGATCGTCGATTTAATGCCCGGCAATCGTGATTATTCGATTAATGAACGATCATCAATAAAAATCATTATCCATTAGTAACAAGAAATTTGCAATGACTATATAGTTTATTATGGCATGGCCCCGATCCATGTCGCACGGGGTTTCCGCTCCAGAAAATCCACGGTCAGACATTAATTGTGGAACAATTAAACCGATCTAGTTCGTTGATCCTTTATCTTTTTTTTTTTTTCTTTTTATTTTTCTTTTTCATTCCAACTTCTACCGAGCCCGTTATACAAAAGAACGCGAACGTCTAATATCATCCATTCGACGTGGTCGTACGTGTAAATTGAATAATCGACGGCGTAATAGAGTAAAAAAAAAAAAAAAAAAAAAAAGAAAAAAAATAGAAACAACTCACCTTTGTTGACATCTTGCAGCTCTATATTGCGATCCTCACCGAATGATTCTCGCGATTTTTCTTTTTTATTTTCTCCCCCCTCCCTCCCTCTCTCTCTCTCTCTCTTTCTCTCTCTCTCTCTCTCTCTCCTCCTTTCTATCTCGAGATAAAGTAGACGCAAAAAACGGAAGAGGAAAAATCAAAATTTTTTTGTATTTTCTTTTTTTTTGTTTTGTTTTATTTCCTTTCCTTTTTCTTTATTAGCAATCCTCGATGCGTTTATACGTTCAAGAGGCCAGCTTTGTTGAATTCGATGATACGATACGAAGAAAGAAAAAAAAAAAAAAAAGAAAGAAAAAAGTAGAAAAAGAGGAAAAAAAGAAATAAAGAAGGATAAAAAGAACGAAAGAGGAGGAAGGAGCGTGTCTGCTCCTAAAACGCACCTGTTGACTCCCGAGATATCTTGGCGAGACTGACGACGGCAGTCAGCCGGTGGCTCCTCGTGTCTCCATCGAGGAGCGAGAATTCTCTCCGACCTACTTCCTCCTCCGTTCGCCTTCGCCTTCGCCTTCGCCTTTTTCCGTCGTTCGACGGAACCCATACGCTACCGTCTGTCTAGACCTTTTTTTCCTTTTCATTTCTTTTTTTTTTTCCTTTTTTTTTTTTTTTTTCTTTTTTACATGACATTTTTTGTAATAACATATGACGACGATATGACGGCAAAAGGAGAAGAAAAAAAAGGGAACAAAGCCGCATGGGGTCAACGGAAAAGGCGAGAGATCCGTTTATGATTTAAGAAACACATCCTTGAAATTTGCTCGTGCAAATGTATTATTGTCAAGTCGCAAAAAAAAAAAAAAAAACCTAGAAAAAAATGAAATAAAAAAAGAAAATATTTTAATGAGTCCAGGTACGAAAATAGCTACGAGAAAGAAAGAGAATCTATGATTCTTCATAGATAACGTTCAATGAAATGAATCGTTAGAAACGTACGAATTGATTAATCCTTACCACCTATTATATCAGAGATCAAATGAGATTAAAGATTCATTGTGATCCTTGTTACATCTTTTCTCTCTCTCTCTGTCTCTCTCTCTCTCTCTTTCTCTCTCTCTCTCTCTATCTTTCTCTCATCATTAAAGTGTACCATTTGGAAACGTTATAAAACACATTCGTTCATGCACGAAATAATGCAGATGAACTTATTCGATCGTTGGACATCTTGCGATCTTAATTAGTTCGGACTTTATTCATTAGGATCACGTTTTAAAATGATCCTAACGCTTGTAATTATAAAGAAGAAAAAAAGAAGAAATTATACGATAAGGATCATCTACGGATCGTCGAACACAATGCGAGTCTTTGAACGTGTCTCTCGGCTCGATTTTCTAAGTCATCGATCCGAGTCATATACAACGGAGTCGTCTGATCTGGATCACGTTGGAAAGTAAGCGTATACCGATCCCAATTCGATTTTATTTTAGTCCATTAAGGTTAAAAAGATTACACCGGTATGGATTATTATTATTGACTCTTACGTCGTATATCGGAGACGTTCCACCTTTTATTTTACCTTGAATATAAGGTATATCGGTAAATATTATGCGAGCATTTGTGTCACCGTTCTCCTTTCAGCAAGCAATTAAATCTTTACATTATCGATCGATCAATTCGACTTTAATTAAGATATATAAACAATGTTTGTACGAATCGAACCAAATGCGTTCCAATTTAACGAACATCATAAAGATCATTTAATGTTCTTCTTAGGGTCGATCGTTCGATGATTAAACTCCAAAACCGGTACGTGAAATTCGAACAGGTAGTCCGAACTAACTTTTCAAGTTCACGAACACGTACGAGTCGGAAGAAACGTTTCGATTCTAGAGGCAAGAAAAAAGAAAGAGAGAGAGAGAGAGAAAGAAAAAGAAAGAGAGACGAAGAATCCAAGTCTTGGGTTCAGAGACCCGCCAGTGAAAGTCCATCGTTCGACGACGACGACGACGACGACGACAACGATGATGCACACCTGTGTAACCTTCTCCACGTGTCCCTCGACCTCCTACCGAAGATTTCTCGTATCGTTTCGTTCCATGAACTGACACAATTCCATAGTCATCTACGAAATCCTATTTAAGCCTTTTTTTAATTTGCATTTCTCGCAAAAAGAAGATAAAAAGCCAAAAAAAAAAAAAGAAAGAAAAAAAAAGAAAAATAAAATGAAAGAACGAACGTACCACTTTCACTTTCCAAGGACACCGGAAGACGCAAAGGTATTATTCGATGAGGCCCACCTATCTTCGTTCCACCCACAACGTTTTTGTTCTCTTTTCTTTTATGGTATAATTAGATAGGAATTTTTCTTTTTTCTTTTCAATATTCTTTCTATCTTTTTCTTTTTCTTATTTTTTCTTCTCTCTCATGTTCTTTCGAAACTCTTCGTTCGCGATATAAGACCAGCATCGGTCTTCTGTCATTCCTAATATCATTCATAAATAATAGAATAGCTTACTAAACGTATCTTTAAACACTTCTTCAAATTCGTCTTTTATTTAGGATGAGAAGAGAGAAAGAGAGGAAAAGGAGAAAAAAAGGCCGATGTCGACTTTCACTTTTCGAAAGTCGTGCAAAGTAGTGAAGAAAGAAGAGAAGGAGGAGGAAGAGGTGAAAGAGAAAGAGGAGGAGGAGAAGGAGGAGGAGGAGGAAGAGGAGGTATAACACACGAGATACACGAAGAGGAAAGTGGCTCTATGAATTTTTCCGGGAAGCAAAATACATATGGCCTTTCGATTTCTCGAGTGATATCGTGAACGCCGGAAATGCATCGAGGTAATATGGATCAGTAGGTAAGTGTGGCCCATGGCAACGCACGAACATGAGAAAGAAAGAAAGAAAGAAAGAAAGAGAAAGAGAAAGGTGGAGAGACAGAGAGAGAGTCAATCCTTTGGAGACTCAGTCACGATCTTCAAACTCCTGACTAATCCTTCTAATCTCTCTTTCTCCTCTTCTCACGTTTTATTCGATTCCAACGATCGAAGGAGACCATAGTTTTTAAAAATACAAATTTTATGTTCTTTCATCTTTCATAAAAGAAAAAGAAAAGAAAAAGAAAACAAATCTCATAGATCTAATTCAGAAGATTAACGAATTTCTCTTTTATACGATAGAAATGTAAACTCAAAGACTAACTTTTGATATAACGATCATAAAAATCAATGTAAATTTGTCCGTTAAACTCTAATTGATTGTATCTAATCTCGATGGACTTGACCAATTCGAAATCTCCAATATCATAAAAAAGAAATCAGTTTGTTTAAGTTGAGAGGGAGATGTTATTATGGTGTATCTTTTGAATGATCTTCAAGTTTACGTAAGACTTGTTCGTTGTTGAAGAAAAAAATAAAGGAGAAAGAAAAAAAAAAGAGGAAAAGAAAAAAAAAAGAGATTCAACGCCTTTTTTCTCGTCGAGGTGGATTAACGATACGATGCGTTAACAATTATGAGCACGTACTTAGTTACTTACTTACGACTCATTCTCAGCTTGGACGACCTCGTCGCGACGACGTTTTCCAATATCGTTCGGCATCTTTTACAAACTCGCTTTCCTTGACATATCTTGTAATACCCACGCGTCGTCAACTTTACAACGACGTCGTCATAATCCTTATGTCAAAAAATAATCGAAAGAAAATTTCTCCCTTCAATTAAGATCTATAAAATGTTTTAGCGATGACGTTAACTAACAAGCTCGAACGTCTAACTAAACTTTCTTATATTGATACCTTTCATTGTTCCTAAATCTTTGCTCGTTAATAAACAACTCACGTTAACGAAGAAGGCACGATTGAGACGTCCGTGACGTAGTCGTTGTACAATGTCATCAAAGTAACAGCAGGGTCGTAACGTCGGCATAAACGTGAAAGTTCATGAAGAAGAGACTATTACAGAGTAAGTACAACGTTTGGCTTTCGAACGTTTACTATATGCAAATTTTATCCTACTAGTACTTTATTACACGCATACTATTCTCGTCGATTTAATTACTCGTAATATCGTAGCACGATTTCTTTTAAGAAAACTCGTCTACCTTCTGTGATATTTTTATCGCTGTCTTATCTCTTTTTCTCACTCTCGATGACGACAAAAACGATGATGATTATGATGATGATAATAATAATAATAATAATAATAATAATAATAATAATAATAATAATAATAATAATAGTAATAATGATGATGATGATGATGATAATTGGATATGGCATCACGTGATTTCGTATTAAACGTAAATTATGACGATTGACCGGATAAATAAAAGAACGGATTAGGAACATCTGTCGCAAAAAGATTCTAAATCGTTAAATCGTACTTTACGAGCTATCTCGTTGATCCGCTCTAAGTAGCAATCGGTCTATGGTCGTTTTCGACTCCAAAGTAGAACCCGTATAAAAAGTGGCTCACTTTCGTTGAACGCCCAACATACATCGTAAGATTAATTCCTAGTTAATCAGAAAGAAGTATATCGTGATAACGAAAAAAAAAAAAAGAAAGAAAAAAGAGAAGAGAAAAGGATATCGAGGATGCGATCGATTGCGTATATTTTTATTTTCTTTTACGAAAAAAAAAAAGGTAAGAGAAAAGAAGAAACTAATCAATCTTGGTCTAGCGATCAACGCGCCGTTGTCCTCGGCCTTTCTTACGCATTCCTCGAAGTGAAAATCAACTTTGCGACCCAAAATACGATTTCCATCCGGTATTCTTCTCTTCCTTCGCAATTCTCGAATGATATTTCTTTTTCTTCTTCTTCTTCTTTTTCTTTCGAAAGTCTAATCGTTCATCTAATCCACGTCTAATCCACAATTTTCTATATTCTCCTGGCAGGTGTCGTACATAAATCATAACAAAAACTGTTGCTTCGTCGTAAAACTAATATACATTTATTATTATCTTTCGTGACTTTATCAAAAATGGACTATTTGATTTTCAGTTTTTTAACAAAGATAAATGCGTACATCTGTGCAATGACAAATTAATATAATTACGTATTACTGGAAATCGAGTAATGTATTTGTATAAATATTTGTATAAATATATATATATATATATATATTTATATGTATGTATGTATGTATGTATGTATGTATAAGAGAAAAAATGACTGAGTTTCACGAGTGAGAACGATGGTCCAGAATGGACTAGCGTTGACCCACTTATATACCCAGTGACTACTTTCACTTGCGAGTACGAGACGAGTGCATACACGAGACGAATTCTCGAACGAGATATTGATGATAATAATACTGAAATGCTTCTTCAAACAATCTTCTTCTCGTCCTTCTTACTTCTTTTCTTTACCTTTCTTTCTTTCTTTCTTTCCTTACTCTTGGAAGGACACACTTTCACAGTTAGAACGAAAAGAAGACTAATTATCTTACGCGAACTTTTGAAAAGACAATGGCTATTCCGAGTTCAGTGATTGGAAAGAAAAAGAGAAAGAGAGAGGGAGAGAAAGAGGAGTGAAGAGAGGAACAATAGCAGCTTGTGTCACCCACGATACTCGCTTCCTTCTTTCGTTTGAGATTTAACAAACGATCGTCGCGCAATTCTTCTTTTTCACTGCTTCAAATATTTCCTGGAGGCCAATTTTTCTTATCATTTCTTCGTTAGATCTGTAAAAAAATTAAAATTTAAAAATTAAATTAAAAAAAAAAAAATTTAATATAACTATCGGGAATATTTAAAAATATTGTATCTAATTGTATCCTAATGCGTACGTACCTAATAGCCAAATTCCAAAGAACATTTTGCACTATATTCGTTCCTGGTTTACCACCTTCCAATATCAATTCGCATATCGATCTTTCCTCGCAGACATTCGTTCGCTGTTCATCGATCAATCTCGCTTCCTTATGCTCGATCGGCAGGTCAACGACCCTCAACTTTGAGAGAACGATGTTTGGATCCCTATAGGAATTCGTCCTTGTTTAAAATAGAGATTCCATGAATCTTTCATGATGAAATTATGCCCGATGCCTTACTCACGTCGTATTTTGAATTTTGATCACGTTAGGAGCAAGAGCTGCCAGTAATAATCCCAGTGGTAAGAAAGCTCCGATCAAATGAATAATCTTTTTCCATGGTGAAATTCTAAAAAAAAAAGCAAAAAAGAAAAAAAAAGAAGAAGGAAAGAAAAACATTTGAGAAATATTTATACTTTTATATACTCCGTCAATAAGCTTGCCTTTCCTTTTATCTTACCTGTGTCCTTTTGGATAGATCATAGCGGGTTTTGGCTCACCTAAAAAGTCCATTTCGTGATAGCCTAAAGGCCGATGATAATAATAATAATAATGTGGTTGTTTGCGAAGTGTAGTGTATTCGTGTTGCTGTGCGAGATAAACCATCATATTATCTGGTTTCTGAACGTTACCGTAATTTCCTTCTTGTTGTTCGACGTTGTAATAATTATTTTGATGATTCGGCATTAGATGATAATCTGGCACGAAATAAAACGTATTCTTATCGTCGAAGTTCCCATTACCAAGAGATAAAAGTTCGTTTGGAAATCTCATAGGTTTATCAAATATCATCGATGTGTGTTCCTCTAGGTACACCGGTTTCTCGAAATTCTGTAATAACGTATGATCGCTTATAACTTTTTGTTCGCCGAAATTATCCAAATGCGACCTTGAACTTTGCGTGACGGTAACGTGTAACGGTTGGATCGTCTTTGGTAAAACTTGTTGATACTTTCTGATATGAAAATTTCTTTTGTCGTCTTCAAAAACTATACGACCATTTTGATGTTCCTTAACGTCGTAAAGGATCCTTTGCTTAACGTTTCGAAGATCATTCTGATGAGATCCCACGTCAAAACTGTTTTCGAATTTAAAGTGATGCACTTTGTTGAAGGGATTAATCTTCGTTCTTGGTTCCTCGATTTCTCCAAGATGAACGCTTGGTTTAAATTCATCCGTAATATTTTCAGTATCGCCTTCGAGAACGATCGTCGAGAGCAAATTTTCATCAGTTTCCGTAGCAATAAATAAAGTTGCCTCTGTCGTAAAATCCTCCTCGTGAGATAGATTATCTTCTGTCGATTCTACAAACGATTTAGAATTATTTTCATTGGATGATTTTGTTGTATTTTCGGTGAAAACGTTAGCAAAAACCAGAAAGTAGATAAGAAAGAAACTTTTAACACAAAGATCCATATCTCTTATATACTTTGAGAAGTTTTCGAGATACGACGATTTCAAGAATAAGAATCTCTTCTCTTTACTTGGCAGTACACGACTAAACCGTGCCTTTGACGTTTCTTGCCTTTAACGTTGTCGTAAAGTTGAACGTTTTCTAAAAATCTCTAGTCTCTTAATCATCGTTCTTACTCCAATTGTCAACGACAAAGAAGTACGGTGACGTTTAGTTCAGGTAGCAGGTGTTAACTGTCATAAACGTTGCATCTTAGCGCATGGTGCGTAGTGTGTCAAATTCATAGACAGAATATTTCATCGATTATCTATTTCTTTCTTAAATCCAAGAAGATTGTCAGTTCGTTAAAGGCTTTGATTTCTTTTCTCGCAATTAAAGATCTTTTGCTTGATCATTCGATTTACGATAAGGAATCAACGAGACGGTAAATATCTCTATCTCTCTCCCTCTTTCGAATTTTCCACCATGACTTGGTCGTATTAGTGCGTACAATCGGGTGGAGATGTATCTATTCGAGTGACCTCGGTATACGAAATAAGGTCACTCGACTCTCGCCGCTCGTCGATAAAACGCAACTTAGAAAGTCTTTCCATCTCTTCCGTTCTTTCTCGTCTTCCGTGAAATTATTATTTCGCTCTGTAAGAGAGAGCATTCGAAACAAAAGAAAAAGTAAGGGAGAAAAAAAGAAAAGAAAAGAAGGAAAGAAATGAAAGAAAAGAAGAAAAAACGAAAAGAAAAAAAGAAGGAAAGAAAGATTTTATATGATCCGAAGAAATCCATTTATATGTCGGGAGTTCTCAACTGCAAACAAATTTTACCCGATCATTTACATCGATCTCATTAAATCTCTCTCGTAATAACAAACACGAATAATTTCTAATCGCGAACCGATCTCTTATCTCGGATATCGTTCCTCGTGACATCTTCCATAAAATGTATAAGAATTCCTAACAGATTTGTAAGAGCAACAATTAGACCATTTCGAATCCGGTCTAACGTGTTTTTCGTGAGATGAACAGGCTTTTGCTTTGTATGTATATATATATAAACATAGATATATATATATATATAGCTGCATATGTACTTATCTATTTATCTATGTGCATATGTACAAATATATATATATATATATATAACTCGGTGATGCGTAGATCGTAGCACGACGGTAAAACCATGCAATTATCGCGAGGAGTACTTTCCTTGGAAACTCGTTGTCGATGCGTGAAGCTCGTAGAATATCCAGGCTAGCTTGGATCATCGTGTCCCTCTCTTTCCATCTTTTCACCGTATACGAATACGCGTAAACAAGGAAGAGAGAAGATATGGAAGGCGTTGGGGTGGGGTGCTCGATGGCGATGTATGCTCGGTTTAATATCCAATATGGTGGTAGCTTCTTTTTCTCTCATAGGAACATAGCCAACAATGAAAGTAGCATTCGCGTGTCTCTTTTCTTTTTCATTTTCTTTTTCTTTTCTATATTCTTCTTTCCTTTTTCGTTTCCCTTTTCCTCCTCCTTCTCCTCGTCATCGTCGTCATCGTCATCGTCGTCGTCGTTTTCGCGGCTTCATTGGCCAACCCAATTCCGGTTTTGAGTAGGCCATCAAACCGCACGACGTTCGATCGGAATCGGAAGCAAGAAAAATCATTATATAGAATCGTCGAACTCAAAGGGATAGTTATTATAGTTATCTTAAGAAAATCTTTACAACTTTGAATACTTTCTTCAATTATATAGATATCTAAATATACCTTGTAGATATGTGTGTATATATATATATATATATATATATATATATATATATATATCGACTTGCATTTTAGTATCGTACTTCAATGGAAAGAAAAAATTCATGAAAATCAATGTGATCTGTTCGATCGTAAAACGTCAAAAGTTGTTCTATTCGCGTTTTACTCGATGCCAACTATAAAGAGACCTAAGAGTTAGAGTTGTAGGTATACGTACAAAGATACGAGCAAAAAAGTGAGGTTGAGGTTTCTGTGCCGAGAAAGCGAAAAAATCGTCAAACGACCGATTTTTCCTTTGAATCCTCGACGTTTGTTTCTTTTCCCCATAGACGACTACGACGACGACGACGACGACGACGACGACGACGACGACGATAGTGCGTACGTTGAAGGAGGTCAAATCAGTAATTTACCGACCATGAAAATTGCCATCAACCTTCTTTGTCTTTCTCCGGTTCTTCCGTCGTGTCCTAAATCGATGTTATCGTCGATACTCTTACAATTTATCCGAAACATTAAACCAATTTCTCTAACTTAGCTGGACAATGATTTCTACGAAAGAGACAGGTGGAAGAATTAGTTTCATTTCGTGAAGAAATTTTCACGTACAAATGAGCGAAAGTTGAAATTTTGACTTGAGGACAAAGAAATTTTAGACTTTTAGTTGAACGATTATTCGAAAGGAAAGATTTAAGGAAGACTAGAGGATGTCGCGAGAAGGTGCGTGATTGTTACGGGTGACCGGTGTAATTAGTGCGTGACGAATGTCTTTCTTCTTTCACCGCGTGCCAGTGACAGGGTACGGTCTTTTCAAGTTCATTCGATAAAATACGCCAACGTAAACGTGCCAATACGTCTTGCATATATTTATTTGCAAATATATCGTTCGTCGATTATAAGAGACGGCTCCGGTCAGTTGGATTTTATCTGATCCATAGATCGTTCCTTGTCTTTATCTTGGTCCTATTGTTCGAATGATCGCCGAGGCTATCGCCGAAGAAGACGAGTGTGGGAAGGAGAAATGGCGAAGTTAGAACATGTGAAAAAGAAGGAGAGAGAGAGAGAGAGAGAGGAGACGAATCCGTTTCCTCGGTGACCAGGCTAGACAAGGACAAGGAAATCCAACAGCACCAGGTCGAGAAGGAGATGTAAAATGGACCAAGTACACTCGAAGTGGGGACCTGGATTAAAAGCAAACGAGGCCAACCTCTCAGTAACAGAACCATCACGGACCTTGAAGAGGCGAGGTCGTTCTTTGTTACTCTTCTTTCTATCTGCTCCTCTTGGCTAACTACTGCTACTAGTGTGCACGTTGCCGTGGCCGCTAACGATAACGGGTTCTCACTTTGAGACTCGACAACGATTCGCCTTGTTCATGTAATTAAACATCTCTACGTTGGAAGGCTTTATCGTGTAATTCGGTACACCATATCTACACGGTCAGTGAAAGACAGTGAACAACTAAGGATTTAATCGGAGACAAATTTTCTAATCATTTTTTTGCAGATGGCGATCACGAACGGAACAATCTGTTTGCTTCTTTTAATCTTCATCCTAGAAGGTTCCTATTGCAACACCAGATACTTTGTTAAAATGAGAACCAATGCCTCCGAATTGTTCAAAACGAAGAACGAAAATCTTCGAATACCTCAGGAACCAATTGCTATGACTCAAGGCCCGTTATCCGATGAAACTAGGGACGATCAACGAAGTAACGATGAAAGAATGATTCGAGATGCCTTGACCCTGGAATACGACAGACGAAATACTTTTGAGACCTCCACATTCAATCCCGATGTACTCAACAAGTTCCTCGAGGATTACGCCAATAAAATTAAAAGTTCTACCGAAAAAGACTTTAAGCTTCCGTTGAAATTCTCTAAACCAACGGTGGATCCGCTCATTCTCGAAGTTGACGAGTCTACCACTGATTCTTTCACTACTATACTCGACGATGAAAAATCCACTTTGGATCCTATCAATTCTACTTTAAACGAGGACAAGGTAAGTACTTTCTTTCTTTTATTTTTTTGTTTTGATCTTTCTTTTTTTTCGTTTTGTTTCTCCAAGAAATACATACTACGAGCAACAGCATCTTTATCTTTTTCTTGGTTTTTTTTTTTTTTTTTTGTTTTTATTTATAGCTTAGTGAGATTTTGAATGATACATTGAAAAGAAATAAGTATTATGGTATGAACTCTCACGACGATAGAAATGGTTGGGTTACGCTAGATGCAATACCATGGTCCAAAAGTAAAATTTCAAAGTGGCAGGCAAATCCAAGTACTCAACGTCCTTGGCCAGAGATAAAACCATGGGAGAAACCTAGCATGGCTAAACCATGGACGTCCGATTATTCCTCCAGGCCGACTTATGAAAACAACAAACCTTGGTAATTTAATCGTGTTTACGATTTGTCATTTTCACGTGTTTACATTCTTTCACTCGTAACGATTAAACATTTAGGCACGAAAAGCCAAAACCTTATTGGCAAGAAAACGGTAATGAAAAACCATGGCAAAAACCATCGTCGTCCTCTCGTCCGTCTTATTATCCAGACAAGTACGATCAAGTTTCGAATCAAGCTCAAAAGTGGCCACCGGAGAAGCCATCTTGGGACAAATACCCTTCTAATATTCATCGGCCAACCGATATTATAACTGACGACAGGCCTACCAATTTTCCAAATACATGGAACAACAGACCTCAATCTTCTAGACCTCATCCTTTTTTAGACAGATATCCTGAAAGCAATCATGCCGACGAGACTAACAACGATTGGCACGACTTTCCACCGAGAACCGAATCATTGGACAGACCTAGACCAAGCGACAGACCAAATTTTTCGCATTATCAATACGGTAATAATCATCCATCTTCTCATCCATCTAACGGAGATGGACAATGGGTTCTTCTATCAACGAACAGAGGATATTCCAAGTCCCGTCAGAGATCCATCAAAATCGACACATTGACTCCTGAACTGGTCAAACTATTGAATGGAAATAAAACGAAATCCAGCAACAAAGAGAACGTCGATCCAACCATTGCCGTTATGACATCAAAGCGGCAGGTTAGGCTAGAAGTTTAAAGAGATATTTCGATTAGATTTAAGAATATAATTATTTTAAAGATATAATAGAAAAATTAATATATATCCAATTCAAAATTAATGACAACAGTCCAAAGTGCAAATTGAATCGAAAATTAATATCGAAACCGGTTCTTAAGAATCTTTTTTCCTGTCAGTGATAAATGACTTGTATTGATTACATGCAAAGTAACACGAGTTTCAGACTTTTATGATACCTTGTTTAGAAAGTAAACAGTTATTTATTCTTTTTTCTTTTTTTGACGGATAGAATTACTTATCCGATCGATTATCGACAGTTACTTTATGAAATATGGCTTACCTAGGTCAGGTTGACGGTGTTACCGTCGATCAACGGCACCAACACTACGACATCGCACGGCGGTCTCTTAGAAGTCGAGAGGACTTTCAAGAGCGTCGATCAGAGCCGAAAGGAATACGAGAGAGACAGAGCGACAACATTACCGACTATATTGAAAAAACGACCAATCAGGAACACATTGAACGGCGGGGGTCAAGTTTCAAGTTCAGCGGTTCTCGCGGCAGTCGGAGCAGGTTCGTCATCGAGAACGCGTCGTTGTATTTATTATTTTACTCGTCGAATTAATGTATCATATCATATTTATGAAAACAGGTATGTTACCGGCGACTATGGCAATGATGATTCCTATGATGCTCGGACGAAAGAAACGGGATCTGACGTTGAAAGAGGATACACTACGGAAGTTTCACAGTCTTGGAATAAATCTGCATAATCTTGGAAAGAAGTACGAGGGCTCGAAGAAAAGATATTTCTGATCGTAGATCAAATTCGTATGCCGCACGAGAAAGGAGGTTTACACGCGTCTTAAAATCGTGATGCGATCGTTACAGGTACAATTAGGTAGTATCTATGGAATATAATACCGATACTATAGTTATATATACTTTATAAGGAACATCGTGATTCGACGGGGCAAATCGACGAACGGAAGTGTTGTTGCACTCGCTTGATCATGAAAGTTATGTTATGGCAAACGGTCCTGTAACGCCTATCTTCACCGTGTCATTCAATGACTATATAGTTTCTACATACGGGGTCACGTATTTTACATGATATATACATATATATATATATATGTGTGTGTGTGTTGAACGGTCTGGCGTAAGAGGACTTTGCGTTTACGATCAAAAAATATAAACAGTCATTGATATCGATGGATTATGCGTTAGCTAGAACGTATAGACAAAATGCGTACATATATTGTGGATGGTGTAGGATCGATCGCGGTTAAAGCACACCTGTTGCATCCTGAATAGATTGGATAACGAGTATAACAGTATGGTATTATACTGAACTAGGGTTACTGTTACAGGGGACATTCAATATTTACTTTCCATTTAGTTACGATTTACCGACTGACCGATAGCCCTTTAGTATATTTTTCTTCGATGAATGTCGACCTATAGAATCCGACCGAAGATTACGTAGCTAAGAGATAATGAAACATTAATTCGTTTGATTATTGTTTCGGATAATTTATTGCTATTTATTATCGTATTTATTTCGATATGTTTATTCATTAATGTTATAGGAATATCGAATGAATGTCTCTCTCATTGATATATATATATATATATATTTTTTTTTTCATTTTTCTTTCAACATTTTATTTTTATTTACACGGCACAGAATACTGCGTAGCAATATTTATTTTAACTTATTTATTTATTTATTTATTTATAAATACGTAATAAACACTCTACTAGATTTTTATATATCCTCGTACCGAGAGGGAAAAGACACACGTACATGGAAATGTAACATAAAGTGAATTTTCAATAAAACAACGTGTGCGTGCGCGTGTGTTTGTTTGCGTGTGTGTAAACATGGGGTGACAGTCTTATAAAAAAAAAAAATACCCACTACCATTTTCAAACGTGTTTTCTCGGTAACTCCTCTCTTTTTTTCTTTTTTCTTTTTCTCTTTGAAACAATAAAATTCCGATAAAAAAAACGACTAAATCCCGTTATTTCTCTCCTCCTCCTTCTCCCCCTTATCCCTTTCACTTGCAAGCATCATGGTTTCACAGTGATAAGCGTCAACATCTGAATTGAGCCAAATCTACTATCAATCACGAGAACATCGTTTTGATATTCGTTAGATTTTCTTGATCGTCATAACGATATTAAAAGATATTCCTAAAGTTCGATTGACGAGTTGTCTATGAAAAATAATCGCGATAGTTTCGCCGTCATTAAGGTATTTAAGTTATTAAGTTATTTACGATCAGCTTAAAATAAGACTGATATTGAGACACAAACGTGTAAAACTGGTTCTACGTAATCCTAAAATAAAACATACACGCTGAAGCAGATATATAAGAAGAAGAGACGATACAATTTGGTCGCATCTTCAATCACATACAATTCTCTCTACTCGTGAATTTCGAAAGGTAACATTATACGTACGTTACATCCTATTCCTCGCCATTGATCCTCTTTTGCACGTGTCCCAGATATCTCGCGAAACCTTCACTTGCGTGTTTCAAAATCGTCAAGCCTAATCTAAACTTAATTTCAGCTACTTTTTTGACAAAATTGAAGAGATTGAATCCTCCTCCTACTTCTTCTTCTTCGGTCGATTTTTTCGTCGTTGTATTTTCGAACCATTCGACGGTCGTTTCTTCGATATCTTTCACGCGTTCAGTTGCATCAGACACCTCGCTCGTCAACGAAGATGTCGAAGTTGCAAAAGACCCATTGCCCGAATATTCTTCCATTTTATCGATTTGTTTTCCAGTCGTTATTTTTTCTACGGTCTCCGTCTTGTCGTCGAATACATTTTTATTCGAATTAGTGTCGTTTTCGGTCTCGTTACTTTGGATCTCATTTCTCGAATCTATTTCCTTATGATACTTATGAGATTCCTCGCGAAGTTTTTTCTTAGATGAAACAAAATCGTCAACCTCGTTGTCTTTTATTTTTTTCTCTTCGCCGCCAGATAAAGTAGAGTCGATAATATCCAGAATTTCATTGCTAAGGTCCTCTTCTTTTTGTTCTTTTTCTAGTTCATGTCTTGACGGGATTATTTGAATAACGGAATCCCTTTTCGATCTGGAAGAACGATTAATAACATTCACTTTATTAAGGATCGAACGTTTTATCTTTAAAGATCTAGGTCCATGTTCAACGGCCACAGCAGTAGGTGTGATCTCGATCTCCTCGTAACCATCTTCGGGTCGTAAAGTTTGCGTTTCCGATTGATAGCCTTGTCCGTTCACCGTATTTGGTGGAAAGTTGAGACCTTGAGCTATGTCACGCTCAAATTGCGTCAAGCCACTTTCCGTTGATTCGTGGAAAACGTTGGGATCTTTTTTATTAGATGTCGATAAAGTAGAATGTTTGTCGGTAAAGGATGGATAATCTTTAGGTATGTTACCGACAACGAATTGTCGATTTCCCGTATTATCTTGACCAATCACAAATTCGTTATGTTTTTGTGGATCATAATAAGTTGGAGTGGTTTGTACTTCGGAATATCTGTAATCGGTATTACGATATTTTAACACAGACCCTGTATTTTCGGTTGGCTTGTAAATTGGCGATGACGATGGTAAAGGATATCTTTGATCCGTCCTTCTTATCGATTGAGTATCGTACGCACCGTCATAATGATGATAACGATAATAATTTTTATCGAAATCCTTGATCCCGTCTGATCCAGCACCAAACTTATTCTCATGATTGGTCATACCTTGGAGAACTTTCGACAATACTTCCTCTTCGTTCTGTCCATAATTACCTCCGTATTCATCTAAATTGTACTTGTAATTCGGTTCCACCTCATAATTTCTTCGCGTGATTGTTCCACCAAAAGGATAGAGAAAATAGGAAGCTAATCCCAGGCCAAGACCGAGCAAGGACATCACCCCAAAACTGGGCATTACTTCTCTGCTAAGAAAATTATAAATCTGCGTACTGATTCCCTTTTGAGGCGGCTTCTTCTTCGTCTTCGTAATATTATTCGTTATTTTGGATTCTGGCTCGACCTTTGATTCTTGAATAGCGTTGTCCAAAAGAATCGGTTCGGCCGATACTTCGTTTATTTCGTCAATCGGTGAAGGAGCTATCGTTGTTGTCGTTGTAACCGTGGTTGTTGTTAACGGTGTCGTGCTTGATGGCCTTCGACGTCTAATCTTGTTCTTCTTCCTCTTATTCGAGTTTCTCTGTCGTTTCGTTGTCGTATATGACGATTGAGTGGAGGACGTTGTCAATGAATCTGCTGAACTATCCATTTCGGTACTGATCTTCGTCAGTTCAGGATTAAAATCAAATTTCAAATCTATGCTAGAACCATTGAGATTAATTAAGCCAACGTCAGTCATATCATTGTCAGATTGTTTCTTCTCCGTCATTTTTTGAATCGTCCCGTTCTGTTTAATTGGCTCTATTTCGATTTGAGTGGATTCGTCGATTGGCTTCTTCAATTGCACTTTCAAGACATTACTTACGCTCGTTCCAAGAGGTTTCGATTTGATCGGTACCTCGATTAAATCGGTATCTGAAAAATTGCTTTTAGAAACGGTAGAAACATCAGCGTTCACAGGTGCAGTTTTTTGAGTGTCCATTAGAACGGATGCCTTGATCTTCGTGACGAATATCGGTTTCTCCGTTATCTCATTCTTCATAGTTCGTGGCGTTGTAATCATCGGCACCGCTTTGAACGTAACTTTTTCAACCTTAGCTGTCGAGGAGGAATTGTCGTTCTTCGATACTTCAGGTTTCACCGTTGTCCTTTTCGTCTGAGACGGCTTAGGTTTGCCTTGTTGAGGTCTTTTAACTGCCGTTGTACCAGATTTATTTGGAACAGTGGGTCTAGGAGTCGTCGTGGGCTTTGCCTTTAAAGTCGATCTTATAATTTGAATCCTTTTTGTGGTCGCACCTGAAGACGTCGATACTGTCGACGTTACTTTATTATCCGCAGCCGAGGCAACGGTTGTACGTGATACCTTCGAAGTCGTACTTTCGATGGCTTCTAACTTAGCCAAAGATTGCGTTGTCTCGTCCTGTTTCGAGGAATTATTACCAGGAGTAATTTTTTTCAAAGTACTATTATTCGTACCTTTCTTCGTACTTGAAAAGATGACTTTCTCTATCGAGGCAGTCGATGGTAATTGTGACGTTACCTTTTGCTCGTTCTTCGTATTCTTTATCTCTATTCTCCCATGAGTCACGATCGGCTTTAAAGTATATCTTACATCGTTCTCAGATTGTTTCGGCGTGGCAGGTCGATCGTTCTCGGTGAGGCTCTTTGTCGTCGTCGATGGTGGATTTAATAAAATCCACGTCGAGATACCGCCGGTTGTCGTCGGATGATTCTTATAACCTGCCATCAATCTGGTAGAACTCATTTCCTTCTCGAGTTCTTCCTCGGTCATGACCATTGCCTGACCAGGATGACTACTCTCAAAATAACCAAATTTCGAATTCATAGGTCTACCAAAATTAACTCCCATCGATTCGAGATTACTTATCTCCGCATTAATTTCCTTCACGAAAGATGCATCGTCCTTCCCGTTCAATCTCGAATCCTTCGTTTCAATTTTCGTTTCTTTAATCCCTTCGTTATGACCCGTTACATTTAGCAATTGCGTAGCGACCGTTCTTAATGACTGGTTGATGTGCTGGAGATCTTTCAGCTGGCGTTGCGTTTCATTCGTCAGTTGAACACTGAAATGAAAATCTCGTGTGAGATCGTTACGTTTCATGTGCGAGTAATTTTTCTGTTAAAGCTTATTGTTTTCTAGAACAATGTTGTTCCACAATATTGTTCTTAACGATAATTAATATTATCGTTTAGTATCATCAGCGATTTTTATCTCAATAACGGACAATATTTCGTGCTTTAGGCGTTAGATTTTTAATGGTCTTACCTTAGACGAAAAAGGATAGTTAAAATCGTCTGTATAATATCTATATTACCGCATTATTTCAAGGAAATGAGGACATGGGATGTGTCGTTTGAATGAATTATATATTTATAAATATCTCGGCAATTCTTTTGTCTTATAATTTCACGTTAAAATGAACTCGCACGCAATGCGGTTGAACTGAAATAAAATCACAAGGTTCTTTTACTTGGAATATTTTATTCATATTACAAATTCATACTGCGTATGACGATGATCAGTTTGACCTGTTTCGATGCGATTATATATCTAGAAAAATTGAAATTATTAAGGAGATATCAAGGATACCTGTCACTTCAAATTAAATCATTAATTAACATTAATTATTATGAAATAAAGGAATTCCTTTTTACTGATTACAATCTCTATTTCGATTTAATATTATACTTATCGATTAAATAAATATCTACAATAGTTAATACCAATTTTAGTTGGTCATAGATAAGAGAACAGATCTCGTTTCTTCCTTTTTTTACTTTTCCATTCGTTCAGTCGCTCGTATTTTTGCAAAGAGTGTCTAACGATTTCATCGAGATTAGGCCTAAATCTGATCGTAATAGAGTCAGAAGATCGACCAAAATCGAAGGCACTTGGAATCGTCCAAGGAAATATAAAGGCAGCTATTCCTAAAATACCAGCAGCGATGGCGGCAAAAGGAGCAGCGGCTAGACTGAACAAGCTGTAGTTCAATGGATTGAAGAACGTAAGATACGTGAAGGTCGAGGTTATCGATTCCAAAACACCACTAGGGGATAGATCAAAGCCGTCGTCGTCGTCCTCGTCGTCGTTGTCGTCGTCCTCGTCGTCGTCATCGTCATTGCTAATAACAGATCCTAAAGCAGAACCACTGGAAGGACGATTACCGATCAACTGTGACACTGCGTTAGGCAAACTAGGACGATTTGAAAGTCCTGCGGCTTGCAAACTTCCTATACCACCGTTACTATTTCCCTGTTGACTTTCAGAAAAATCGCTAACGATGGAAGCAAGTTGTTCTTGATCTTCCAAAGGAGATACAGCGTCATTAACCGAATCAGAAGATCCTTCTGAAGTTTCGCCTGGTGTTTCGGAAAATATCCAACCATCAATGTCATTAGGTTGATCGTTCAAGCTCGCCACGCTTACTTGAGTATTCTGGACAACCTGAAGTGTTGGTACGTCGGAAGAAACGTAGTTAGGTTCGGAGGAGACCTCGGATTGAAATATCTCGTCTTTCTGAGGTATATAATCATCTTGGTACGAGGGAGGATTGTAAATTGCGGTTGGTGAAGGCTCGTAATTGTAAGTTTGAACGGATGGGTAAACATTTTCTATCGATCCTACATATTTATTATTTTCACCTGCAAACGAATTCACGTTATTGGGGTCATCGATGATCGTCTCCACGGGCTTTATCACGTTAGTGTTTAAAATGTGTGAATTAATGATAATATTCAAATCCGTACATCCTTCCTTACTTTGAATCGTATTATTTACTTTGGTGAACGAATTTATCATGATGGTAGGACAATTCTCATCGAACTTAACGTTTTCTTTGATCTTATCTTTTTCCGATAAGAACATTAACTCTACGTTTGGTCGTGAATCTGAACTAACGGAAGAACCTTGGACAGAAGTAATAGGCTTTGAATTATTTTGAAGATCTTTTATCCCTGCCAAAGTGCTGTTAGACTTTTTCGAGTGACTTTTCAAAATATGAACGACCGTGTTTTGCGTTATTTGCGTTATAGGCTTATATCCGAGCTTCTTTTGCGGCAAAGACGCCGTTGAAATTAGATCATAATTTGTCGTGGACGTTTGCCATCCTGGTGAGACGTCTATCAATTTATCGAGTAAAGTATTACCATTGTTAGGGTTAAAACTATCATTTTCCGAAGTTTTCAAAGGGAGATTGGGCTCGAGATCATCATAAAGTGGCTTAAAAGTAACACTGATTGGACCATCGAACTCGTCGTCCTCCAACATTTGACTTTTATTCGAGGCAAACGCTGGAATCTTCATCCACTGAACGATTTCCTGAATACCAGCTTGCATGGCAGGTATTCGATGATGGACACTCGAATTGTTGTTACTGCTAGAACTAATCAGCTGATCGGTATTTTGAATCTGCTCTGGAAAGGACGTGTATCTCTCGTAATTATAAAGATCTTCGGCATCTTTTGGAAAATCATTTGGCCAATTTGTTAAAAAGGAATCAGTAGGAAAGATTTGATCCTCCAATTGGGAAACATCAGTTTTGTTTTTTTTACCAACATTAACATCCTGTCTCATGAAATTAATCGAAGGATAGCGAGAAACAATATTCCTAACGTTCGTCGACAATTCCGAATTCTTCGTCGATTCGTTAAGGTCATTAACATTCTCTTTAGAAAAAGTTCCTTGATCATTTTTAATTCTCTCAGTGAATGTCAATCTAGTAAAGTAATTCCCACGATCCCTCGATATGGTATTCGTAAGATGCTTCACAGCACCGACTTGATCAAACCGGTTGGAAGAAAGCATCACAGGAGTACTACCATGATGCCTGACCTTGACAGAGTTTCTATAAGTCGATGCTGCTGCGATGTTTTTGCGATCCAGTATATCTACTTGTTCTTCTGACTTTAAATTCTGGTTCAAGGCCAGTTCATTCGTTTCGAGTCTTCTCTTTCCTGAATTATTCAAAGCTTTACGTTGAGAATTATCGAGCCTGGAATAACGAGGATCACCTAGTCCGGTTACTACATTTTTCGGCTTAACTAAATTTTCGACTTTCGAAATATTCAAACGACGGGACGCATAAATCGATCTATCGTGTTTATCGTGATTTAATAGTTTAGCAGTACGATATGGAAATTCATTCGTAAGATTATTCCTTCGAAAATATCCTTCTCTATTTAATAACTTGGACCAGTCGAACGAGCCCCTAACGGAATCAACCGATCCTAAACTTACCTCCTCTCTAGTATTATTACCACTGATATTACCACTACTACTATTACTACTACTATTACTGCTACTACTATTTCTACTTTTGAACGACGAGCTAGCATTAGTATCGCGATAATAGATAATGTAAGACTTTCTACTATTTCCGGAGTTCTCCGTATACCTGCTGTCACCTCGACGAACATTTTCGGTAGTTTTTTCCGTCGATCTTGGTGGTTTCCATTCCTTGTTGCTCGCCTCAGTCGTTACTTCCTGTCGTAAAGTCGTTTCCGCTTCTGCAAAAAAGAAAAAAGAAAAAAAAAATACAACTAACGTCATCAAACGTGTTTCTCGAATCTGTTAATGTCAGTCTTTATTTATTCAAAGTTGCGAAGTATGCAGATTGTAGGTAACTACATATGGTCGATTTGTTAAGGCGATAGATGTGAGGTAACTCTCATCGTTATGCATCGACGAAAATTTTCGAAATTGAGGAAGGAAAAGGATAGTCGCGTATCGATTAGAAATTTTCTAACGAAACTTTTATTGCGTTAACCACGCGTACGCGGATAATCGTTCGTTTAGAAATAAAAAAGAAAATACAATATACAACTTTCCTTCGTAGAGGGAGAGATCCTCTAACGAGTGAACAAACGAAAGTGACAGAACCCATCTTAATTGGCTAAGAAATCTCTAAGCTCTTTTAACTGTCTACGTTAACTTACTTCATTGAATATGGATGCTTCTCAGAGATCGTATTTAATCTCGTTGCTTTTAATTGCATCAAACCTTTTACGTTATATAATTTCATATGTTGCATGAATTTTTACATTATCATTATTATATCGAATATATTTACTTAATTGTCTATTAATCCATTTTGTTGTTCAAAAAATCTAACTCGTATACATTACTCTCTCTCTCTCTCTCTCCCCCTCTCTCTCTCTTTATTTGTTTCTAATTACTTTCACGGCTCAAGACAATAACTTTTCACGGAATATTTGAAAAAAATTTACCGGCTGTTTGAGGCCTGGCATGACTGAATTCTACCAGCAAGAGTATCAACGCGATCTTGAATAGACCCATCCTAGTTCGTACTCTGAAACGAAGAAATAAAGAAACATTATGAGAAATTATTAGATTCGTTTTTGCAATCGCTTTGGTCAGAAGGAAACGGCGTGATCGTTTGGATCACGATACGAATCCTTTATTGCTAGTTTAACGAGTAAGGTCTCGATCGACAGGGTCGTTCGTATTCGATTCTCGAGTTTCGATCGTTTCTCTCGATGGCGTCACTAGCATTTTAAACTTATTATCGAGCATCGATCTCTTGCTCACGAAAATTGTGATCATTATTTATTTCATTTATTTCATCTTCAATGCCATTTTGTTTTTGTCAAGTAAAATTATTTTTTGTTTGTACATGGTCACATAATAAACTAATATTTTTCTAACAGTACAAACAGGCATTCCTCGTTGAACAATTTAGGAATTTCTATTTAACCCGTTAGCTACCCGTCATACGAAACTATTCCGTTTTATCCTATTTAATAACTATTTAAATAACTGAATGATAATTACTTTTTCCACATGACGAGTATATACGTCATAAAAGAAAAATATTACTATATCTTCGTGCAGAGTATAATCGTAATACACAGCTAACAGGTTAATCATCAATCAGGCATTTTCGAACGTTTTAAGCATTTAACATTTTGTATTAATTTGTTACGCGGAAAATGATTAGGGTGTTTGGATTCTTATCGACTTTCATCGAATCTTTATGATAATATTCGATAAATGATCATCGATCGAAGATAATAATTTTATTGAGATGTTTATGTTTAAAAAGAACGTCGATCAAAGCTCAAGAATCTCTTTTTTACCGTTGCATTTTTCGTTCATATTTGTGTCTAGTAACGGTACCAGTCATCCTTCTTCTCGGACCTCTCTCACTTTGCATGAGTCGCGTGCATTGGACGTCTCTACGTTCTACGATCGTGAACAAATAAAAAGATGGAAAGAATTATTCATTACTCATCGTAGGAAAGTATTTGAAATTTCTTTCCTTTTTCTCTCTCTCTCTCTCTCTCTCTCTCTCTCTCTCTCTCGTTCTCTTTCTCTCTCTTTGGTTCGTTCAACGTACCGTTAACGCATCGACTAAAACAGCTGTCCGATTTCAATATAAATTGTCTCCGTTCTACTTGAAATCCTCACGTAGCAAGTTCTTTGCCAAAAATTTGTAACAAAAAAAGAAAAGAAAAGAAAGAGAAAAAAATCATTCGCTCAATTGAACTGCTTTCTATTTCTTCGATCTCAGAATTAGAAACTATATCTAATATCTCGGAAGTGTTTATTGATAGTAAATATTTTACTAAGAGAAAAAACGAATTTGATTTGTACGTTTTGCATTTCACTCGATCTTACTAGCAACTTATCAAGAACTTTCTTTGATCTTACGGCAATCTCGAATCATCGACGATTCGAAGTACGTGTATCTATGTGATATAAACAAGATAATAAAAGAAAGAAAAAAAAAAAACATTAAAAATAATTTAAAGATGTTTATCGTGAATGCGTTAAAAGGCTTACCTGAAAATCAAAGAAATGCTCTCAAGATTGACACAGGAATGGACATCACACCGACGCACAATATCGTTCACGCGCGTACACTTATTCGTAAGAAACGTAAACGAGGCGGAACGAATGAAAAGAAGAATTTTCCGCGTGAATTGCCGTGCGATCTGTCGATATTTATCTCGTTTTATCGTCACCGAAAGAGGATCAGAAAGAATTGAGAGATAGAGATAGAGAGAAATATATATATATAAAGAGATAACGATAATAAGAATATTAATAAAGTAAAGAGTAAAGGAAACAGAAACAAAGAATTAAAAGCGAAAAAACCGATGAAAGAAATCGAAACTTTATCGTGATTCACTGTCTTTAAGATCGTCGACGATCTTTCGACAATGGTACACGGCTGACTGACTCGAGGTGGACGTCGAGTAGACGAGTAAAGTCGTATCGGTGTGTTAAGAAGGAGAAAGAAAGAAAGAAAGAAAGAGAGAGAAGCTCAGAAGGCGCCTCAGCACAGTGCTTCGAACCGATGCGTAGAGGGTCCCCCGTTTAGTTTGCACGAGACTACCCAGACCCGTTACTTCGTTCCTACGAGATGTCGACGGGTTGAATAACCTTCGGCAAACTCACGACAGGTAGTCCTATCTTATATATACGATATATGCTAAATGGCTATATAATTAGATATTCCAACGAGTATGCAATGAGCTTTAAAAGGAGTAACAAAAACGAAAGTTGATTACAAGATTATGGAAAAAAATTTGCTTGCACTCATTCACTCGGTCTTACGATTATTTCTTTTTCTTCTTTCCTTTCTTTTTCTTTTTTCTTTTCTTTTGTAATCGTTCTCAATCCCACTCATCCATCCAATCATACGATTTATGGAATTACGATAAAAATTAAATTTGTTTTGTTCGTTAATAATTTATATATTTTTTTTAATCGTTCCTTTTCGTTATTAATAGTTAATAGTTAATTAAATAACGCGGAACTATCGAAGAAATTCCATGTGGTAAATAGAATGAGGATCAATTCAGTCGCCCACGCTACTCGACAATATTTCCTTTTTTTTTTTCCTCGTTCGCTCGCTTTCGATGAACGAACGGTGGGTGAACCGGCTCTCGAGACTGCCGATTCCACACTCCGGCACTCCAAGCATACCTACTTTGTTCCGTAGAAGGACGACAATGCGGGAGAGCATTTATCCTAAAAAGTACATTACATGTGCCAGTAATCCACTACTTGTCATTTACCACGCTCTCAAGAATTGTTCGATCTATAAACGATTTAACGCTTGTTTCGAATTTACGTAGAAATTCTATGATAAATTCAATGTTCTTCCTGAATCGATGTTGACGATGACATCATTGAGACCATTAACCGATACCTCGAATTCATCGGGCTCTACAAGAGAGAGAGAAAAAAAAAAGAAAAGAATGAGAGAAAGAAAAAGAAAAACAAGGATGAGGTATAAATTAATTGAGCATGAAGCCGCTCTTGAAAGTAGTGTTATTTGAGTGAAAGAGTTCCGCCGAGGTAAAAAGATCGAACAAGGGCCAACAAAAATGTTAAAGACCTAAGGCTAGCGCCGGGATTACACTGTCGGTCCCGGAAGATACATAATAACTGAACGTACCGGACGTCCCAGAATCGTCCACCGTCGAAGCTTCTATGTGGGACATAGCGGCACTTCTCATGGCCTTAGATATCTTTACCGTCGGAGAACTGTCATCTACACGTAACATATTCTCCTTGTTTTTCGACAAACTATATTATTTGATACGACGAACCAATCAAATTTAAGACAAACCAAATAATGGTCTTTACGGCAATTACTTATCTTATACATGTACGTATAATATTTTTGAATTAAGACAATTCGGAACACTCGAGCTATCAAGGAATAATATTTCAATGAGCATATTGAAATTCATGTTAAAGCTTCGGACAACTCCTAATTTATCTATCTATCCGCTACACCTTCCTAGTTATCATTCCTAAACCTAAAACGGACATCTTGAGTAACGGTGGATCTAAGAAAAGAGAAGGTCAAGTTCTATCAATTAAGTCTGATCAATTATTATATACGAATGATTTTCATTGGAACTAACGGAAATACTTATTTTTGGAGATATTCTCTTAGTTGTAACCGAGGCCAAATAATAGTCTTTACGTCTCGAAGGTTCGTCGAACAATTTCGATTTCGTCCTGTTGCTTCAAAGCAATCTACAAGAACCAACTGACGGCTCGAACTGACAGCTAATTACACTTTAACCATTTATGATGTACAGTGACGCGTAAAAATAATTGTTTCTTCTCTCTCTCTCTCTCTCTCTCTCTCTCTCTCTCTCTCTCTCTCTCTCTCTTTCTGCATTTTAAATTCACATAAAAGTAAATGGACTTTATTGCAAGGATCATTTTTGCGTGTCACTATACATACATACCTATTAGTTCGGCTGATGGTTGTTGCGTTGAAAGAGTTAAAAAATTGATTTCTCCCTTTTCCCTCAAGACCATCATTCTTTCATAGATTTATTATTATTAAAGTGTTTTTTTCTATTTTTCTTCTTTTTTCTATTTTTCATTCGATAACGGTGCTTGCTTCTCATGTGCTCTCAGGAAACGCTCTCGTTCGCGCGTCATAATTATTTATGGCCGATCTAACGAGTCGCGTCACGAAGGAAGGGACTGCCAATGAAATCGCGATTTCTAACGCTTCGAACGTTTCCTATGCAATGTATTTGATTTACGATCGTCTATACAATCATTAGCGTTCTTATGGATGCGTTCTTTTGTACGATAAACCAGGTCAATCTAAAGCTTTTATCGGGAAATGATTCATTAATAATAATGGTAAAAAAAAAAATCATTCTTTATGACAATCGAAACAGATGGTATTAATTTGTTTTTATTTTCTTGTTGAAACATTTAATCGTTAATTGGTATAATAATTCAAAGAAAGATATAAGTGAGAAAACGAGGAGAGCATTGATCTTTGAGAGATCGAAAGTCTGCGTGCGTCGCGTGCACCGAGCCATGCATCGGCGACAGTGAACACGCTCGCGCGCACGACGATGACATTGACATTTGTGAAAGGTGGCAACGATCTTAAGCTAACGTAACCGAGCGTAGTGTTAACGAGCCGGCAAACAGCTTATTTTACGCGCGTCTTTCCTTCTCTAATGTTTATATGCTATCCTGTCAATGAAAATGGAAGTATTCCTTATACGAGTACAGTACACTAGTTTTGTCGTCTTATTTATACACTTTCTTCTCTATCCACTTTTACGGAAACATTTCCTTTTTTTATTTTGTGTTTTCTTCGAAATTCATTTCTAATAATCTATCTTTTTGTTTTTATTTTTGTTTTTTTCTTTTTTTTAATTTTTTCTTCGTTTGCTAAACAATCATTTGGATATTAAAATTTTAAAAAGTCGAATTTTTTATCTCGCATCAGAGATTTTTAATCCTTACCTTGTTAGTTCGATTGATCGATCAGTGTAATTTCGTGTTCCATCCGCTTTGGGCCACTTCGATCGATTTCCTTTTTTCTTCTTCTTCTTCTTTTTCTTCTTTTTTTACAAATAAAAAGAGATCGAACAAAATTTGTCCCTTCCTTTTAATGTATCCAACGATGAAATCGTTCTTGATCATCTCTTGATGACCGTTCAATACTACTAATCGTAAATCGTTTGCGTTTACGAGATGCTCGAAAGTTTTACGACGATGTTGTCGGTCGCTGTAATGAAAAAGTCATAGTCGTAGACGTTGCATGATTTATCGATCTACCTGTCTTCTTGTAATGATATTAAAGTTAAAAAAAAAAAAAAGAAAAAAAAGAAGGAAAGAAAAAAAAAACATACGCGTATCGTGTCGTCACGGTGGTTTATTATAAAAATCAATGGTGCATGAATTGTGGAATAAGATCGAGCGTATTTACATTTATTACAGATCAAATTTGCGATATAATAAATTCATAATTTTGCTCTTTTTTGTCGATAAATTTTGCAATTTAAAAAATTAAAGCTTAAAACAACTTATTGTTGTATGAATCGAAAACGTTTGATCCATAAAATTATTATTTTTATTTACCTGTTAAAATAGTTATCGGCTTCGTATATATCTTTCGGTATCCGTTATAAGTAGCTCAAAATATACGGTAAGATGCAGACTCCGTGGGTGACGAAGAACTTCCTGTAGATCCTTGATCTTCGTCCTTGCGGCAAATTCTTCGTCAGAAAGTAGTATTCCAAGTGCCACAGATGATTCTCGCGTAAACGTTTTCCGTTCGATTCCTTAAGCACAAATAGAACGAGCATCGAACCGATAAACGCGAATATATCGAGAAATTATCTGGCACGAGAAACCTCGATGAAAGTTTCCCTTTATCTCTCCCAAGAGATATCCTTTTTAGATATCTATGTATCGTTGTATTTCATGTTAAAAACTCGACCGCAATTAAATACGCGAATCGTTCGACTTCAATTTTATTTAATAATGTACACTCTCTCTCTCTCTCTCTCTCCCTCCCTCTCTTTCTCCGTTATGTCAAAATGGCGTTGAAATGTTTTTAAAATGCATCCAAGGATAATAATATCTTCCTTTCTCTCGAGAAATTATATATATATTTATATATGTGTGTATGTGTATGTATTTATATATAAATATCTTTATTACTTCTGCTTCGAAAGTTTTGCCGAGTCTAGGTCGAGTCTAGAATACGTGGTAAACTTTACCACAAGTTGGAACACTTTGATCCTCCAATGTATCACATGGGTGAGAATGAACTATTGTACAATTTGACATATTCGATCTACGAATTATTAAAGATAGATCGATGATCCATCTGTCCGTACGATTGGACTCCGAGTTAACGAATGAAGTCTTCTTGGTCAGACAACCCAAGGTATACTCTCCTGAAGGTTCTCCTTCTAACTTCTTTAAAGACTCTCTTCGTGAGTCGTTGCTTTTCGTGACTGGTCTCTCTCAAATATAGTGTGTGTGTGTGTGTGTGTGTGTGTTCGAGACAAGGCGAACCGCCCCAAGTATTATACCTTCTGTTTTTTCTTTCTACACTACCATTGAATCCTCTAATTATGGGATTCTTTTTCTATTGTCTCGACAAATAAAAACGGTATTCTGAATGAACGTTTTCTTCGGCTCCGTTGACAGTTTTAGATTAGCCTTTCCCTGACAGTTAATAATCACTTCTTATAATTTCCGGTAGAAGAACATTAAGAAAATCAGAATTGTATATCCATAGTTAATTCCTTCGGAATTCTTTTAAGTAGTAGATCTTTCTTTTTTCTTTTTTTTTTCTTTTCTTTCTCTCTTTTCGAAGGATTCACCGAGTCTTTTAATTATCTTTCATTTGGATCAAAGTCTACCATGCGAATGTTAGAAATCTACTGAGAACGAAGACAGTCTGACCGCCCCCAATGCAGCTTCTTCTTCTTCTTCCTCTTCTCTTCCTCCTTACCTCTCTTCTCCCTCATCGAGCAATTTAATAGTGGGGACTTGTAGATCCCTTCTTTTCTTTCTCTCTCTCCCCCTTACACACACACACACACACACACACACACACACACACACACATACACACACTCTCCCTCACTCCCTCACTTCTCGTCTCTTCGTCCTTTCGCAGCCCTCTACGTCTTTCCTAGAGACTCTACTTTCGTATCTCCTCTTCCTCTCTTCCTTCCTTCCTTTATAAGCGTTCCCACGGAGCTCCTTTTCCATGTCTCACCTCTTCCTCCTCCTCCTCCTCCTCTTACTCTTCACTCGGAATTATGTTCCCAGAAAGTGGAGACTCGTGTTGACTCGAATATTCGTTTCAACTGTTTTTCCTTTTTTTTTCCACAGAAACTTTAAGAGTTTCGAAAAACACTTATTCTCAAATGTTAATTCGGTAATCAGCAGCCTACCCTGAAGTCGATCGGATTGTTTTTGTTTGTTTCAAAATCTTTCCAATGTTTTACTCACAAACGTGTTCCTACTTCCTAACAGACGTTATTTATACGCGAAACTTTCACGAAAGAAAGAAACGAATTGTATGTAAATGACGCGACACTTACATACCTTATCTTTTATGACATATAATGCTTCTTGTTTTCTATGTATATTTATATACGTATGCGTGTAAGTAAGTACATAATCGTTCACTCTTCTCTCTCCTTCTCGCGAAACTGGGTTGAACTCTGATCCAATCTACAAACCCAATGTCGATTCTCTCTCTATTTTAAAAAAAATTGTTTAGGTTTACCAACCGTACGTAAAACGTTATCCGATGTGTTTCTCGCAGAACGAACGACGATTACTCTTCACGTATTTCCAATGAAGGATTAGCATAGAATCTCACGCGATCTCGTACCGCTTAGCTGATCCTTTGCTAGTAACCGTGTAAGAATAATTTAATATGAATCTGCATAAACGAGTTCACTTGTAACAAACGTTAGTTAGCTTTTTATCGTTTTAATTGAAAGGTAAAACCTTTCATAGGGTTAGAATTTTCTTGAAATTCTTTGAAATCTTAAAACTTATAATCAATTCGAAATACACAAAAGTATAGAGTATATTACTTAATTAAAAAGCAACGGAGATTCGTCTAAAAAGGTTAATCATGTCGTTAATGATACGTCACAATGTGAAGAAAGAAAAAAAAAGAAAGAAAAGAGAATATTATTTAGAATGACTCAACGAATATTCTTTTCACTCGTGCTGAAAGATGATTTACGCGAATCCTTTTCTAGAAATAGAAGTAAAATAAGTTCGTACGCATAGATACGGTGGAACACGTAATTAGGGAAGGAACAATTATGATTACGGTAAATTTTTGCACGTGCGTAGCTCGATTCTCTCTCTCTCTCTCTCTCCCTCTCTCTCTCTCTCTCTCTCTATCTCTACGGTAGAGCGACATGGAAACCGTGTAACGTTGTAAAGCATAACGATGCTATTGAAATTACACGCAAGAAAGTTCTCTTCTAAAAACACCTGCTCGTTTACCGAAATTTATTTCGCCAAAAGTTAATCGCTTCACGCTCGACATCGGATTTTGTTTCTTTTTTTTCCACCTGGAAACTTAAGGCAGTCATCACCCCTAGTTTTTTATGTCAAATAAAAGCGTAATTGTTTGAATGATTTTGACGAACAAAGTCTCATATTAAAGATTATTGTTTAACTCGAGCACATGGTTTTTGCGAATTTTTTTAAAAGTTTTATTGCCTATGAAAAAAAAAATCATGGTCGAAAAATGATGTTTTTTTTTTTCGAGAATAGTTTATACATAAAATTAAAATTTCTAATGATACTAATAATTTTGTTTGTATTTTTCTGTTTCAGAACTTCATTGCAATCGCGCACGTAGTAATGAAATAATCAGGTGTTTATATAGCTAAAATAAAAATATCACAAAGTAGAAGCAATGTTCGTTCGTTCGCGTTTCGCGATTTAAATAGCAAGTGTTTTTGCATCGACTGCGTGCAATGCAGTAATTAGAGTCATTATTCGTTAGCAAAGCTTTTGCTTTTTTTAACAGTCGCACAGACTGCATTTATTATTTTTATAATAGATCTTCTTGTTTCATACACGTTTTTAATTATTCGAAAATTTTAAATATTTTAATACTTATTTTAAAGATATTTTTAATAGTTATTTTTCTCACGTGAAAATAGTAAAGAATGGATACACACGAGTTTTAATAAAGAATGAACATGAGGACATTCGCGATAGATAATCTCTAGATTACAAGCGAAACTGAGCCATCCTCAACCTATGGGTCTCCATAAGCAGCAACCTCCACGTGGTGAGACCTGGGTCGGTATTACTTGCGATATATCGAAATCTATATCGTATAACGCAAGTATCACCGGGCGAATGGCTGCATATTTCAATGCTTTTCCAAAATCTTTTAAATCTATTTCTAATTAAACATTAAAGTATTTAAATTTTAAATTGCTACTCATACTTGAATAAATGAATAGATTAAATATAATAAAGTTCTAAAATAATTTCTTCAAGAAACGCATTGAAAAATTCTAAGATCTTTATTATTCTTATTAATTTTCATTTATTCTTATTTATTCTTATTTACGCTTTTCAGGTTAAATATTATATTTCTATTCTATTTATATCCACATACTTTGGAATTCAAGATATGCATCAGCGATTTTCTTTCTACTTTTGTTCTTACTACTATCCTTTATATATATATTATACTTCATTTCTATCGCAAATAGAACAATCGTGCTAATGGTTCCCTTAAATACGCTTTAGCTATTTGTATAAGTTTAATTAGAAACAAAATATATCAATTTCGTACAATGATCAAACAGTTTCCATTATTAATCCCTCCCTAAGAGGAATTTTGTATACTTACAAGTATAATCTGTTATATAGTTTTTTTTTTCTTTTTTCAGAAGTATTATTATTTTTACTACATACAAAAATTTCTGTCACACGCTTAACTCGTTTTTTTTATTACGCGCGAAGAGGGATATGTAATTTAAACAAACTTATACACCGATGCAATAGACGCATAGTGGGGAGAGTGTTTCCCTATTGCGCTTGTAGTTCATATTTTGTCCATACCTGTCGCTGAAGTCATATACGCTATGAGCGAAAGGTGGTGAAAAGCTTCAATGTTGTCGCTTGATATCATCATGATTGCTTTAAAATTATTAATTAGCTAGATATCATTTTCATTACTTAAAATGTTTTATAAATAAAATGTTAAAACACAAGTACGTATGTATCTTCAACAACACACCTTTGCTAAATATATGACTAATTATTAATGTATTTTATCTGGAAAATCAAGATCGTATCCTAGAACGTTTACAATATTTGTTATGAAATATTTTAATTCAGATTCTATAATACATTCAACAAATTCTAATTATTTACATGATACTTGTGCTATGGTGTACATCCAAATAAACACATAATGTAATAAATGTACATTAAGTATTTTATATAATATACCGCACGTCTTGGTATATATCGAATATATACATGTATGAAATATGTATACACACACGTTGGGTGTGCGTGTGTATGTGTGTATATATATATATATATATATATATATATATATATATATATGTATATATATGTATATATATGTATATATATATATGTATGTATATGTATAATAATTAACGATAAGAAAATACGTGAACTTTATATATGCAGATCATATACTTACTAAACTTGTAACTCAAAAATCCTTAAAATGTTTTATTATAAAATTTTTATCAACAATAGGAAATCAAATTAGTGAAACTGCTCCTTTATGGACCAGTTTATTAACACAATCTATATGAATAAACATAATAATAAGGACAGTAAGTATAATATTATTTTACGTATAAAATACAATGATATTAATTGTAATCCCTTTAGGAGAAGAGGTAAAGTAGCAGCAAATAGATCAAATCTCAATGACATTTGCTTTTGCAAATGAGTGGCGTGTGATATTAACTGTGTTTATTAAAATGGATATTGTTGCTAGAAATATTTATCACTTGAATAGTTGGTGAGATGGTGGAATATTAGGATTATGCCGTGGATTAGTATTGTGGAGGCTATGTAAATACGAGCGCTGGACGGGCTTGTGCTTTGCCAGTTGAAGCAGAGCCTCTGATATAGAGAACCATTTCCGTTTCCGACCGATAGCACGTGAATCTTCCCATTCTGGCAGCTCCTCGGTTACCCGCATTACCCATACCTGTGTTCTATGTTTGTGTTCCACATTCTACGATTTAAAAAGTGAATGTATCGCATTGCTGTACGAATTGTTCATAAATAACATAAAAAATATTAAAAAGTAATCTCTTAGAGATTATAAAGAAGGTGCAATTTGCAAAACTTTTTCCAGGAAATATTTCAAAAGTTAGATATTAATTTTCAACCTCAAATATGCCAAGACAACGACCCAATTGTCCTAGTACACCAGCCTCCTCTCTGACTTCTCGAAGTGCAGTAACTGCTGGTTCTTCCTCAGGCTCTACACCACCACCAGGTACAATCCAACTATCAGGCCTTCGACTGGACGTAACCAAAAGAACCTAAAAAATATAATTTAAACAATGATTCTTGCGGTGAATGAAGACTATTTTTTAATAATCCAACTAAAGAAATGGAATCATATTAGAATAAATAAAAATTGTAAAATATGTTGCATGTGAATTTTAGTAAGGATACCCAGACTGCCATCTGTTGGCTTACCTCATCCTCGAGATCGTTCTTGACGCAGATGCATGCAGCTCTGCGCCTATAACCCTCCGAATCGTAGATACGGATTGAATTTGGCTTCTCCTTCACCATGTTCAAACGTAAATATCAATAAATCATCCCATACATTCATAAATATTTGTCAGACATCCAAATCCGCCAGCCTATGCACCCGCATTACCCTAACGATATTTGGAACCGACATGTTATTGACATAGAATTCACTCGCGAGAACGTCTTGCTTCTCACATAACCAATTTCATAGCTGTGTATTCCTTGATGAGGAAGATGTTTTCACGTTGCTGGAAAATATTTTAATAGCCTTCGGTACTGCCGTTACTTTCTTCCAAAAGGTCTTTTATAACCTCAAAACTCTCCAAGGCTCTACTTAATCGAGTATCCCCTCTACTGGCACTTTACGGCAGTTATCCAACGTCTCCAAAATTATGAACGTTCCTAAAGTAATCCACGGTGTTCCATATTTCTCATATTACAATTCCAGCCAATCCTGTAATACTTCTTTGAGAAATTTTCGATTATATCGTAAATATATATTGCAAAATAAATAAGAAATAAATTTTCTTCCAAACGAAATAAACAATTCATTTCGTTATGTCATACGATATGATAATTACGTTTGTTGTTATGTTCAAACGATCATCTTTTTTACGAACGTATTGGTCTCCCTTTGATGACGTAAATATATCGCTTGTATATCGATATTTCTTAGATCATATATTATAAAATCACAGAGTTCCATTAATATTCCTCTTTTCTTGTCACGTGTGTCTTATACAAATCAAAAATTATCGAAACCGTAATCGTTGAGTACTATAATTAAAATCATATATTATTAAACCTCGTAGACTTCCAATAGAAACGAATTTTTTCCTTCCCCGATGATACACAATACTTACCTGTACATTAGACATTCTACCGAATAACGAATTCGAAATCGTAGAAATGGTCGCTGCGTTTTACATATTATTTGGAATTTATAATTGCACTCAAGATTAATATAATACATATCCACATTGCATTTTATTTTTACTACTTTTCTCTACGTATTTTCAAATTGTTATCGTTTTATTACAGTTATTACTTTATGCAATACATGTCCGATCCCAATATGTATACGTGAGTTTTTGTATATTACTGGAAAATTGACAGACCTGCATCTTTGCATTACAAAAACTATCATGGTGTTATGTTTATCCTTATCATATATAAAAGGGATTAATTATAGGGTAGTTGCTTTACAATTAATATTATCATATGTACATTTTAGTAACACGGAGAATGCCAATTCTCTAAGAACATAAAAGAGATTATCACATTAGCATAAATTTCAATAGAGAAGGTTAAATCAGAACCTTTATTTTTACTACAGCATCAACAATATTGCGACAAGTCCTCTGCTTGAAATTCTTATACATCCTGGCTCCCCTTTTATGAAAGTATCAAAAATATCCTTTCTAGCACTCATCTCCCAACAGATAACAGAAACGATACATTGTCGTGATAGTAAAATCATTAAAAATACAACTAAATTATCTAAGGTAGAGCTCACCTGCATGGGGCAGGTCCTTTGACTACGATTTGTCCTGTATCTCCCCTTTCCAAAGAAAAAATAATCATCAGTAATGATAAAAATTGTTTTGCTTAATGCTAAATCGACTTCAAGTTGTAAAACTAAGTAAAATTTATAAATATGGTACAATTGATAATAAGCGATAGAGCAATAATAGATTAATTATAGATACGTATAGTTAATAGCATTGTATCGTTGAAACTTATGGCGATTTGTTTTTAAGTCCTCTCCTTAGTAATAATAGAGTCGAGAATTTAATCAAACGTCCGTTTTCAATTTAAATTTTAGTGTATCTTGTTCTGTTGAACAACCACCGCATGCACCAACCACCATTGCGGACTAGCAGTCACCTTGACTAGCTTTTTTCAAATTTCTTTCTTTATCTCCATTCCTATTCCCATTGACATAAGTGTCCTCTGGGCCAAACTCTTTATCCACTGTAATCTTCAAAGCGCAAATCAATCTCCAGGATGTTCAGGGCAGCTACGATTCACTTGAAACCATTTATCAATGCAACTGAAAATATAATTCAAACATATGATATCATTCATAAGCACATATATGTTTTCAATTTGTTCAATAAGTAATATACAACACAAGAGGTAACTGATGCATTAAATAAATACGTACTTTTTATGATATATACACAAACAGGGCAAGCGGGCAATAACATCACCAGGCTGTAATTCTTCGAGACAAATTACACATTCCCCTTTTTCATCTGCTAATACGTCCTCTATAAGGCGAAGGAAAATTTATTAAAAGTCATATTTACTAATATAAATATGTTCTATCATATAACAATTATAACTCACCATTATAACTGAGACGTGGCTTGGTCAGGCACATTACCAGGTGACACTCAATATCATCCGGTAGGATAAACTTAGAGCATACAGGACACTTTAGACCTTAAACATAAATATATGTATTGAGTATGTGTACATTGATTAAACAATGTATATCTAGAAAGAAAAAAAAATATACCATAGAAAACTCTTCTCACACGGTGTACAGGCACAACTTCAGCCTCAGACTCATTCAAACACGAGCTCACTATAATTCCCATAATAATCCGAACCTAACGTTGACCGACCCATCCCATGTCGAGATTTTATATCCCTCTTAAGACCATTCCTATATCATTTTCAATTATCACTATTTAAAATTTACACTGCATAAGCCAAACAATCATCGATTGTGTACGGTTACCGGGCCAACCAACCCGGCAACACGTATAGCGACCTCTTTAAAACGAAACTAACGCCGCATATATAATTTTTAACGAAAAAGATCATTTCTAAAATGTTCTTAACACTTTATCGACCGAGCCATGGCATTTAATAGATCATCTAATCAAAATACATAGGTTATGGATCATTTTAAGTAAATGTATTTTAATTAGCGATCTACGGAAATCTCTAATATTCCTAATATTAAAATCCTATCAACAACTGACATTGAATATAGTTGTTTCTATATATAATAGTCATTTGATACGACACTTTAGCGTTATGAAAATATCTCGTTTGACGCTATATGACGTCATTCGCCTATAAGAGGTTTAAATAACTTACACTTTTTACGTTTTTATATAAGAGTGAAAAAATTGAGACGTATTTTCTTATTCATTAACATTGTTTTTGTATGTAAAAAAAGAAAAAAAAAATAATAATAATAATAATAATAAAACCTATAAAATAAGTGTATCTTCGTTGTATTGGAAATTCTATCGTAAATATGCGACGTGACGAATTGTTTCTCGCGGATTGTATGACAAAACATAGTGAATTGCTAGAAATAGTAATTTCTTTAAACTTCTCAATAAATTCCTGAATTCCACTTACTAATAAGTGGCCTCTTTCCATATATATCATGTAAAGCTTCATCGTTGTGAGATAAATAAAGAACAATCTATTATAGCTCTCGTAAGAGACTAGAAATTATGTCTGACTATATAAAGAAGTACAGAAACGTTACATGATATAAAATAAAGGCGCTTGAAAAAATTTCTCACTCGCGAGAAAATTCCTCAAAATCTTTTCTCATATAATCATGAAAATATTCATAAAACATATGTAAAAATTTGGAGCAAAACATTTGATGCATCGCATCGAGAAAGAAATTGTGTTTTCTTTTGTACACAAAGAAATGTTATTATCCCTATTATTGTAAGACGAGTTATGGGCCTTTTTTCCAATCTTTTCCCATAAAATATGCGTGACGAATGATCAAAGAATTTTGGTAGATTATTTTAGAACACGTGGCAAAGCACTACACACGCGCCAAAACAAACGCCCCCTGTCCTACCCGCGATCGCAAGCGGCAAAGCTAACTATGTGAAATTTTACGGATACAACATAACCTCCTTATCAAGTTGATCAAAATTACATTAATTTTAACGACTAGGTTTCCCATTAGAAATGCAAAATCGAAAGAAACAATACTCGAAATGACTTTTTCTCCGTTTTAATGAGGAATACGGGAATGTTAATTGTCGTTGAAAAATTACGAGAAAAAGATCAAAGCATAAAAAACTAGACCTATTTTCTCTATAGAATATTATGCGATGCCCTTGAAGATAGCAATTTTAAGAATCTACCAGCAATAATTGTTATGTAATGTTTTTCTCGTATAACCCTATACAAAGCAAAATAAACTATATACATTTATAATATCATTTATAATAGTCAAAAGCGTATAAATATACTATTCTAGATATATAAAAAAAAAAAAAAAGAAAAAAAAAAATCTATTTAATTTTATTCCACGAAAGCTACTTGTCAGTAGATTATATTTAAGTGGATGAAAAGGATATAGATTATGTCGATACTCTATACACTGGGCCAACCTACCGTTAAGGGACCAGATGTGAGAAGGCAAGCTGTGAGCGGCATATACTCTACCACTATCTTCATCTGCATCGTCTGAATCAAGTTGTGGCAATCCAAGAGCCTGGGCTACTCCAACACCGACAGTTGAAGCAAGAGCACCTTGTTCTCCTGAAGAAAGATCCGGTACAGAACTGAGAGAACGTGCACGTTGTCTATTATCTCCTGATACTCGAGAAGTCTGCGACTGACTTCCTTGTTGATGTTGATGCTGCAACACGCCAACACCTCCAGGCAAGGAACGAAGCACAGAAAAGCCTTGCATCGTAGTGTCATTGGTCCCAGTAGACGACTGACTGTTGCCTCCTGCAGATTGTGCTACAGTACTTGCCCTGACACCCATTTCAATTATTATTAAAATCACGTATTCCCTCAGAATCTTTCAATTATAATCTCAATAGTTTTATTTCTTTGTTAAAACGATATTTATTATTTCGCTTCGTGGTTCTGGTAGTGGTACATGCACTGATACAGTTTCCACGAATAATTTCCGTGCTCGGATTTTGCACCGCTGGCAACACACACTTGAGATGTTAAATGATTCCACCGGCAAGATTACAACACTATGTGATTTAACTTAGGCCGGAATTTTACAGGCATTCGCCACGACAAGCAAGTCATTTCGCCCAAGAGCATATCAGCGGCTCGTCGCGCAAAACATCCCCCGACATCTTGCGATAAACTTCCTAAAAGTCAAAGCGGTCAGCTTATGCAGATATTCCAGTTTTGTCACATGCGTTTCCATCTTGGTTTACGAACGACTTTTGAGTTAGTTCAATATTTTGACAAACACACAGATTAGTTTGGAAGAATTGTATTCCAATTTTTGTCGAACATTCATTCGTTGGACACGAGTTGATTCATCATAATACCATATAGATTAAGCTTTCGGATTGGCTGTCATGTTTTATTCGTCCAATCAGGAGTTCGAAAATTGGATCCACACGCGCACACACACACACACACACACACACACACACACACACACACACACA